CTGCTCGCTCCCATCTCTGCTGATCTGATTTAGAGCACACTTGTCTGAAGACATCACATCCCTTCTTTTCCTCTCTTCATGTTTTATCGCTTGACATTCACATGTTGTCCTCGAGGCTCTGGCAACCGTGAACCATTCAGGCGGGTTTCCCGGCGGATGTCATCCTCCACCCCTTTGATCACGGAATGCTTCCGAAGTGCTTGAACAAGCTATGGTCCATATCCGCCATAAGCCCCCCTCTATCACTGTAGATGACAAACACGCAAGTTTGGAACAGTTCCGTCAGGTGACATGTAGTTCTTCTACAACATCGAGCAAAGCGGTTAAAGTACGGAGCAATCTTATGCTGCGGACGCATCTCTGCAATCATAATTCCAGAGAGGTTGAACAGTAAAGATGCCATACACGACCTTTGAAATCCCAGAGAAATATACGTACCAGACCGGTTTCCTGGCCAATGTGGAGTAGGTGGCTTGAAGATATTGATATGTCGACGCTAATTCGGTGCTTAGAACGGAGGCCATATTGGGAGCATTGCCCATCGGCCAGAACTCACCGCAGAAATGTCCCTACGGCCTGTATGCAGAGAAGATCTCCGGCACTGCATTCACGGCGCCCCGGTGGGAAAACCAGCAGACATGGGTATATCGCATCATCCCCTCGGCGTCTCATGCGACGTTTGCGCCTGTGTCTACGGACCAAAGTCTGGAGACCAGGTTCAATTACATTCCTGACCAACTTCGATGGGATCCCTTTGACGTCAACGGCGACGTGGACTGGATTCACGGCCTGAACATGGTTGCTGGAGCCGGAGATCCTGCCTTGAAAAACGGCGTCGCATATTATATCTATGGTGCCACCCGGTCGATGGCCGACAAAACTGCTTTCTATGATGCGGATGGCGACATGCTGATCGTGCCGCAACAAGGAGCGCTCGATCTCCAGACCGAGATGGGCCGGCTGCTTGTCCGACCGAACGAAATCTGTGTCTTACCCCGTGGGATCAGATACCGCGTGGATCTGGTGGATGAGCAGCCGATCAGGGGATATGCTCTAGAGATCTACAATGGCCACTTTCAGCTTCCCGAGCTGGGACCCATAGGATCCAATTGTTTGGCCAACGCCCGAGATTTTCAAATCCCCGTCGCCGCGTACAGCCACGATACCAAGTCGGACTGGCTGGTATACAACAAATTCCGGGGCCAACTCTTTCAGGCGAGCCAAACTCATACACCATTTGACGTGGTTGCGTGGGAAGGGAGATATTACCCTTACAAGTACGATCTGGGGCGATTCAACACCATCGGCACCATCTCCTACGATCACCCAGACCCGTCTTTGAACACCGTGCTCACCGCCACCTCCAACGCACATCCCGGCACCGCTATTGCGGACTTTGTCATTTTCCCGCCGCGTTGGCTCGTCGCCGAAGATACGTTCCGGCCTCCATCGTACCATCGGAATTGCATGAGCGAGTTCATGGGGCTGATACAAGGTTCTTATATCGCCAAGGAGGGTGGGAAAGGAGGCTTCCAAGCAGCCGGGGCCAGCCTCCACAATTGCATGAGCAGCCATGGCCCGGATAGGGCGGCCTTCGACAAAGCCTCGAACGAGGAGCTTGTGCCTGTCAAAGTTGGGGTAGGAAGTATGGCTTTCATGTTCGAGAGCTGTTATATGGTTGGGATCACGGACTGGGGGTTGACCAAGTGCGCCAAACGACAGCCCAATTATTCCGAGGAGAGCTGGGGAGGATTGCAGGATCAATTCTGTCCGCCGCCTGAGCACCGCTGATGAAGTCGGATCAATTGATTGATTGCTTGTAATAGGAGAAGTGTATGCTAAGTGTATGCCAGCAAGATAACTTGCTCCGTAGCCTACGCCGAGGTGGAAGAAAGGTTGTGGGGGCGCGGCTGGACGTCGCCATTTGCATCCGAGCCCTCTAAAGGCTATCCCTTGTATATTAATAATACGGGACGTGCCCAGCTATCTAGGGAGTGGTCCAGGCCTTAGAGCGAGGCCCTGTAGGCCCGGTAGCCGGCGTCCAGTTCTTTTAGCTTTTATCCAGCCATGAGGGCGCCAACTTCGCTACCTCCCCGTCTTCCATCGCCTCATACCTCCTCACCATATATTTGGGATTGCCTTGCACGCCGCTCAACTCGACGGCAATGACTCTTCTGACTCCTCTTCTGGCTACCCGCAGATGGTGATCTGCAACAACTCTCATATCAAGCATCGGTCAAAAGGTTGCATCTGTCGAAGAATGCTGCAAAGCGGACGGCCCAAGCGCCACAGGGCGCTTCAGGCATGTGAGGTATGCCGGACGAGGAAAAACCGCTGCAGCGAGGACCAGCCGTGCACATATTGCGTGGGTAAGCGTTCTGTGATCTTTAGCTTTCCGTGCATAGCTGCTCACGCAAAGAATCAGATCACGGCTTAGAATGCTCATATTCTCGTGTCCACCGCGACAGGAGACCACGATCACGGCAAGTGACTCTCCTTCGACCGTACGTGTAGCTCTGGCCTGACCATCTACATACACAGACCTATCATGCAAATCGAGTCACAGAGGATGGGTCCTGACTCTCTACGGCTCCATCAATCTCCCGTCATAGAATCCGAGCCGAACAACGTCGAGTCGTGGCCAAATGCCCCGAGCCATGCAGAGCCCGTCGAACGAACATCTACCCGTCTCCTACCGACCAACGAGACGCGGAAGCCGTCTGCTTTGTCTTCTATGAATATGAACAGTGCCGGTTCGGTCTCGATCACGCCACAAAGGGCGGCGTCGGACGTGATGGACACGAACCTGCACACCAGCAACCTCGAATTCTACGGATCATCATCCTCCGTGGCGTTCCTCCGTCACATGGAAATGTTGTCGAACAGCCAGACCACCGACCCCGTCGGCGGACAGTCGAGGTGCTCGTTAGCCTCACTCCTGCACAACACCGAGTTCTGCCCCGACACGCCGCACGACCGGCAGGCGGCGCCAGAGGCCAGTACCAGCTCCGACCGATTCCACTTCCGCGTTGCGAGGCGGTTTCTGGACACCTACTTCTCCAACATCCACCACATCCAACCCATTTTCGACGAAGACGTCTTTCTGAGTCGTTGCGAGGACCTCTGGTTTAACACGCCCGAAAAGCAACCGCTGTCTTTCGTGGCGCTTTACTATGCAACCTTGAGTCTGGGCAGCCTCGTCATGACCTTTGAAACCCCCGAGATTGCCGGAGCCGATCGTTTTACTTGGAGTCGCAGGCTGTTCAATCGAGCGCTCGCCATCGTGACACGGCTCGGTACGACGACCGACATCGAGATGGTCCAGTGCTTCTACATGATGGTAAGCAATTCTGGTACATGCTTCGACGTCTCGAACTGACACCAACCTCACCAAGAGCAAGATATATCAGCATGAACTCAACCCTCATGGTACGTGGGGGCTTCGTTTTGTTTGACACATGGCCTGATATGGTTTGTTAGTGGCCTATCTATACTCCGGTCAAGCGGCCAGAACTTCATTGGCGATCGGAATCAATCGACGACCAATCAGCCCGGACGTCACTGATCCGAGAGCTTCGATGATGGCATCGAAAACATGGTGGTACGTTACGCGAGACTTTGGACTTTTCCAATGATGATTCGCTGATGTGACCAGGGCTGTCTATTGTCTGGACATGTACGACAAAAAGCCACTTCCAGGAGTAGCCGAGCACTGACTTCCATCAAGACAGACCAGCTTTGCACTGGGCCGACCTGACAGCCTCGGGCCTGACGAATACCATACACAAGACCTTCCCATCAAATCTGTGGAAGAAGCACGTTCGAACACCAACGCTCTAGACATTGTCCCCTGCATGGTGCATCTCTCGAGGATCATGCGACAAGTGGCGCTCGCTCTGTACACGGTCCCCTGCGAGATGGACGAGAAGCTCCAGCGGGCACAGACCCTCGATGCCGGCTTATGTAGTTGGCACGAGCAAATCCCAGCCTACCTCCGCATCGACCACCACCAGGTTCCAGGCCAATCCCTCAAGCCGAGCGGCCTGGCCAGCCGTGCTAAGAAACAGTCCGTCGTGCTCCAGCTTCGTAAGTATCAAGACCAGACCTCTTTTTGCACGGAACAGGCGCCTTCTGACGGGGTGTCTAGGCTACCTGAACCTGCGCATGATAGTCCACGCCGCATTCATGACCCAATCAGACACCGACGCGTCAGGCGATGCCATGTCTGTGCGCGAGTGTCAGTGCAAGTGCCTAGAGGCCGCAGAAAGTACGATCGACCTCATATACAACACATTCTTGAGCGATCATTTCTTTCAGACATGGTACGCATTAGTTCTTCCCCCCAGCTGTAGCTCAGGAGTTTGATATCTTTTGATGTCTGAGCCTGTCCGTCGCTGATTCATCCTGACCTCAGGTGGTATAACGCCACCTACACTTTGTTTGCCGTCAGCATTCTGCTCGCCGCCGTCTTCCAACAACTCGCGACCAGCCAGCACGCGCTCGACAACCTCTTCGTCCACATTGACCGTGCCGTGCTGATCCTCCAAGCCATGGATGAGTGCCTGGTTGCCCGGACCGCGACCGCGATCATCAAGCGCTCGCTCGCTCGGGCGAAAAGGGTTCCGCAGCCCGCATTAGATGAAGGGCAGGGATCATCAACGCGCGGAGTGGATTTTAGTGACGGTGCACTGCTCCTGCCCACATCTTTCGAGCAGACCGAAGGGCCCGGAGGCGTGGAACCGCTGTTGCAGCCGTATCCGACGGCGGGGGTTATCGACGAGGAGGAGGCCATGGGCGATCTCGATTGGCTCAACAGCTATCCGCTCGACGACAGCAAGCAGGCTTCGTTCTGGACACGGTGGGCACAGGAGCTGGAAGTTTTGGGAACATGATTTATACTACAAATATAGCCTCTGTTTCTTGAGTGTTGCTCTCAGGTTTCCCCCCTTGAGCACTCCCTATGATCATCCAGCACGCCATCCTTCCCCCTTGAGCACGCTCTATTTAGAAGGGGGCCCTGCAGCCAGGGACACCACGATCGAGGATGGGTGTTCCGGTCCGGAGTATACGACGTGCTTTCCACGGTTGAGGTTCTCCCCGGCGCGATACAGCTGCGGAAACTCCGGCAACGTCACCTCGTGGCCCTTGACCTCGAGCCGCATGGCTTCCCCCGGCTGGAAAACGATCCCCCCGGGCCACAGTGGGATGTCCACACACACAATCTGGCCGGGGGGGATCTTCTCCTCCCGGTCGTGGGCGTGGTAGGCCACCGCGGGCGCGAGCATCGCGCTTTGCTCGGCCGAGATGCTTGGGTCGGCGCTCAGCCGGCGATGTGAGGCGCGGAGTCGACCGTTGGGGCCGAGGTACTTGAAAATGTTCAGGTCGGGGACGTCATCGGGCGTGGTCCCGGCCGGGAGACTGTCGAGGGGGATGTTGAGGTGCTTCAAGGGCCGGCCGTGGGTGTCCAGCTTGCGCACAATCACGTAGACGTCGAGGTCGTCCGTTTCGGCGCACGACACGTACAATTTGGCCTGGGAAAACCCGATCAGCTCGGTGTATTCTCCGAACGTGAAGGTGAAGTGCGCGCCGTCGTCCTCCCAGGAGTCGGAGGTGTAGCTCGACGTCGAAGGCTCGGGGGGTGGACCGCTTTCCTCTAGGGCGGCAGATTGACCATTCAAGTAGAATGTTCGGTGTTGGACGTAGGTAGGTGGGTAGACAGGCTCCGGCCGGTCCACGACCGAAGGGATGTTGAAGCCGAGCAGGCTGTGCCGGACCCGGGGGGTGGACTCCCAGCCATTGGCTTTCCCGTAGAGGAAGCGGTCGAAGAACTTTTGGAGATCGTCGTTTGCCGACTTTTGATACAGGTCGTGCCACTCTTGCGTGTGGTGAATTCGAAGCCTGTCGGCATATCAGGGGGTATTCGTAGGAGCAGCCACTTGGAGGAGGAACTCACCATTTATCTTTGGTGGATGAGAACAAGAAACCCTTGATGGAGCCCAGAGTGTGTATACCACTGGAGAAACTGGCCAGGGCGTAGACAGGGACGTTGATTTGGGTCAGTTTGGCGCGTTTATCCGCCCAGTACTCATTGAAGAGCGGATACTTGCGGATCATCGCGCCGAGATCTTCACGACCATTCTTGCCTGGCATGTTGAGAAAGGCCTTGTCAGTGTGGGAGGCTGGTGGAAAAGCTTTACGGTCATGTCTTACCGCAGTAGCCTTCGCCCCGATAGTCTACAAATGAAGGGTTCGGAATGCCCCCTCGGCCGAGCATCTCGCAGTAGCTGTCGGCCAAACCCTCCCAAGGAGCAATGGCCTTCAGATGAGGCGGTCTCTCGGCCGCGATGAACCTGGACGGTGTGTGAGCTCCATGAACCCGGGTGGCGCTATCGAGGCTGTGATCTACCACTGGGAGATTCCAAGCCACGAGTTGCCGGCAAAGGCAACGGCGCCATTGCACCACGAGTGCGAAGCAATGGATTCGACAGCATCGTAACCATCTCGACCTTCCTGGATCGTCGTAAGCGGTTAGGATGGACAGTGACAGCTTGTAAGTTAGTGGATTATACTCACTTGTGTTCCTTGGGCAACCTGATCTCCTTCCGAGTCGAAGGTGCCGCGAACGTCAATGTTGACGATCGCATAGCCTCGTGGACACCATTCGGCGGGATCGGGAGCCTCGAACTTCTCAAGATCGCTTGTCCAGTCCTTGGGAATCCCAGCTCGCCAGGGGACACGATCCAGACTCTGGAAGCCTGCGGGAAGCTTAGGGCTGATTCCCGGCGATCAGGAACGGCTGCAGGACGTACCATTCCCCTGTTTCCCGTACGGACTCCATGCCACAATGGCCGCGACGGGTATGCTGTCCGAAGATGGAGGCCGGAAGACGTCCATATATATCTTGCACCCGTCTCGCAGAATAACGGGTACATCCCTTTCGAAGATCAGGTCACTGTCCAAAGGGCGCCGACCTGGCTCTTTGCGCCATCCTTTCGGAAGCACTTCTTTGGAGGGACCGAAATCCTTCCAGCGTTTGCTGAAGTCTCGGTTGGCTGGCTTAAATGCGACTTCAATCCCACCGACGCAGAACTTGGTCGCCATGGCTAGAGGGCGTGAAATCGTGGTGGTCGAATATCAGCCTTACCTAGCCTCGTTGATGTGGCCTTGGGCTTCTCCCAGCATATCGGCCTTTTAAACACCGACTACATACGTGAACGACAAGGAAAGTGCTTAATAATTATGAACCGGCAGGACAGTCACCCAACCGTGGTGGTACCGGGAGAAAGCAGAGTGCTTGGGAGGTTTCATCTCCACCCGCTTTGTGTAGGCGGAATTCCCGGCGGCATCAACATAGCCGGCGGCATGCTCGTAAAACCGGTCCTTCAACCTCGGACAGCATCGTTCCTGCTACGAGTCCTTTATCCTAATCGTTCAGCTGGGTGCTAGCGAAGATTTAGCTTTCACGGGGCTGCGATGATTCCCTCGACCACGTCCATCGGGGCATTTGGGGTGTGGTGGTGGCTGAAGAAACTCACTTGGCAGTCTAGATTCTCCTCGTCCATCTGGCGGCATTTCCGGTGGACCCCATGGGGGTTCTTACGAGCACGAGGAAAGGTCGAGGGACTTAAATAGATTTTTGTCAGAGACTGCAGTCTACGCAGTCACGACATTCTCTATCAGAAAAGCGAGGTGCCAGAAAATACCAGCCGTCTTCTCGACATGGCCTTGGGATTTACCCACCACGAGGCGCCCGCACAGGTTGCCAGCGACGACGCGGACGAGAAATCCTGTCCTGCGTCGCAACAGGTCGAGATCCTCCATTCCCCAGAGACGAATCTCAACTACGATGAGGCTGACCAAGAGCCCGTCCTCCACGCCCGGACTTGGATCGCGCTCGCGGCGATGGTCATGTTGAATATGGTGCAACTTATTGCGCTGAATGGCCCACCAGTATTTGTCAGTGAATGAGTCGATTCCTGTCGAGAAAAGAGAAAGCCCCCATGCTAACCAAAGCCCTCATGTAGCTTGGAACGATCGCAGGGGAGTTCGGTCAGCAGGATCTGCAGTCTTGGGTTCCCAATGCCCTCTCACTCGTCCAAGCAGTCCTTGGACCGGTGATATCTTCTGGGTCAGATCTGTTCCAAGCTCGCAAGACGCTGCTCGTTGGGTCATCTCTCATATCAGTGGTTGGTGCTGCTATCGTCCCTCGGTCTCGATCCTTGTATCAGGTCATTGCCGGTCAATCATTGATTGGAGTTGGGTTCGCGTCGGTCCCACTGGCTTACTGCGTCCCGAGCGAGATCGTCCCCCGCAAATGGCGGCCAAGTAAGTAGCTCTATCGACGAGGACGGTAACCCGAGTTGACCCTGTCAAAGTGGTACAAGCTTGTATGCAGATTGGCGGCTTTGTAGGGGCCATGATCGCACCGGTCATCCTCGGCGCGTTTTTGCAAACGGACAGCGTAGGAGGGTGGCGGAATTTCTATGTATAAAAGGACAGCACCCTATTCTCCGATCCGCTATACTAACGTCCCGTGCAGTGGGTGCAAATGAGTCTTTGGGGATTGACTACCATTGGCATTTTCGTCGGCTATCGGCCTCCCAAGCGGCATACAAGGCTTGATCATCTTTCTGCCTGGCAAAAACTTGGCCGGATGGACTGGCCAGGCTCTTTCTTGGTCACCGTTGGTCTCACACTGTTCCTGACCGGCTTGAGTCTAGGAGGCGGTCTGTATGCCTGGACGAACGCAAGGGTATTGTCCACGCTCATCATCGGGGGTGTCTTCCTGGTCGCATTTGGTTTGTATGAGTGGCTCGGTACCAAAACCGGCATCTTCACCCACGAACTCTTCACCGGACCAAATGGGGCTGGCCGGACGGCGTGGATCTCTGCACTTCTCATTTTTATCGAAGGATTTGTCGGCGCCTCCTTCGTCATCTTCTATCCAGTCATGTGAGCTGTCTCACCCTTTCTTCGGCCCTCCCCTTATTAACCACGAACGCCGATAGGACCGAGTCGCTCTTCACCACCGATCCCATGAAGGTGGTGGCCCGTCAGGAAGGCTTTTACGTCGGCTGTTTCCTCGGAAGTGCATTGTTTGGCTATCTTAGCACCAAGCTGCGCAGCGTACGAGAGGGAATTGCTGCAGGATACCTCCTCTTGACTGGTGGGCTGGTCGGCTTCGCCACGATCCAACCCGGTGAATCTGTCAGTGCGATAGCCTTCGCCGTGCTCACAGGGCTGGGATTTGGAGTGATCCTGGCTCTAGTCGTCACCGCTATCCAGCTTTGCACGCCGCATCATCTCATCGCGACTTCGACCGCCGTTCTCACAACAACTCGTGCTCTCGCTCTGACAGTCGGTGTCTCGGTGTACACGGCGGTCTTTACCGACTCCATCGGCAAGAAATCACCTGCCATGGTCGCCTCAGCCGCTGCGAAAAACGGGGTTCCTGCAAGCTCCGTCCCAGAGTTTGTCCAGGCATTTCTTCTCAACGACCGCGATGCGCTGGGCAAAATAGCTGGAGTGACGCCGTCGGTCCTCGCCGCCTGCGCCGCTGCGGTGAAGCAAGCATCGGCCGATTCTCTGCGCCTTGTATTCATCATTGCGGCCCCGGTATCAGCAGTCGCCGTGTTTTTGTGCTACTTCCTGGCCGACCTACGCACACTGATGGATTATCGTGTCGATGCTCCCGTGGAAGAATTGCATGCTAAACAACATCATAGTGAAGACGATGGCCAGAAGGCGGCATGAAAACTCACTTGTTCTTGGGCAAGAAGAGTCAAACTTTGTGAAATATAGCTCCCATTGCTGTTAGGAACGCACGATATAGGGAGGGAGGGCGGACCTTTCGCTCCTTTTTTCTATTCTTTCCTCAGATTTATCCTCCTTGTTGCTAAGCCAGCTAGTTAGTCGCAATATTCTTTCCAGCCCAAAGTTGACATCAGTGGAGTTGACAGAAGTTCCAAATAAAACCATGGTGAAGATGCCGCTTTAGGAAAACAAGAGGATAGAGATCTCTCGCTGTTCTTGAACATTGGCCCGGGCCGCTCTCCGCACTGAGTAAAAATTCGTTCGTGCAACGGGTCTTGGTCGCTGCTTTTACTGATTGATCAGCGCGCTCCCCCAGACGGTGCCTTTCGCGGTCAGCAAGGCATATCGTTCCCGATTCAGGTAGTTAAAACAACTCCCAACTCGCCTAGTTTCATGAGCGACCGTCCTGGTTTTCGAGATTGGGAGCGCAGCCGCGGAGAACCTCATGTCTGTTGATGGACGTGACTTCGGCCGTTGATCATGATGCAGAATATGGTACTGGACCCAATTCAAGGAGCGGACGTTCGGCATATATAAGCTGTTCTGTAAGAAGGGCATGCGGGCGTCACGACATCTTGTGCGAGAGACAAAGGTGTCTGTCGCGGTCGATATTTCCTCACCGCAAGCAAGGTCTGTCGAGTATCTCCAAAAGAAATTAACGCCATGCAAGACATCACTCTTCTCGTTGCGCAAGGCGCCTGCTCGCTTGCACCACACACTCTGTTGAGGGAAACGGACGCCAAATTCACCATCGAACTGCTCAACATCAGGCAGGGCATTCCAGAGAAGCTCCGCCGGGTCAACCCAAAGCTGCGTGTCCCCGTCCTCGAGTTTCACGACGGCACTGCTTTGACTGAACTTCCCGCCATCATGGTCGCCATTTCGCAGATGAGCCCGGCCCAGCATTTCATGGGCCGGACTAACCTGGAGAGTCTCCGACTCTACGAATGGCTCAATTGGCTATCCAGCACCCTCCACGCGCAGGGCTACGGCATATTCTGGCGGCCACAGCGCTTCGCCCAGGATGCCACTCTCCACCATGACCTCAAGCAACGAGCGCGAGACTCGATCATCGCCTGTTACGAACAAATTGAGGCCAAATTGGATGGTCCGTTTGCAGTCGGGGGCGCCCTCACGGCTGTCGATCCCTTCCTGTTCGTTTTCTACAGATGGGGCAACCTCATTGGCCTTCCGATGGAGGCGAAGTATCCGAAGTACACACGGCATGCCAGGGAAATGTCTAAGCGACCATCACTGCAGGCAGCCTTGAGAGCAGAAGGTGACTATCAAGTCTTCTGGTGTAAAGCCATCCACTCTAACACTCTTGCTTTCACAGGATTGCTGCCAAAGGAGGAGCTTCCGCAGGATGAGTACTTCCCACGAGCCGTGGGGTTGGGGCTGCGAGTGGAACACCTTTAATCATGGCCACTCGGTTCCAATGCCAGTGCCCACGTCGGACAACAATCGGTTGATGGTGATATCGGGAGATTGCAACTGAGTTAAGCCATGGAAGCGACGTGGCCGAGCCATAGTAGAGCCAAATTGATGCAACCTATAGTATTGAGCTAGCAGTAATCTACTCTGTGCTGCTTTACCGCCCAGGCAACGTACGACCTGCCCACCAGATAGTGTGACTGGTCTTACCACTTTGTGTTGATCAATAAATGCAGAGGCTTGAATCCACCCTGCTATATATTGACGTAGTTTCGCCGCTTAAGCAGGGCAATTAACCTGGGACGGGGGAACGTTCTTCGTGCGTGGCCATTCTTCATTCTAATCGTCAAGTTGTGTCTTAAGATTCCGTGTAAAGAAGGCAGGCTGTCAGAGCATGATAGTGTGCTAAGGCGCATAGTCTGCGCATATGACATGATGACAAGGATGAGGCGGGGCTGCTAAAGTTGCCTGTACTACAATGGAACGGTCACCCGTGATTGGCTAGACAAAAGCATAAATACGGAGAGGCATGCGGGTGGCATTTGAGAAGTTCTTCAAGGGAGACGGGCGAGCAACAGACAACGAAGTCAGGCACGCAATCGGACAGCTTTTGAGCATTGAGAGAAGAGAGAATGTTGAACCCTCTTCTCGCGCATGCTACAGTTTTCCTTCAGAGCCATGCAACCCAAAACAAGATGTAGCGAACAAGCATATATACTCCGAACTGTGCTTCGTCCATTACCGTATTCGTTCAGGAAAGGGAGCGCGGCCGCTTTAATCTGGCACGTGACGGAGCATCGAGGAGGCCCGGCGGAGCCCGGGAGCGTCGTGGGAGCTGGTTTTGTAGCCACTCCAGTGCCACTCACCCCGTGTTTCATCACGTGTGGCTGCGTCTGTCATGTTTTCAGCCGCAAAGTGTGAAAGGCCCCCATCGTTCCTCCCCGGCTCAAACATTATCTGGGGCGGTGCTAACGTTTCAGACGCATTAAGATTCCCCTGCCGAAGGAATGGTCCTGGATCTCATCACCCTTGGTGGGTATATGCTCATCCGAGCAGCCATCACCGAGGTCCAAAGGCGGGATGCGGAGCGAGAATTGGCTGCTCAACGACGCATCGGCTCGTCCCGTGCTTCAGCATCCTCATCCGTGGGCACCAAAGAGGCCGTTTACGAGAAATTCCCTCTCGCCCCGGGCGAAATACGGCTTCTGAGGCTGGAAGCCGGTACGGGAGACATCTGTTGCTCTTTCTTCACCAAGTCTCTGTCGGAGAGTCACAAGTACGATGCCATATCATATAATTGGGGCGAGAGCACTCAGAACAGACATGTCTACGTGGAAGGCGTCAAATTCGAAGTGACTGACAACGTCTTTGATGCGCTTAGCCAATTCCGCGAAGGCGTGGGTGGAACTGCGAGGAATGTATGGGTCGACGCCTTGTGCATCGATCAGAGAAAGGAAGCCATCGAGAAGAGACATCAAATCGACAACATGCATCGCGTCTACACGAATGCTAACACTGTCTTAATTTGGCTGGGCCCAGCGCGAGAAGGTTGTGCTCGAGCAGTCGAATTCTTCAAGAGTCGAGAAAGCAGGCCGCCTCCTTCCGATCGTGATTTGATTCAGCTGGGTGAGGGGCGCGGCAGGGAGCCGTTGATTGATCTTATGAGGAATTTCCTCCTCAGGTTGTGGTGGACTAGAGGTTGGATCGTGCAAGAGGTCATGTTGGCCAAAAACCCGATCATGTACTCTGGTCAATATTGCCTCTCGTTTGACCTGGTATTGCAGCTGGCGAAGATCAATACCTTTTTCCCTCGCCACATTCTCAAGGCTATCCCAGGGGATTCGATCAGTCCGCCGATGGTGGGCGCGCAGCTCCCTATCAATCCGATGCTCATGTGTCGGGGGAGTGTCTTGGCCGGAACAAAGCTCCGTTTCGATGAGTGGCTGTCCTCATTTAGGACGCAAAAGACTTCTGAACCGGTGGACCGGATCTATGCCTTCATCGGCCTGGGGAAGGTCTATGACCCTGACTTGCCCATATCTGCCACCGACGAGAAGCCACTCGAGGTCGTTTGGGCACAGACAACGCGATATATCCTTCAAAAGTTTGGCAACCTGGACTTCATAAGCATTGGGCGCGGTCCAGGGCGATGCGAAGATCAGAGTCTCCCTCATAAACGTTCGGTTAATCCTGAGACATTCGAGCTTCCTGGTTGGGTACCCGATTACACCCTTCCTGGTGCAACAGGAACCTCATTAAGGCCGCTTCCAATCAATGTCATGAAGCCGTCGATCTTCAATGCAAGTCTTGGTCGAAAACCGCTCATCCGATTTGCTGGTGATCTCAAGGGCCACAGCGACACTAGGAAGCTTTGTGCTTCCGGGATTGAAATTGGCTCCATTTCAGCAGTGACTGGCATCAATGAGTTGTGCGGCGACTTCACGAACGATTACCTCGTGCAATCACCGAATACTGATCGGTTTGTCAGTGAAGCAACTCGTCTTTGTAGCAGCTACAAGAAAAAGATGGACAAGGAAGCAGGGCTGCCTGTCGATCCAGACCCGCTCGACTCTACCGTAGATCAGCTCCAGAATCTAGCCACAGGGTCGAGTTACCACGGCTTTGGCTACACGTGGTTCGAAGCGCTGGGAAAAGCGCTGACAATGGATATGCGCTTCGTTGGCGATCGACTTCCACCAGGAGAGCACTACTTCAACTTGCCTGAAGACCCACCTGCTGACTATAGGGGTGGGGTGGGAACTGAGGAAGAAAATCGAATTTTGTGGGCACAAACACTGCACGGAGAGCGGCATTCGTGGACAAACGGAAGGCGATTCTTCATCACGCAGAAAGGCCATATTGGCGTTGGGCCTCCGGATGCGACCTCGTCGGATGTGATATGCATACTCGACGGGGCGATGGCGCCTTTCGTCCTCAGGCGCACAGGTACTGGCATCGAAAAGCAGTGGGAGTATATCGGCCACTGGTGAGTACCTCCTCCCAACCCATTCAAGATCGGCAAGAGGAGCTAACAGGAAATGTCACTTCAAGCTACTTGCAAGGCTTTATGGACGGTGAAGCCTATAAGCCTGGTAGACGTCCTCATCCAACAGAGACCTTTATAATAGTATGACTGTACTTCCACAGCTCCATAGTGTCCTCATTCCGTAGTCAGCTTCTATTTTGAATTGTATCATTCCTGTTAAAATCTCTGAGACCTATTTGGGCTTTCACTCAAAAAGACTAGAATTCTGGCATTTCATGCTTGCCAGGATTCTGAGACTAATAGCTATATACTTGACAGGCAGTACTATCCCGACACAGCCTGACAATTACCCCTCCTCGTGGCAACCGCGCCCGTCACATGCGAGTCCCTCGCACGTCGCGTGGAGCTCGCGACACGCCACACGTCCCTCCTGACTTTAACCCGCCTATTCTGACGCCCAGTAGTTAGGGCTGGGGGACTTTAATCTCGCCTTGCAGGCTAGGATTCAGCACTTTTAGGGCCGAGGAACCCCAGCCAGCCCCCGGTTCTCCGCATAAATGTGTGGTGCAAATTTGGGCAACGCTCCCTTGCGCCCGCGTCCCCCTGATTGCAGTGAGAAATTCCCCGGCCTAGATGGGGTACTCTTCCTACTTTCTTTTTCTCATCTTCCCTCGCTTTTCCCTTTCTAACCCGAATAATCATATGCGAACGCCCAGAGCGGCTTCGCGGTCAGAAAAATTGCTTAGCCAGATATTTTCGTGGGCGCTCTTGCGTTTTCATTCCTCCCGATTACCAGAAGCCTGTAACTCCGGATGGCAAGCAAGGATGGACCGCCAACTGTGGAACACGATTCCTCCAGGAGCCGAACTGCTCTCAGCCCTACTCGTCGCGAGCGAAAACGGGCGAGTGACCGACTGTCTCAACAAGGGACGCGGGCAAGGACCAAGGCATATATTGCGCACCTCGAGAGCACATCGGCAAGACTGACAGAGGCGCTCGCGGGCAACGGTGCTGCTGTTTCCGAACAAATGGCGCAACAGTATGACGAGATTGAGGGATTGAAGGGCGTGATTGCACGGATTGCAAAGATTGCAAATGGGGCGGTAGGCTTCACTTATGCCAGCACAGAACCCGACATTCAGAACCGGCCATCGACAGATATATCCCACTCCAGTCTGCATGGGATAGCACTTTCGAGCCCAGCGGCAACTGTGCCTGCTGGATATTGTGGCTGTTTTACTCCGGAGACATTCCCACCGGTCCCGCATATCAATCAGGAGTCACTGAAGAAAATCTACCCCACGATTAACCTCGAATGTAGCAACAAAGACCGCGATTATTTCGGGGCGCTCAATCACGCGTTGGTGACGATCGAAAGTAACCACGCACGCCACCTGTTTTCCGGCCCACACGTTGACGATGACACCAGTATTAGGGCGGTCTTACACGGCTGGAATGCTGCAAGAGCCAAAAATCCCTTTGATGTTGGATGGCAATTACTTCAAATCCTAGATGAAGGTCTCTTCTTCAGAAGTGGATCGGTAGAGCGGATGGCTATTTTGCGGATCATGAGAGCAATGCTGATGGTACTGATACAAGGTTCCGCTTGGTGTACTCTTGCTGAACGAGGCATAGACCAAGATCAATTCCCATCTTCCACCGGAAAGAAAACCCCCTTCCTTCATGAATCCCAGGTAGATATCCCCCCTCTCCTCATCTTAACCTTCGCTGATGGAAACCAGTCCTTTGCAGGCGCAGGTCAGCCACCCGAGGCTGATCGACTATTTCGTGTGGTGAGCTCGCTCGAGGGGCGTCAGATTTCTTCTCTCCAACTTATCTAACCGCGTAATAGGCCCGAGGTTCGTGACTATCTGATCATTAGTGGCATCAGCTACGCGCCCGAGAGATTGGCGGCTCAATTCGCCGTCGACATTGGCTTCAAATGGCCATTCACCCTCCGAGACACATGCACATATCAGCCATCAACGGGAGTGTACGCATTTTCCAAAGAGTTTACAGAGGCATGCGAAAGTCTGGAATCATGGTATTTCAAATCGCCTATTATGTCAATCCACCTTCCTCTATCGCCAGACAAGTCCGCAACGGGTTTGGAGGACGATTGGCCGGGAACTCTGCCCCGGTCCTGCAACCTGCCTTCCGAGACATTTCAACAAGCTGACTCTTGGAATGGTGCCTGGGAGGGAATCATGCCGACAGAGAACCCCTAGTTCTCGCGGGTATTGGACTAGGCTATATTTTTCGACCTGGCGCTGCCCCGAGCCTGTGCCTCACACCTATGCCATAGTGAGCCCGATCACCCATGCTGAAGTCCGCGATTCTATGTCTTGGGCTCACGATGAACGCGGCATGTCTGGTGCGGAGAATGAACCGGGAGTTGTCTCCTTTCGTTCGCTATTCGGATCGTATGTCATTGATGCTGTGGGAGCTCCATAAATACTCTGCCGCTGAACTCGGCACTCTGAACCAGTTGCCAATCTTTCCAGAGTGAGACAACGAACAGTCTCCGAGTTTGGGGTCATGGTCGTTGTAGGCGGTAATCGAGCATTCCGGCGTGCAAAGGCAACAAATGAAACGGGCTCCCGAGGCAAGGCCCAGATGTCCGACCTCAGGGCGGTGTATGCCTTGGTGAGAGATGCGGTTCCGGCTTCTGAAGGAGAAAGCGAGAGCGACGGAAATTATCCCATGAGCATTCTACCTGATGCTTGCGTCAGATCTATTCATGAGTATCCCGCGGCAATTGCAGTATTCGGGAAAGATTGAAGTAATGCACACTCGAGCAACAAAACCTGCCGTGTGCGGGCTTTTACCGCACGATGAAGCGTTTTACCCCGGGCCCCCAGCCGCGATGGGTACAAGAATAGTCTCCCAGACGGTGTGTTTCTTCCAGTCATTCTGCCCCGGATGTCGATGCCGCGGTTGTTTGCATAAAAGACGAGAATGTGCCTGAATTAGCGGCACGCTCAATGTTCGGTTCGCTGCCAGCCGTTGTTTGTACTATGTCCCTAGGACGTTAGCCACGGTGGGACTTGAAAAGGCTGACTCGGTGATCGACATTAATTACCTCGTTACATCAATGACCATTGGCCGCTTCTCTGCCCACCAACCCAGGTTTACCAAAGTGTCTAGCCACCAACCCTTAAGCCTTGTCCCCCGGTCATCCCTTCCCCTTTTCTTCACTAAGTAGAATTCCTAGGTAGCGCCATGGAGGGAGGACCCGGAGGCTAGGCCCTCCAGAAACTCGGCTGCAGAACCAGATAACTTCGCTCACAATCAATAACATTCCCACTTCTCGTTCTAACACTTAGGAATAGAAGAGAGGAAGATGCAATTTCACCAGGGCTTTGGGCCTCCGTTCGCGAGCGGCGGATTCCATCCATCCGAGTCAGATTCTAAACCTGACTTCAAGCCACAGGTGACTTTGCAAGGTTCTTTCTCTGCAAAGAGGCATTGTTTCTCAATCATCAAGTTTGGAGATCTTGATGCTCGTATGCTAGCATCGCGTACACTTGCATTGCATCCTTGGATTGTTCATATATAAACAGAGGTAGGTCCACCACAAAGGATGTCGTGACCCCAGAGATCAAATCACCACGCTCGTTTCAATCTCACTCGTTCACTTCTGCTCTTGCTTTCTGATACACTCATTCCCCCCAAAAACACATTCTTTGCACCAATCGACAAACATATCCGACCATGAAAAATCTCATCCTGAGCCTGTCATGCGTGTTCCTCGCGCTGGCTCGCCGGGGTGGCGCCCAATGCCCAGCGGAGTCGCTCTCATTCTCTCCAATCCTCTATGCAGGCCCGAGCGAGGTTCAGTTCACCTCTTGTGACAGCGGAGCAGACAGCCCTCGGGTCTTTCCGATCAATGCAACAACATTTGACTGGTGGTACTTTGACGCGGTTTCGGACGACGGCACCCAGGCGCTCACCGTTATCTTCTTCACGTCTTCTTACCTCGGATTCAGCTTTGACCTCCTGAACGCGATCGACCCGTTGAACGTCTACATTTTTGCCAATACTGGGTCAGGAACGCCCATCTCTTTTCCCGTCGCTGCAACTTCGGTGACGATCGACACAGTCGGCGATGGCGCTTCTGGTGACTGGGTTGGAAGTGGAATCAGTTTCCAGGGCGCCCCTGATCTGAGCACGTACACCCTCACATTCGACAAGACGCTACTCAACTTGGGCATCGAGGGAACTTTCACTTTGAAGACCGTAAGTGCTACACCCCCTTCCCCTACCGCTCTTAAATGACGTGAGCTAACTCGGAACAAACTCAGCGCGGTCCAGGGCACTACGTTTGTGGTCCCTTGGAGGGAGGCCAGCCAGAGGAAGTACTGCCTCATGTCGGCTGGGTGAACGTCATGCCAGCCGCGGATGCTGAGGTGAACGTAAACGTACTGGGCACGCCATTAAAATTCTCCGGGAATGGCTATCATGACAAGGTGTGTTTTCAACCTGTTCGACCCAGATTTTTATTTCCCTCGAGTGTATCCTGGTCGAGATTTACGAGGCTCTAACAAGATGATGCTTAATATCAGAACTGGGGCGATGTCCCATTCATCTCTACACTGAACAGCTGGTACTGGGGCCACGGTACATTTGGCGACTACAACATCGTCTTCTTCGATATGCTCGACCCCAACAACGAAGAAAAAGTCGGCGGCTACGTGTTGAAGGACGGCGAAGTCGTGGGCTCGACCTGCACGACGGGCTTGAAAGTGCGCCCGGTCGGAACGCCGTATCCCCCGACCTTGCTCACCGCGAATCCCACTCAGCTAACCATCAACATGACCCTCAATGACGGCAGCAACTTGAATGCCATCGTGACGGAAAAGGCCACCCAGATAGATATTGGACTCTATACACGGTGGATCGGCGACATCACAGGCACTGTGAACGGCGTCACCACGTCTGGCAGCGCACTGTGGGAGCAGTTCAAGACCCAAGTCTAAAAATCAATGGGGCTGTGATCACCTGTTTTGGCCCTCGACCGAATGCCTGGCATTTGCGCACCTATAGAGACCTGTGTCTCGGACACGAGGGAACGTGTGAAAATCGAACCCTCAGTTTCTAGGAATTTGTTTTCATTTCTTGCAGAGGCCTCGGGGTTTATAGCTGGTTCATGTAACAGGAGGAGCAAAGTTTAATAAAACCTTCGAGTTTCAAATTTGGGCAAAGCCCTTCGGGTGTTAGGCTGGTACGGGTCCCTGTCGTCGCCCTTGACCGATCTCTTTTGAAGGATCGGTTTGGAGTACGAAGCCGGCTCTGCTTCTGTCCTGGCCGATAATAATTATCTGGAAAATTCATCAAACTTATCAAGGGCTCAACTGATGAAATTCTGAGACAAGGGGAGATTGATTTTGTAAGAACACACTTGAATTTTTCACAAATGCCTGAAGAAGTACAAAATTCAGGGGAGTTCAGGTGGTCGGCCTAAAGCTGGCCTTGAAGAATCTCGAAACATCTCTCGACGCCACAGGTCTCTCTGCCCGTAGAACGCTTTTCTACGTATGCTTACTCCTAGAAGTAAGATCAAGTTGTCCATGCTCGATTCCAGAAGTGCAAATGAGGCCACCCGTTTCCCACACCCTGTCCCATGCCTGGATACAACATCCTCCATGTCCAAGACACCGCTTTCCCAAATGTCCACAACCCAACGAGAGAGATAACTGCCATGAAAACCAACGTGATCAAGATTCTACGTTCTGCCGTCACAAACACTTTGGGCCTCTTGGGCCTCTTATCTTCCAACGTACCAGCGACCTGATTTTGTGAATCAGTTTCGAGCTTGGGAACGTATTTGAATTCGAATATGGTCAAGCTCTCCAAACCGGTGTCTGGGGACTTGAGCACTGACCAGACAGTCCGACGGAAGGACTTGATCCGGAGTCTGTCAAGTGGTGGGATCGACCGACACGTGTAACAGGTGACCATCAATAGAAGGCACTGGCCAGCGGTAAGCATCCGATAGTAGAAACCGGGGCGACCAAGTCCCAGAGCGTCGGCGAGCTTGTCTCCGTTTAGCCAGCGTGCATTGGCTTCTAGATACGAGCGGCTCGCGTAGGAAGGAGGTGTGTTCTCCAACGACCAGATAATATTATTGGCGTGCAACCTGGACGTCGCCGAGGGTGCGTATTCGTAGCAATACAGCGATTCCATGATCGCCTTGGCCTTTGCGGGCGTCGAGAAAAACTCTGTCGGAGTGCCCATGTAGTAACCCACCAGCCGCCAGAGGGCCAAGTAATCCAGAATCTCCTGCTGACGGAGGAAAATGCCCTGACGAGGTAACGATTGCCAAATGACAGTGGCAGAGAAGACCGCGATGGTGCCGATGCAATCCAGATCGTTAACCGGGACGCCGCACTTCTCTACCGAGTAGTAGGCAGGGTGACGAGACGCGATTTGCAGGATGCGTTGGCGGACGGTTGCGTGTAAGAACCGAACTCGAAGACAGCTCGCGAAGCCATCGCCGCCCGGTCTGATGGAGGCGAGGTCGTTCGTACATTCTAGAATGAATTGAGTCGTCTCCAGCAGTCGACGCCAAATGGTTTTGATGCTAAATCCTCCGGTCCGGGCAAGAACCTCTGTCACCCTGCTACTGGCTGTACCTCCCAGGAGGGATTGGTAGGTCAGGCCGGTGAGGTTCGCCTCCCCGTACCTGTAGAACACATCCTGGCCTCGGGCAATTTGGTCCCAGTCCACCCATTCAGGGATGGTGTTCACCTGGTCCCAGAGCTGTTGGAGCTTGTTGTTTTTATGATGGTGGCTGCAGAAGAGCGCGTAGGAGTCTCTCTTGGCTTGGGACTCACCAAGAGGAGTCTCGCCCTTTCCTTCACTTCGATCTTCAGAGGGTGGCAACTCGTTCAGGATCCTAACACATTCATCTGCAAGTGTATCACACGTGTACTTAAGATGATTATATTGTTTTGGTGCCTGGTGATAGTCGGTCCACCGGAAACGGTAACCCCAGGCTTCTCTCATTCCGCGCTCAGGCCGGGACGATGCAGTTCTCGTCGTCATGTGGGAAATGGCGAGTTAGGCTTTCTAAGACCGACAGTTGCTAATCAAAGAACGTCAACCTTTCACTGGACACGAATGTCTGTCGTAGGTATTGGCAAGTTGGGACACAAGAGAAATATCTAGTATGCTATCTCGGCCGCGTCAAACTGTCTATCTTTATATCTATCCGGGATGATGATTCCTCGGCGGCCGAGCTTCAATGTAGGGACATCAACGGGCGAGCTAGATGCGATGCCCAATACTCTTCAAGTCCATCGCCTATGTTAGGTCGGACTGATCCACATAAACCGTGTCAGCAAAGCATCGCCCCGTACGGGTACCGAGACCCTGGATCTGCCAGGCCTTCAATGCAAGAGGGATCCTGCTTGTGTTTAATGTGTCGAAATACTCGGTATCTCTGTCAAGCCGATAAGGTGAGGCTAGCGGAGTCAACAAATCGTGGTCAAAGTGCGTAAGCGAGTTCAAGTAGTTAGAGTGGGCATGAGTGGGCCATTTATTTCACTTTCCAGCTGCTAATTGGACACAGCAGCATCCACAAATCCCCGAGAACGGGATTTGTTCAATTATGCTAGCGGGATGCCAAGCGCATTCCTCTCATGCTGACAAGCCACTCCAGTGCTTGATTCTAACAATGTCACCTGGATACATGCACAGAGAGTCTGACTCCCATTGCTGCAATAGTGGAGAAGAGACATGTTCCCCATTTAGGACTGGACAAGCCGGACGTGGAGTGGGACTTGGAAACACCTCACCGAGCCCAATCCAGTTGACGAGGACACCAGGAAGCCGTAGACGTCCTAATACGAGTGGCTGGCGTTTTCTATGCCTCAGGAGATTGTATTCGCATCTTGGATAGGACAGTCAGGTTAACCGAGTCAAGTTGTCAATGTCAGACGTCCCATCCTTTACGTGTACTTGCTCTCTCATGGAGCGTTCTCTCACGATGTTCCGCGAGATTTTACTGCGATTCGGAAACAGCTTGACTCGACCCGCATACGCCTCTAATCATGCAATCGGAATCAGCAAAACAGAGACGTCGTCTCCGGACCGCAAACGTCGCCTGATTATATGGGGGGAAGCCGAGGCGCGCCTGGCTCTATATGTTCGAGATCCTGGGAGATTGCTCGTCGTTATTCAGCATATATAACAAATGCTTTGGACAATTTCAGACATTCCCTGCTCTCTACACCTCCCTACTCCTATCCTCTAAACATTTTGGTCACCATTCATCAATGGAGAAAACAACGGCAACTCACCTGGATTCCAGAACTCTGTCTTCAGAGCAGATAGAAACCGCCAAAGGAAAAATCGAGGCTCTGCGCGTTGACACGGACGACAACGCCCACGCTGTGAAAGGTGATGACTCCGATGGGACAATCGAGTGGACCGGGAAACATATTATCGCCTCTCTATCCCTCGCTGGGTTATACGTCGGTATATCACTGTCCCGGAGTCGGAAGAAAGAACAAGGGAAATCAGAGTGACTAACCTTCCAAAGGCGCCCAAATCCCTCTGTACTTTGTCGGTGGTTCCCTTACGTTCATAACAAGAGACATTGGATCATCCCAGAAGGTCTCCTGGCTTCCGGTGGCCAATACTCTGGCGATTGCGTCGATTGCTCCATTTGTTGGATACCTGCAGGATATTTTGGGACGTCGCTACATGTCGCTGATTGGAGGTGTGGCTATTATGATTGGAATTATCCTCATTGGGACCTCCCACGCGTTTGGCCAGGCCGTGACTGGCATGTCATTCGCCGGCGCGGGCGGTGCTATTGGCGAGCTTACGGCGCTTGCTGGGTGAGCGACACCTATCATGTACCGTGCCTGGCGTACTGGCTGACGGTATTGCGTCTCAGAACTGCAGAACTCGTTCCTGTCAAGCAACGAGGGCTCTATCTAGGTCTCGTTACTTTTTTTGTGGTCCCTTTTGTGCCCTACGTCATGTATAGCCAGCTCCTAGGCACCTACCACACTTGGAGATGGGGAATGTGGATCTCACTGTCAGTAGTACAGACAACAAACAGACAGATACCCTTCCAAGCTAACATTCAAAGTAGGATCTACAATGGTGTTTGCTTCGTGGGTATCGCTCTGACCTACTTTCCGCGGGCGACCAGGAGAGGTGGTGGAGCTACCAAAATGCAGATTCTGAAGAGCATTGACTACGTGGGTGGCCTCTTGTCAATCATCGGGCTGACCCTTTTGTAAGTGGCGCAATGTCCACCGTAAGTCTATCAACTAACGTACTTGGCAGCCTCGTGGCTCTCCAGGCGGGTGGCTACTCACATCCCTGGTCGTCTGCTTACGTTCTTGGCAACCTTCTAATTGGTATCGCACTCGTCGTCACCTTCGTTGTGTGGGAGTATAAATTTGCTCGAAATGCCATGGTCCCACGCGAGCTTTTCCAAGGCCAGCATATCGTCGCGGTCTCCTTCCTGGTAGCTTTCGTCGGCGGAATGAACTTCTATTCGTCCCTCAACTTCTTTCCGCTGGAGGCGTCGACCGTCTTTCCACCGGATCCTGTACAGGTCGGATTGAAGGGACTCGCCGCTGCCATTGGTGTGACTTGCGGCGCTACCGTTGTGAACGCGGCGTTGTCGTGGTTGAAAGGATACAATCGAGAACTCCTAGTCGGTTCATGTGTTCTGATGACAGCATTCGGTGGAGTTTTGGCAAGTGTAACTCCAGACACCCCCGGCAGGCTGTATGGGTTCGCGGTCCTGTCTGGCATCGGAATCGGGGGTGTCCTTGTGCCAGCTGCCACCATTGCCATCACCGTTGCGTAAGTGGAACCCGAGAGTGCTCATCCAGCGCATATTCACGTCGACCCTAACAGCTACCCAGGCCCGACGAATTGATTGCCACCTGTGTGGCACTGTCGCTGTCCATCCGTGTGGTTGGAGGCTCCATCGGCTACAGCATCTATTACAATATCTTCTACCACAAGCTCGCCGCTCAACTTCCAATAGAAGTCGCCGAGGCAGCAATTCAAGCCGGCCTACCGATCGCATCGGCAAAAGCCTTCGTGGAGGCATTCATCTTGGACCCCGCTGCCGCTGCCGAAATTCCTGGCGTCACACCCGCCGTGTTAGAAGCAGCTGCTATTGGGACCCGCTGGGGTTATGCCTATGCCCTCAAATTCGTGTGGTATACCAGTATTGCTTTTGGGGTATGTGCGACCATTGCCTGCCTCTTCCTCGGCAATATCAAAAAATACATGACCAATCGCATTGCTGCTCAAATTATCCATTGAGTCGGGAGGAGGAAAGGGGAAGAATAGACCAAATGGCTCATGCTGAACTCCAGGAGCGCTCAGGGGTCGATCAGGAAGCAGAAGATCAACCGACACCAAGCTGGCGTCAGAATTACCCGGCCACCCAACCCTAATTTTAGTGCGTTCTGCTCAACGTTACGTACTTGTTACAGTACAGTAGTACTGAGAATAGAATAAAATAGCTAGATAAATAGGGCAGGATTTAATAATTAATCCTACAGAAGAAAAGTATTATATTATCGCCTAGGATCGAGAGAATCTTGAGAAAGGCTCTTCTTAAATGACAAGCAGCAACGACATAGATGCGGAGGATCGAGTCATCCTCCCGATCAATGAAGTGACCACACAGCAAGTAACATCCCAGTTCCCAGAAGGGGTAACAAACGCCGGCTCCTGAGGACGCCAGCAGCAGAGTTAGTGCTACCTGACCGAGTGTTTGTTGGTGACACTGTAGATGTTGTCATAGTAGAGGAGCTGGCACTCTCGACCGCCGTCGATCCTGAATCACCTTGCGACGTCGAATTCTGCCCCTTCTCTACCACGAACTGTACTACGTCGGTATGGTATGTTGAGGTTGCAAGGCTGTGTACCATGTCGTTGTTGCCTGAATAACAGTAGCGATCGCCCCTGCCGCACCATGATCCCATGAGGCCGCTGTACTGGTTGCACACGGTGGTATTCTTCCGTGGGAAACCCTGAACGGGAAGTTGGCCAGGGATATTGCCCGACGCAGTTACAGTAGCTCTGCGACCAACTTGGATAAGATTTCTTGACGATAGTGATTACGCTTCGGAAAAGGCTACACGTAACATTGTCAATTGGCACAAAGAGACTGAAGAAGGTAGCATCCGGCTTGACATGGGAAACGAAAACGAGACCCAAAATTCACATGTATCCTTGGATACATCGAGAATCTAAGGCTTCAACTGGACACAACCGGCTATATCACCGATCCATGGAGGGTTCCACACAGGCAGGCGCTCCGGGCCGAAAAGGGTTACAGCAGGCCAGACAAGAATAGCGGAGCAACGAGCAACATGTCCCGAAAGATGGCCCTTCCGAAGACGTGAAACACAAATATTCAGGATTAAAGCGGCCTCGCTCCCTCTCGCTCCCTTTCCTGAATGAAGATGGTAATGGATAAAGTAGAGTTCGGGGCATATATAATATATACATATACACGTCCTTACGCCGACGTGCAGGCGTGGCGGTGTATTGTCAACGATGTAATGTCAACCTTTACCCTCCGGCTGACTAGAACTACGTTGCATAATATAGAGCTCTTTGGTCGGGAAATCGTCTCTAAGGATATCCTAGCTTCTCTCTTATCTCTTCTCTATCGTATAATCCAGGATACTTATAAGCTCTGTCTATAGAACTCCCTTATCCTTACCATCGCTGTAGAAGAGATAGAGTCTAAGAAAGCGTGTCGGGTGGTGCGTACCGACGAACATTGATTAAAGCTCAGACCCTAGAATACATGAGAATTCTTCGCCTTATCGAACCCCTGACCCCTCGCATATACGGGCAAAAACTCCTCCATGTGATATAATACGCTGTCGTCTGAGCCCTTATACGTAAATGTCTGCAACTTCCCGTGGAATAATCAAAGCAACACTCGTCTAGTCACTCCAGCGCCCTTCGCCCTGCGCCTAGAAACTTTTTCTCGCTCCCAGGATTCTCCGTTTTCGCAGTCCAGAGTCGATCTGGTCAATGGGGCCTCCACTGGTGTAGGCATTCCACGACGTACACAATTCGCCGACGCTCGATGGGATCGTGATGGACGAGGCGATGAGGCTCGGTTGTTCCTGTCCCAGAGTTAGGAATTTGGCGGAATTGATAATGTCAATGCCGAGAGAAGCGACTTACCAGAATGTTGACGTACAGTCCGCCGCTGACGTGCCAGGCGATATGGCAGTGAAACGGCCACACGCCCGGGTTATCGGCGACGATTTGAATGGCCATGTATCCGTCGGGCTGCACCATTTGGACGTCCCGCCGGGCGGGGTTGGAAGGATTGACGACGGTCCCATCCCAGCTGCCCGTGCCTTCGCTCAGGACGAACATGTTGTGCCCGTGGATGTGCATCGGGTGCATCAGGGGAGTTTCGTTGTTGAGCACAATGACGAAACTACCGTTGCTGCCGAAGTCGTAGACGTTCCACTCCGGGTTGTAGGGGTATGAGTCGTTGCCACCATTGGCCAGCATGAGCAGAGGGGAGTTGTAGTCAGTGCGGAAGCTGGAGCCATCCATCGTCCACAGAAAATTGCCGGTGCTGTTGACCTCGAAGCTGAGAGCAATGTCCACCGTGCTGTTGGCCGCCGGTGGGGTAATCGAGGCATAAGGGACAGTCTCGCTCAGAGGGTCGTTGCCACAGAGGGTATCGTTCACGGTCCATCCCGACGACGTTGGGGTAGCCGTGGTATTGGCGTCTTGATAGTACACCATGGCCAAGCCGTAAGGTTGGTCCGGCAACGAGCATGCCGTGCTGATCGTGGACCTCATCCAGTACATGCTGTCTGCGGTACCGTTGGCATGAAGGACGACGTCCGCGCGTTGGCCGATCCCCAATGAAACGACGTCGGTGGTGTAGGGCACGATCGGGACGAAGTCATAGGCGATCACCGTGAGGACATGGTTGTCAATACTGAATCGTTGCAATCCCTCGGCACCGGCATTGATGAGTCGAAGCCGGTAGGACTGTCCTGACGTGATTTGAAACTTGGAATACCCTGCGTTAGAGACGCAGGTGGAATTGTCGGTGACAAGCGAGCAATTAAAGATTCCCTTTCCGTTGATGAGATTGTTGATTGAGTCCGGCGCAATTTTGGTGAGATCAGTGCCCATCACTTCCTCCACGATTGTATAATAGGGTTCGTGATAATAGTCAGTAAGGATAATCGGCCCTAGGTCCTCGTCGTAGTCCGCATTCGTAGGCCCATGGATAATCATCGCCCCGAACACTCCGTCTGCGTATTGCGCACTGTAATGCGCGTGATACCAGGATGTTCCGTAGAGGTCGGCGTTGAAGGAATACGTAAACGTCTGCCCGGGTGCGATCGGGCATTGTGTGATTCCCGGAACGCCATCCTCGTAAGGTGTTCCCGTCTGCAACAGGCCGTGCCAGTGCAAGGCCGTTCCTTCTTCCGGGTTGGTGATGTTGTTGGTCACTGTAACTTGAATTGTGTCGCCCCAATTCGCCTCGATGGTAGGACCAGGGAAGGCACCATTGACGAGTATAGCGGAACGATACAATCCGTCTGGGGCTATTGTTCCTCTGGATATGACGAAATCATAAGACCTTATCACTCCAGTCGACGGTGGGGAGGTGTAAGGGTTGGTATATGCAGAGCGATTCCCCCAAGGCAAGCCGCCGGCCTGGCTCGAGTCGGGCAGGTACTTTGGATATGTTGGTGCGCCGAGGGTCCCGAGGAGAGAGTTTCCGTTAGTCTTGCCCTGTGGCAGGGCATTGATCCCCAGCGAGACCCGTTGTCGGTCTGGGCTCTCCGGTACTGCTGAGGCGGACGGGAAGAGGAGGGCAGAGAGATAAGACGGCAATTCCGCTGTTCCTGTTATGGCGGGACCGGAGTACGATACGCCCGTTGAGGTATCCTGGACCTATAGTTCGTGTCAGTTTCGACTTATAGAAATGGACATGGACGGAACAAGTACAGGATGACAAGTCCGGCACTGAGAAGCACTGCTGACGCTGCCGTTCACGGCCGGTGATGGCAGATTCCAGCATCGAGTGGTTGAAGCATGTCCACTGTCAGAGCTCGTGGAGCCAGTCTTCGCGGGAGCGACCTGCGATTTGTGTGTTCCGGTGCCATCTCCTTGCCCGTTCCAATCGTTCCACGAGTCGTGGCCAGTCTCGGTGCCTCCCACGTTCGCAATAGCTGTAAGAAAGACTCCGACCCATAAAGTTAAGAGCCGAACCCCCATGTTGACAGAACCCAACGACCGAAAAATAAACGACGGGACGAGTAGAAAGATACTCTCAAATGAGTGGACGACGTTACAGCACGTCTGCGGTTCGACAAGACCAAACAAATGACCTTGTCGGAATGGTAGAAGGTCGAGGGAAGATCGAGCTCTGAGCCATGTGGACTATTGCGAGATCGAATACAAGATATAAGGAGAACATAGCGCGTGGCATCCACAGGGGACGGTCAAGATGGCGTAAAGCCAGCAAATTGTTGATTGTGCGTTTCGAATCAACTTTGGCCATCGAGGCCATGGCCCATCAATGTGCGTTGTGGGTCTTTCGACAGATTGGACTGGAGGCGGGTTCCCCAACGGTGGGCACACGGCTTAGACTCTATCTTCATGACGGCCACCAGAGCGAGCTCGGTACAGGGCTGGCGTACACTGGGTAGATACGTTGCTCCTTTTCATGTTCAGCCGCGGTGGGGAGGCCAGCGACGAGTGTTTTCACATGGCAAAAATTAAAACAGCGTCAACGTGTTGTAGTGGGCTATGCTTTCCACATCAACCGCTCGCGGGCAACGCTTGTCGTAAATTGACCGAAGTTACCTTCCTCGTCCTACGAAAACGGTCTCTTCTCTTGGTGGCTGTCAACGAGCATCCAGTAGACTCGCTTGTGGCTTGACGGGACGTGCGTAGAGCGCGAGAACTGCAAAGTTTAATCCGTACCCATTTGCCCCGTGGCGAAGCTTTGACGCATCACATCCCCTGGGAGCTGCAGGAACTCTGTATAAACCCACTTCAACTAGCACGCGGTCTGGCCACGAGTTAGACACGTTATCGTAACCCAATGAGGTTCGGCTCCAACACGTCGGCTACTAGATCAGGGCTACAGATACCACGCCCCCACCGGTGACGACGCTCGTGACGCATCCTAAACCGGAAAGCCTTGGCCAAAAAGACACCGTTTTTGGTTGGCGGTTACAACAAGCATCAATTGCAGGCGCGCCGCATAGGGGGACCTCATGGTCCCAGGGACCGTTGAAGTTGGTAGGTTTCTGTCAAGGCTGTGCTCCGACCAATCAGCTCGCGGTTCCTTCGGGCCTCAGCTGCAGCCAATCAGCAGGCGGCTGTACCTGTGCCGAGGATTCTCTAACAGGACGTCGCAACCCCTTTGCCTGCATCAAGGTATCGAGGTACTTATCAGGAAATCCCTCCTCGCCTCTCGACCGACCAGCGAGTGTGCCTGTAACGGGGTATACATACAGTTAATCCATGAGCAGTCGAAATTCAGCACTCTTCCGCATGGCTCATATCAGGCAGGTCTGCTGTACAAGCTGACATGACTATTACATATCGTCTGATGGTCGCCTTACAGTTCTGTCCGTTTCCTTCAGCTCCTTGTGAAGCGGGAGTGATGCAATCTACGTAGCTTGTTGACATTGAGAAACTCCGCATGCTTGGTGCCTTTTATAGTCCACCCATAAATGCAGCCCCCAAGAGTATTTCCAGATTCTCTACAGTCCCCTGTCAAAAATAGCCCAAAATCCAGCCGATGCCCCCGCTGCCGCAGCGGCGTCGTCAGCTCGACGGCATTTCGATCTTGAATCTCACGTCCACGTCACCCTCGCCGAACGGAATCGGGTTGGACTCTTCATCGAAGAGCGTCCTTTCGAAAAACCGAACATTCATGTCTTGATCAGCAAGCACGACGGTCTGCTTTTGCGTCCCGTACAGTCCACTGACGCCTAGTTGATGAGCCCGGAAGGGGGGGTTGATTGAGGGGGAATGGCGCCGGACCGGGGTGTTGTGGCCTACAATGTCGACCTTCTCGTGTCTTTTGGCGGCGGCGATCTCGTCGTCTGCAAGGTGATGACTCATGTCTTTTCGTCCCAGAGTTGGCACGTAGATGGTGTTTCTTAGGGCTGGAATATACGTCTCCAGACCGGACCCTTCTGGTTCGCCGTTTCGAGGAAGGGTTTCGTGGCTCAGCAGATCGAGAAACCTTCCTATCAGCTGGTCTTCTGTTTCTTCGTTTTCGACGCTCTGGCGGATCGTGTTCAACATGAGCTCTTCGCCCAAGGTGACCTTCTTCCACGATCGGTCCGAGAAATCGGCATTACTGAGGCCAACAGTGTGCACCACGTCCCCTGCTATCCAAGGAACTTGACTCTGGTGTTCAGCCCGGTTGGAGATGACAGCGAGCTTCTCGCCTATGTGACCACAGACAAGACTGAATCCACCGGCGTCCTTAGCAACGCCGGTATTGACAACGTCTTTGACAAACTCTTCCACGGGACCGACATCCTCAGACAAGAACTTTTTGATGATGGCGCCACGGCTGACGGCGGTTGGAGGCGGCGTAACGTCCTCCTTGAAGTTGGTGAGGACCGCAACCTTGCCTGTTCTCGTCACTCCGAGCCATGTCCCGTGGATTTCGCGCAGCATATCCCGGCCTCCGAGAACGTGGGAGTGAGGATCTGGCCACCATCCGGCAATATCGGTGGGTCGGTTTAGATATTCGTCCCGGTTGTCGATGAGGATGAGTCGATAGGAAGGGTGTGCGGTGGAGATTATTGCGATACACATTTTGAAGTAGGATGAGTGTTCACCTGAGGTAGAATATGGCTTTTTTTTTGCGACAAAACGGGACCGGGAGGCGCAGGGCCAATGCAAACCAGCCAGATTTATATGCAAACTGTGACGAGGTGATGGGTCTTTCCGATTGGCATCACACCACTCACTCCCTCTGCCCCGGAATCTGGTAGCAAGACTCACGAAAACGTTGACGTCGTTTGGAGCAAGGGGCGGTCTTTTTGCTAGTTGGTGTGGAAAGACCTCAATGCCACGTAGTTTCAAGGCGGACCTGCAGCAAATAAAAAATTGACGGCTGCTCAACAAATACAATCAATCAGTTGACGACATGGCTCCTCGGGAACCGAGGCGAGAAGTTTAAAAGGCGTGGAGCAGCAGCCAGTAGGAAGAGCGCAGTGGGTGGTCAACTGACTTCTTTTTCTCCGGTAGGCAGCAAACCCTGCCTGCGTTGAGTTGTACGGCAAGTCCCTTTGCCTTCGATGTTGCGTGGTAGCCTGGATCGTGAGCCTTGATCAGTCTCAAGTGGCCCTATGAATGTTGAAGGTCAAAAGGAACGACGGTTGATATTTACTCTCTAGAAAACATCGAAGCTGCGCGTGACGTCTTCCCCCTCCACCGTAGAAGATGTTCCGAATACGGCCGGGCATTTCAGTGCGCCTGCCCCGCGCCTTATCGATAGGAAACGAGGCTGAGCTCCGACCCGCAGGGCTGGGCTGCCCACACTGCGGAGTCCGCGCAGCCTGACCCTCTGACTTGCTCTTCCGTCAGGCACACCGACTTTGGTCACTTTGGCTTTCCTCAATCCCTCCGTGCAGGACATCTGTTTCCTTGAGGACAAAGAAGAGGCCACCTTGTGCCACATGCTGTGTCTACCTTGGCTGCCTGGTGGCTGTGTCAGAGATACTTAATTGCTTCCTCGACTTTCCGAGCCATTGACCTTTCCCATCACCAGCCCTCGATCCCTTCTTCCCTTCTCAAAGTCACCATGTTCGGGATCATAGCAGATCTCATTGCGTGAGTACAACAACTGCGAGCCCAACTTACTGCGGATACCCAACTAACCTCCCACTTCTACCCTTTTCATGCAGCTCCGTCACCACCATCCTCCTCCCAGCCTACCTCTCCTACAAAGCTCTGCGCACAAATGACCCGGCTCAAACGCACCCGTGGTTGATCTACTTCTCTATCCTCTCCCTCACCCTTCTGTTCGAATCCTGGACTCTGTTCATCATAGGCTGGATCCCTTTCTATTCATGGCTCCGCCTCATCTTCCTTCTCTACCTCGTCCTTCCGCAGACCCAAGGTGCTAAGATACTCTACCTGGACTATTTGGAGCCGTACATTGTCCACCATGAACGACAGATTGACCAGTTTATTGGCGAAACCCATGACAGACTGCAACAGATGGGGCTGGGATACCTAAACATTGCAATCGAGTGGGCACGGGAGAAGATTCTAGGGCAGAAGAGTCCGCAACAACCAGCCGGCCAGCAGCAAGCAGCCGGGGTAGGGGGCTACGCCAGCTACGCATCGGACTTGCTTTCCCGCTTTGCCATGCCCGGTGCAAGGACGAATACTCCTACCCAACCCGGCACGACCTCTGCGGGAGTGTACAGTATGGTCTCGAACTTCGCTGCAGGGCTGGCTTCCACAACCACCTCTCCTCAGGGGACGTATCGCTCGGCAGCTGCCGAAGCCGCTTCAATCTCTATTCCCCCGAATCTTTTCCAGTTTGAGAACATCCCTGGCCAGTCCACGGCCGAGAAATCCTCCTTCATCACCGCACAGCGTGACAGGTTGTTGGGACTGGTGAAGATGCTGGACAGCGAGCAGCAGAACCTGGACCTTGCCTATGGCGCCGCTCCAGGCGAAAGCGGTGCACGGGGAGGCAACGGCGGGCATAGCAAGCGGCCGTCGAGCTCCGGATCCGGGTTGGCGATGGGCGGTGGGTTGAAGACCAAGTCGCGCAGCGAGCAGTCCTTTGAGAATGTCGACTACGACGAAGCCACAGGAGGTTCGAACACGCCGGCAGAGAACTATGATCGTCGGCGGACGAGCGCCGGTGACGGCGCCGGCGGAGGCTGGATCCCCGCGGGCGTCAGCGGATGGTTCTCAGGCAGCGGTCCCGCCGGCGGTGCTGAAGGTGAAGGCCACTACGAGCGGAGCGAGCGCGACATGGACAGGGAGCGGAGGCGAGATTCTGGCCCGGGGTCGTCGTCCGCACGAGCATCTCGAGGATGGACCGCCGCGCGGGATATCACGGACGAGATCTCACGCGGCATGAGCAGTGGCGTCGATTCGTTGATGGGAGACCACGAGCGACGCAGATGAAGTCCCGCCCCGAGTAAACCACCAACAGCAGGCGCAAAAGACGGGACTCGAACCGTCAGGGACCGTCAGGATAGGCATGGCAGGGCATGATCGAATGGGACACGGCAAAAGCTACAGTACCCACCGACCACCTCCTTTTCTGCGCTGTGGTAAATAAAATACGGGGGATATGAGAAGGGCGGCTGTCCGGTTTACATACAATCTAGTGCTGTAAATGGAGTAAATGGAATATGCAATCGGAAACGCAGAAACGTAGTAACGCGGTTTTCCAAAGTCCAGCAAGCACGTTGTGACATCGAGTGCCGAGTGTCGAGAGCAAAGATGATGGGACAATCAGTCAAAGAGAGGGTAGAGATATCTGCGATTCTCAAAGCACATATTGCGGTATCATTGCGTCTTCCCATATATCTCGTGCTCCATAAATCCATACACACATGGTCGAGGGTCGCCCCAACAGTCGAGCCTACACCAACGCCCTAGTGACCTTCGACGAGTCAATGCTAACCATGACTCGGATCAATGTACTCCAGAATGTGCATCCACAAAACATTGTACAGTCCTGCAAATATATGCCCGTTCAACGACCCATGAGACTCCCCTTATATGGACGAGTCCGACTCAAAATCGCTCAGGAAATCGAACACTCAGCAGAATGCGGTATCCGCCGTTCACGCCCGCCTTGCGTCCCTGCCCTCCTCTTTACAAAATGTGGAAAAATTCATAATCATCGCGTCACTACACAGTGTGCACCAAATCAACCCAAACTTTTTAATCGTTGCCGAGCACAAAATCCATGCGGCGAGTCCACGCCGCCTCATTCATCGAGTCATGGAAGCCTGGAAATAGCATCGTAACTGATCATTCAGTCGTCGCCTCGCGCCTTTCGGTCCGGATCCGGAATCTTTCTCTGAACCTCCTGGCCAGCCCGGATCGCTCCTCATCGTTGTCCGGACGACTCGATCGAAGAGTCTCCTGCCGCAGCCGCCTCAGCGCCGCAATGCGCTCTTCTCGAGATCCAGAAGCGAGATGTCGCAGATTGGCCACTGTTTCCCTTCGCCCCCCTCGGTGTGGACTACCGGTGATATCGGCAGTCCCAGCAGGAGGTAGCGGCGGCGGGAATTGACCATCTTGGTCCGCTGTCGCGGTAGAACCTCTCCGTTCTTCTCCCTCAATCTCTTGATTCTGTGGTCTCAGGTCGACTCGACACAGCGGGCAGGTTCCACTGACGTTCAGAAGCCACGGGTCGATGCAGTCAGGATGGAATTTGTGGTTACAGGGCAACACACGAACTTCCTCCCCTTTCTTGAAGTCCTCGGTACATATCGAGCAGCCTAGATGACCTTCGGCATCGGTGCCATCGGGGTTACTGGTTGCGATGACTGCTGGCGCTGCTCGGTCGCTACTGGACTCGGAAGTGACAACCTCCCCCGCTTCAGCTTTGTTCGCCGCATCGGGATTGGTGGTATGAGACGTCGAATCGTTTCCAGCATTCATTTCAATGTCTGACCCTTCGGCTGGTTTCGTGGCGGGGAGATCCTGATGGTCACCAAACTTGACAATTGGGAGGGTCTCAAGCATAGCACGTGCGATGCCCTTCGCGCGACTTTGTCTGCCCCTGCCCGCAATGTTTCGAGGTCCGTACCTTTCAGGATGTCTATGCGCCCGTATGGCACCAGTGACGATGATGACAACGAACAGAGCCGTGATGATGCCGGTGATGGAATATAAAATGATCATGGCAACCGCGGTCGTCGGGGATTGCCCGATGCTACCATTTCCATTAAACCCAGGGGCAGAAGAGTTGGTGTAAGAGGTCAGATCTGGGAGGATTGTGGCCGTACCAGGACTCTCCTGACTCAGGCTCAAATCTGCCAAACTCGACGCCGTCGCACGTTTAGTTGTTGTCAAGATCCCTCCAATTGTCGGAAGCCCATCTAGCCCGGTGGCAATGCAATGGTCGCTTGTCTCGCTGTATAGGATGACAATGTTCGCGCGCGGCGAGTTCACGACAATGCGGAAGACTTCGCTTGCGTCCAAGTTGTCAGGGTAATCTTCTGGATCGCAAGAAACATAGGAAAACTGGTCGACGTCTGCGATGTCGTTGGCGTTGGACGCATCGATGTTGACCAGATGTCCTTCCACACGGACTTGGAGAAAGCCTTCATGCGACATTTGCGCATAAGGGCCGAGGGGTGCCATCTGTATCACCGGAATTTTGGGAAATTCGGTGCCATTCAAGATAAATCTGGGGGATGTCGAGAGTGGAAGAAGATCTTGTGTGTTGTTGGATGGTGCAATGGTCTGCGCCGCCGTTCTTGAGCACAAGAACGTCAGCGCTGCGACGAAGATGGCCAGCCATCTCTGACAATATCGAGCAACAGCCATGTCTGTCTTGTATGGTGCTACCGCCGGCTCTTCGTATCCAAAAACAATAACCCTCTTCCTGCTCGTCACAGAGACCCCACCTTCTGATCAATTATACGGGCGCTCGATCGGCTTGGTGCGTCCAGGTTGGACAAGAAATCGGCACGCGGAGGCTTGCTGCTCAACAGACAGGACGTGAAGTGTATTATATCGAGCACAGGACTGGGGAGTGTGCCATGACACCCCCTCGAGGCAATTCAGAGGAAGAGGTTAGCGGCCGGGCGATGCTGCTTACATCCGTCAACGAAGGATCGACACAGCAGACGGGTGATGAGCGGATAGGTGTTGGTTCACAGTGCGCGAGGGACGAAAAGGGGACAGGGGATGATTTGGAAGCACGATTGAGGCTGTGTTGGAAGGACTGGCGACCGCAACGGTTTCGAGTTTGAGAACTTGTCACAGAAGTTGAGTTTCATGCACTTGTCGGCGATCGAGGGTCTCCCAAGTGTCCCAAGGTGCAGCTGATCGGAACGCCGGGAGGCGTGGAGTGATCCACTGAGAATCCTGGGCGAACCAGGACGTCGGTGGTCTCAATCGATTGGCGTGGGATATCGTATGCCACAGAGCCAAACCCATCCCACTAGGATACGAGGTGATGGGGATATCCGGCGGTTATCCTTGGGCTCGGGGCGTTGACCAGCGCTCACGAGGAAGGAAAAAGAAAGGTTCGACTTGTTCCACGGTCCTGCCTGTGATTGATCCCCTTTTCCCTGCGTCCTGCGTGAATATCGACGCGAAGGTCAGGCGGCAGGCGACAGGCGTCAGAGGATGCTGATGGTACGTGTTGAAGCAGGGGCACGAGAACCTTTGAGACGTGTCCGACCAGCACAACTAAGCACAACCACAGCGTCTGATGCCAGTCAGCACAGCTCTGGGGATAACCAAGGGGGAAGGAGAGGGTGGTGGACCTCGTTACAAAGGGCGTGAGGGGTTGGTGGAAACCGACCGAGGAGCGACCAGCATGTCGAACCTTGGAGGGGGCCGGAACAGGTGTGTTGCCGAGGCCGGGGGCTCATTAAGCAACACCTAGCCATGCCTAGCCACGCCTAGGTGGTGCCTATGTGGTGCCTATCACGTCGCCTATCAATCTCGCAAGCCTGGGGCTCACTAGACGGGACTAGGCCACGGGCTAGCCACCCCCAAGTGCCACTCGGTCAGTCAATGACGCGTATTCGCAACCATTATCTCAATCCATCATCAACCCTTCACTGTCAACCCGCAATTATGTAGGTACAAGTGAAATAAAATATGATGTACTGTACACCACCACCAAGATCTTGTTCTTCCGCAACGGGCTTAAGCAACGGCACGCGACACATCGACCTACGCTGGCCGCGTATTCATCTGCGTATTCTCCTGCTCAGTGACCGTGTTGCTAATAATACCCCAGAAAATGATCACCTCCCTACGCACCGAGTAGTACCGCGTCCCGCCAGGTCTCAAGACTGCCTAACAGCCTTGTGCAGAGTATGAATATAATTTGTGGCCGGCCACAATCCGGAGGAAAATATCCCTCATCCTCGATACCAATGTCACTCTGGCCATTGTTCAGCGATATAGTCGCCGGCATACAGGGACAATGCCAGCGCTGATGCAGGTACTTTCTTACCCCGCCACGCTCTTCGACGACTAGGTCAGACCATTTACGAGTGCGGCAGTTCATTCGCTGCCTCAAGTCTCCCGGCATAACCCGTTCTTCGGCCTGAGGCACATATAGTGAGGAGAGGAGACAGACGATCAACACGGAATACCTCCTATTATCGATAGAAGGCTCAGCCTGTCTGGCGCCATCTGACTGGAGCCATAGCCATTTGTATCCCACCCGCCTGACACATAAGTCATGGATATCTTTCTCACCAAGAATAGGAGCCACATAGAGACATTTTCGCGGACATATGGCTGGGCACGTGCTGCATTCATCTGCAATCCCGCAAGTCAACTGGTAGGCTATTCACTGTTCCCGTTTCGAGATACAGTGCTGTCACATCGGTCCCTAAATGTCTGTGGTCGAGTTTCTTTCCGGCGCCTCTTCATATCCGGAACGGACGGCAAACGACTCTATGCCATGCCTGTAATTGGGATACCCTTCACGGAAAGCGATGCGTTTGACTTCAGTCCCAACCGGGTAGCATCGAAGACATGGGATCGCAGATACACCTCTATGCATGTACTACAAACGCCTGCCACTCTGTCGTGGTCGACATCATTGCAACGGCATTGATATCTCGCCCATGGGTATATCTTGGCTTTCCACCCACACACCACCTGCGGCATGCGTTGTCTTTGCTCATGGATCCCAGCCCGGCAGCTGGTCGTTAAGAGGATGCCGATGATCGGGGAACGTATCGGTGTCTTCAAGAGCTGATTGGGTGGCTTGCTCTAGCAGGGCTGAAGGCGCAAAACGTTCCTTGACACTGAGTGCCGCAAAGGGGATTTGTAACCCTAAGTCTGTGGCTGAGGCGGCACCAAATCCAACAGCGCACCAGCCCGCCATCTCAGTTCATCTCCTCGCCAAACATGAAGCTTACGGGCCTTGGATGTCAGCGAACCCCCATTTTTGGTTGATTTAGAATCACCTTCCTGGCTATGGTCTACCAGAATCTCCCCTTCTCGTCAGGAGATTCTAACAACAGATGCTGTATCGCCTCGATGATCCGCTTCATCGCGTTGCCCCAGGCTTTGCGACCCTCCCGTCTGACACGGCTCGAGGCACTTGCCGTCTGGTGAATACGAGCCAGGATCGATCTCACGACTTGCTTGTAAGTGCACAGGTACCATACACACAGGTGTGCGGCCTTTACCTTGAACATCTCCAAAAGAACTACATGTGTTCTCGGCGTAGCCGTCCATGAAAGCATAATTGTACAGGCTTGATATCGACCTTCTCCCCCAATCAGCCAGCCACCAGAAGCCGCGTTACTGCTGCAAAGCATGGCGCGGGTTACTATAGTGGCTGATCGCCGAAGGGTTCAAACACTTTGCACATCTACTGACTTGCAGTCTCCGGATGATCACCAATTCGCCCGCATTCCCAGATTTGCGAGCCAACGAGGCTTAGCTGATGTCCTGATCGGGCTTTAGAGGCGTCCAACTGGCCCGGCGCCAGAGAGGAGAACATCGACTTGCGCTATCAGACACTGTCAGAATCTGACTATTCAGACGCAATGCTTGTGATTTTGGCCATGCAGCTAAGTCTGCTGCCGTGGGGACAACAAATACGGCGTTCCCTTGTCTGCGCATTTTCGATCAAGTTTAGACACTGCACCATGGGCATGGCCTTCCTCGACTCGACTGGCCCCAATGGGACGAGGACCTCTGGGATATAAACAGGATTGCCGCCCACTCTTGGGCATCTCCAGGTAAAGATCAAAGCATCTGTAACATCCATTTCGTTTCTGATCCGGGCCGCCAAATGGCCATCTCAAAGAACAATGTCTATCGTCTCCTGGGCTACACAGACCCTTTCGACAAGAACCATACTTTTGTCTCCTCCTGGGCTCTTCACCCAGTCATCCACGGCTGTCTGCGCGTGCTGCTCGGCCTCTATGTCTTCACCGCCATCATCTACTCCTACATCTGGTTCTCCGGCAACATCGACATCTACCACCTGCATGACGTTGATGAGCCTACCTACACGACCGTGATCGGCTCCTCCGCAATCGGTCGGTCCTTTTCCTACTTCACATACCTCTCCTACTATGGCCAAGGGTTCTATTTCTTGGTCACTGCGGCACACGGCTTCTTCTACGCGAAAACGGGGACGAGCTGGCTGCACGCCCGGTTCCCGCCGTCCTTGCAGGTCCTGCACAGCCTGTACTACAGCATGGTGACGTGCTTTCCGATCCTCGTCACCCTCACCTTCTGGTGCACCATGTACGTCGGGCCGTGGTACACGGTGACCTTCGATGCCTGGGCCAATATCTCCGTGCACGCCCTGAACACGTTCATGGCGTTGCTCGAGATCACCCTCCCCACCACCGAGCCCTTGCCCTGGACGCACTTGCCCTTCCTCATGACCATCCTGTCGCTGTACCTCGGGCTGGCGTACCTGACCCGCGCAACGGGCGGGTTCTGGGTGTACGAATGGCTGGACCCGGAGCTGGGCAAGTGGAAGGTCGTGGTGCATGTCATATGCTACTCGGTCGCCATTGTCGTCATTTTTGTCTTTGTGAGGTATGCCATCTGGACCAGGAACTGGCTCCTCAGGCGGTGGACGCGGGGACGGCTCGGGCCTGCTGGCGATCGTGCAGAGAAGGTCATGGGCATGGCGGACTCTTCGCGTTCCAGCAGGACCTTGGTGGCTGATCCCGAAATACAGGTCCCGACAGAGGGATTATGGGTGCCGCCAAAGCCCCACTGGACACCACGGGTAGGCAAGCGTGTAGATCTATAAGTTTCTGCGGTCTATATGTATTTTCACATGGATGATATGTTACAAAGCTTGTCTAGGTAGATGGAGTTCTTATGTACTACGGTAGATACGGGACGTTGGTTCCGTCTCCGTCAACTAATGTTTTGCTCTCCTGCTCGTCGATTTCCATTCAAGTGTCTAATTGCGTCAGCCTCCCTCGCCTCTTCAAATGCCACGAATGGTGTAGTAGCTAAGAATATGCCTGCCACGGCCCTGGCCAGTTCTCAGTTCACATGAAGCCAACGTCTATGCACGAATGAAGTTATCCAGCTACCCAGCGCGCCCATGGGGTTCGGTCGCCATCTTCGACCTCGAGTTGTCTGATGCTGGCTGTTTGGAGGGCGTCAAGTCTACAAGACCCCAACTCCCTACAGAATCCAACGAAGGCGTTTATGGTGCACGGCGAGAACTCCTGCACTGGTCGTGTAGACATAACTCGGAAAACAGCATAGCCGGGAAAATAATATGTACTCAACCCTATCGAATGGACCAACGTCACCCCATCACCCGATCTAGCTTTCTATCGGTCTAGGTATCTATTCAGTGGGTTTAGGGGACGACAGTGGTCGCTTCTTGTCTATCGAACATGTAAGCTGCAACTCAATCTGGTTGGTAGGTCATCGAACAGGGAGTGGTGAGGCACGGGGACATGACGAATCCCTGAGCCCCCAAGCCATCCCAAAACATGTGCCGTGAGTCTGTTTGCCGAGGGCAGGAATGTGAATGGTACTCTGTTTTCTGGGCCCCCCCCTTTTGACCCGGTCTACCCTCCAAAGCAGCGTGTGTCTATGCACCCTGCGAGTTCGATGGGCTAACACCACGTCGGAGCGACCCGGTGCAGATACTTGATGAATTTCCAGAGCCCGACGGCGCTTTCGGTGTTGCCCGCGGGATCGGTGACTCTCTCTGGGAAGGCGATGCCGGCGCCGTAGGCGTGCGGGACGGCGTGACCGTTGCCGTCCAGGAGCAGGCCCTTGGTCGGGTCGTGGGTGATGCCCTCGAGCGTCGTGCCGTCGACGGAGAGCCGAGGGAGGGGATCTCGCGTGTAGCCGATTGCCTCCACGACGTGCGTGCACGAGTCGAGGTGGGGGGTCATGGACGCGTCGCGGACGTCCGGACAGTCGACCTTGGTGAGGACCTTGCCCACGGGCGACTCGCGCAGTTTGTCGTCCTCCAAGTGCGCGCGGGCAAAGTCTGCAGAGGCACCTTTCAGGCCCGTGTTGTCGCGCAGGATCCAGCCGTCCATCTCAACGGCGTAGGTCATCGGGCCGCGGACGAACCATTTGACCTGAAGCCGAGGGTGGGTGCCCCCCGTTGCCAACTCGTACAGGTTCATAATGGCGACGATGGCGCTGTGAGACGTGCCTATCACTCCCACAACCAGACTTTCATCCGCCGATGGCAGGCTGCTTCGCAGTTTCTGGCGGTCCAGCACGTCGTCGAGGTCGAGGACGGTCGGCGTCGAACAAGGTAGAGGGATCTTCGTCGGCGACGAGCCTGTGCACATGATGACGTTTCGAGCGTAGAGCTTTCGGTCTGGCGCCTGGTCCGACGGGTCGAGACACATTGACCAAGCGGCTGACGAAGTTTGGAAGTCTGCGGCCGACATGTCGCCAACGTGTATCTCGACGTTGGGATGTTTGCGCAGGCCGCTCGTCAACATGGTCAACATGTCTGCCGCATACCGGAGATGGCAGCCGCGATTCTGTTCCAGCGCTTCGAGCACGGTCACAGCATTTGGCTTCGGGGTTGAAGCCACAATTTGACGGAACGGTTCGAAAGCATCGGCATATTGTCGGAACAGAGATGTTTTGGTGTTGCTAGATAAGAGAAAGGTGTTCAGTAAGACAGTCAATATTGAGAAGGTAGTGGCCTTCGTTCATACCTCGAGACATCCCTATATCTCTTTGATATCCTTCCCCCAGAGAAGTCAGGATCTACCCATCCGATTCTGAAGCCTTGGTGGTAGTGAAGGAGTGCACCAACCGTTGCAACGCCTGCGCCTCCAGCGCCGACGACCACCGCGTCGTAGACTCTCTTGGGCACACCTATTGACATTGTGTGCTGGTCGGACCAAGCATCCCAGAACAGCTCATTGCAAGGGATAAGCCGTGAACGAATCTCTGCAAGCTGATGGTAAGTCGGTCGGAGTTTTCCCGGTCATTGTCCGACATCGCACCATCCCCCTTTCGGGAAGATTGATGGGCTTGCATATCCACCTATATGGGCGTCCGCATGTAATCATAATTTGCAGGCTGCATGGTCGAACAGACCACGGCGTCCATGAAGGTTTTGAGGGGATAGTTATTGATAGTGGGGATTGTATTCCTAGAAAACCAAGGCAGAGTCTGTTGAAGGCTGATATAGCCAGGCGAAAGATGAACTTGTCTGGGGTTTAGCCCTCACGTCCATGGGGATGGTGACTGGGCGGTATGTACGTGCTGGGACTCCTCATTATATTCAGGAGCATAGATCTCATGCCACATCGAAATGACTGGCACTTTTGGGGAAACGGGAAAGCTGCTTCAGCACTCTTGTGCAGATGGTTTGTTCAAGGCTGCATCCATCAGGACTATCTGTACCTAGAGGATATTGCACAAGGGGTGAAATGCCTGGAAGAATCTCTACACCGACATTGATTTGCGTTCAGTAGTTTGGACTCAGTGAAAGACCAAAAAGAAAGGGTGAAAAGGAGGGGAAGCTCTCGAACGCTGGAGTGCCATTCTTTGACCTCGAGCCTCGCAAGGCTGCGTCGTGCATTGCCCAATTACGTCACAACGCAAGGTTCAAGACTCTGGGCAGACTCTTTCAATGCTGCAGCTGTCACCAACTTTCCGTTCGCACCTAGTCAGTCTGCATCATCAAACGCATTCTCCAAATTCAAACAGTACGCTCCAATCGACCATGGCACCTTCAAGGGGGAACGCAACGATTGTCTCAGCCATAGATGACGGCGACACTGCTGTTCAACAACAATCCAGCTCGGCACTTATTTCGGCCAAACGAAACCTGAACTACCTCATCTCGCCGACCGCAGCCACAGCTGAAAGGCCTGCTCGATTTCGAACGCGCGCACTGCTCCGCACAGTCCGGTATGTGGGACAGTTCATCATCTGGCGGCTGGTACGCTGGGCAAAATATGTTGCTGTTGGGACCTTGGTGGCGGCCGTCGGAGCCACTGCGTTTGGAGGCATGATATCTGGAGTAGCTTGGTTGGCGGCTCCGCCTACCATAGGAGCGAGTATCATTGCAGCGGGTGTTTGGGGAGTGGGCAGGTTTGCAGCCGGGAGGCTACATAGGAGATGGAAGAACAGCGGAGGCGATATGGGAGAGGAAGTTAGAGAGAGGGTCGAGGATCAGGCGGGAGGGATTAGGAGCGAAGGTTCGTATGGGTTGGACGTTGGGCCGAGAGCTGTTCCTTGGTGAAGCAGCAGGGCACCGAGGTGGTACGCAGGTAGTACAGACCACCGCAAAAGCCATGCTCATATTGTGTCCTCCCTTGGGTGATCAGCCGATGACGCCGGGGGGGCTGACTGTCGCATGTTCACTTTCCAGGCGCCAGATATCCTCAACAAAGGCGTCCTCCCCACTCCAAGAAGACATTGAGATCATAACAGGTGACAAAGCACGCCAACTTTGCAGCCTACGTGTTGTAGGTTTTCAACAACACATTCTCATCTGTGTCGTGAAGGGTCTTCCCAACATTTTGACAGGAATGAGTGATTCACATGCTTTTAACAGGGACATACTCGGTACTCGTGTACAAAAGTCATCTGATAGAGTCAGCATATCAATATACCCTGTCGTTGAGGAGAAGCCAATGATATATTGCCTCTTCTGTACGGGAAATAGGTGGCCGGGTAAGAGGAAAAAAGGACTTCATGCTAGAGCGATACGAAATACGGTCACCGAAACGAAGAGCGAGGCCCAACCCTTTCCAAGACGAGTCCCTTGTGGCCATGGGGGCCCCTGGTGCGTCGGAGGGACAGACCCGAGATCTGACCAGCTCCCTCAGCCGCCAGTCTAAAATTCGGTTGGGCCGAGGATGTGCGTTTGAGGAATGACCCGGCTGCTGGCTGCTGATGCTGCAGGCGGTATTGAGATGGCTTGCGAGGTCCTCTCTGGTAGCAGACGAGGCTGAAAGGCAGGGTGCCCTACTGGTTGCCTCCGTGTAACCCTCCTCCTACCCTTTGTCCCCTTGTGCTCCGTGCCTCTCGTAGCTATTCTTATTCTCCCCTGGTCACTCTGCCGTCCGACCGCAAATGCAGTCCACGGTGTTATGTTGGGGAAACCGACTTAAAATTCTCCTAGTGGCAGGGATCTGAGCTTCTAGCGGGCTTCTAGCGCAAGGCACCGAAGCGATCCACCAATCACACCGCGGTCGGAGGTGGCTGCCGGCGATGGCTAGTGACGTTTCTCTTCCCCAACAAAAATCTCAAAACCCTGCACCGTCTTTTTCGCGCCTTGGGGGCTGCGCTGCGTTGCCGCTTCCCAACCCAACTCCAGCTTTTTGGGCATCGTCAGCCAACCCGTCGAGACCGGCTCATGAGACCCAGGAAAATCTCTGTCCAGTCTGTCCAGAGGCACTGCCAGATTCTCAGTTCTCGCCGGGCCTCTCTCGGTCCACGGTCCACGATTCGTCTGTCATGCAAGGTGCTCTCCGTATCCGCTGAGCATGATCGTCTTACCCTTGAAAGCATTGCCTCCGATCTCTGGCCTGTGCCTCTGACCCATTCCACCGACTTCCCCACAATTGCCTCTCAACATATCTGAGAAGGCTCAAACACGCCATCACTGTTTTGGCCCATCCTCACCCTCCTCATAAATATAGCCTTCGGTCCCAGCTCCTGTCCTGATCTTCCCCCTCTTCGTTCCTTCATCCCATCTTCAGTTCTCAGTCCCTCTGGCATTAGTTGGATCGCTCCTCAGCTTCAACCATGCCTTCGTCTCAACCCACCGCTGGTGACCTGGCTGTCAAGCCCGAGTTCCAGTCCTCTCAGCCAACGCCGATGGCTAAACCCTCCGAGCCCAACAGAAGCACCAAGTATGACCCCAAGAAAGTCCATATCACCGAGATGCCCATGACAAGGTCGAACTGGTACAAGCATGTCAACTGGCTCAACGTCACCCTCATCGTCGGCATCCCACTGTGGGGTTGCATCCAGGCCTTCTGGGTGCCCCTGCAGGTCAAGACCGCCGTCTGGGCTGTGCTATATTACTTTGCCACCGGATTGGGCATTACAGCTGGATATCACAGATTATGGGCTCATACCTCCTATTCCGCCACGCTCCCTTTGAGGCTCTTCCTCGCCGCCGTTGGTGGTGGTGCCGTTGAAGGCTCGATCAGATGGTGGTCACGCGACCACCGAGCACACCACAGATACACCGACACAGACAAGGACCCATACTCCGTCCGCAAGGGCTTGCTGTATTCTCACATTGGCTGGATGGTCATGAAGCAAAACCCCAAGAGAATTGGACGTACCGATATCTCGGATTTGAACGAAGACCCGATTGTTGTCTGGCAGCACAAGAACTATCTCAAGGTCGTGATCTTCATGGGTCTGATCCTGCCTACTATTGTTGCTGGCCTCGGTTGGGGTGATTGGTGGGGTGGTTTCATCTACGCTGGCATTCTCCGAATTTTCTTCGTCCAGCAAGCCACCTTCTGCGTCAACTCTCTGGCTCACTGGCTGGGAGACCAACCTTTCGACGACCGTAACTCCCCGCGTGACCACGTCATCACGGCTTTTGTTACCCTGGGTGAGGGTTACCACAACTTCCACCACGAGTTCCCCTCCGATTACCGCAACGCCATCGAATGGCACCAATATGATCCCACCAAGTGGTTCATCTGGACCTGCAAGCAACTCGGCCTTGCGTACGACCTCAAACAATTCCGCGCCAACGAAATCGAGAAGGGCCGTCTTCAACAACAGCAAAAGAAGCTCGATCAGAAGCGTGCCAAGCTCGACTGGGGTGTTCCTCTCGATCAGCTGCCGGTTATGGAATGGGATGAGTATGTGGACCAATGCAAGAATGGCCGTGGTTTGATTGCTGTCGCCGGTATTGTTCACGATGTGACGGATTTCATCAAGGACCACCCTGGTGGCAAGGCCATGATCGGCTCTGGCGTTGGCAAGGATGCCACTGCCATGTTCAACGGTGGTGTCTACATGCACAGCAATGCCGCGCACAACTTGCTCTCGACGATGCGAGTGGGCGTCATCCGTGGCGGAGGTGAGGTTGATATCTGGCGGCGGTCGCAATTGGAGGCCAAAGGTGAAGTCAGCCGAGACTCCTCTGGCGAGAGGATTATCCGAGCTGGCTACCAACCCACCAAAGTGCTCCAGAACACTCCTACCGCGGGTGCTGCTTAAGTGCAGATTATACCGGACTATGAGATCGGTCTTGATGAGTTAGAGATTATGGGAAACTTTTTTACCTGCTAGCGATATGTACAGTTGAGTTGGGCGTTCCAGGAAAACAGCGAAAGGGCAAATGGATTCGGGGGGGGGGACGGCTATGGATATGGGATCGGCCATTGGTTCTAGGCGTGATTGACGAGATTGAGCCTTAGAAGCTGCTTACAAAACCACTCGATATACCCATGGCGTATCATAGCAGTATGAAATCAGACGAAAGCAATTCTCTGTGATTTTTATGATTGGTATACGCATCTATTCCGTTCAAGTGGATGGCATTGGCATGAGGGGCTGGGGGCCTGGGTCGGTGGGCGAGTTTCTCCGCATCCAGCGTCTCTGCTTGCACTTCCAAATTCATCCGAACTCCGCCTTATGCTGCGTTGTGCTGGACTTTCTCGCAAAAGTATCCAAACGCGTCCATCACCTTCTGCGCCCAAGGCTGACTTGCCACGATATCCGACCATCGACCTGGTGTCGCACGATCGGCTGTTAGGATTGTTTTGGACAGCAATGCTTTCCAGCTGTTCGTATTTCATGATTGTAGTTGCATGTGCTTGGGCGCTGTCGCTCTCCACTTCCAACATTCGCTCCTTTGCCATTACCTGATCAACTGACTGTCGATTTATTGAGATTGTCTTCTCCAAACCATCATTGACATTCCGTCTCCCTAGAGTCTAGAGTATTTGACCATCAGCCCGCCATGTCGTCTTTTCGAGAACTAGGCAACCAGAAGTTCAAAGCCGGCGAATACAAGGAGGCCGAGCAATTCTACACTCAAGCGTACGTCTCTCGGCCCACGTTCAAAGCCGCCCTTCTCTTTGAGATTCCTAGGTTCTAACCTGGCAGACGAAACAGGATCGCCGAACACTCCCGCTCCGACCCCAAAGTCTTTACTAACCGAGCGCTCACCCGCATCCGTCTACAAGACTGGCCGGGCGCTGAATCCGACGCACGCAAGGCGATAGAACTGTACGGTACCAAGAACAAGAATGCCGCCATGAAGTCTCATTATTATTTGGCGCAAGCACTGCTTCCGCAGCGCCATGTCGGTGAAGCACTGGAAGAGGCGAAAACCGCGTACGCAATATGTCTAGAGACACACGACAGTTCTGCAGAGTTGATTGGCGGCTTCATTTTGAAAGCGAAGCAAGCACAATGGCAGGCAAAAGAGACCGCGCGGTTGAGAGAGATGAATGAGACGTTGGCGTTGGTGGAAGACCTGCTGGATGCGCAGCTACAGCGGGATCTGGACGCAGTGGAAGTAAAGTTCAAGGCGGGCGAGATCGGGGAGACGGGACGTCGGGAGGAAGTTGAAGAACTCCAGAGAGAGGCCGAAGTGAGAAGGGCAAACATCAGGCGGGGGTTTGAAGACAAAGGCGTCCCGGATTCGGCGGAGAGGGTATGGCACAGATACTGCATCTCTACATGACCGTGTTGCTAACGTGCCGCCCTGTACAGGTTGTCCCTGACTGGCTCATTGACCCCATTACATTCGAAGTGATGCATGACCCGGTCGTGACACCCACTGGCGTCTCATACGAGCGGGTGTCCCTGTTGAAACACATCAAGGCCGTCGGATGTGACCCCCTCACTAGGCAGCCTCTCAAGCCGGACCAACTGATACCCAATGTGGCGTTGAAGAATGCTTGCGCAGAGTTTCTGGAGAAGAACGGTTGGGCTGCTGATTGGTAGGGAGTGTGAAATGAGGCAGATGAGTGTCACTCTGCAAGCTGGCCGGTCCGTGGTTGTCTTCCCGAACAACCTCATCAGGATGGACGGCGCCAGCATTGTCGGAGATCAGGATGAACGTGAAGCAATTGCCAATGATCGACACTTGTCGGTGCGAGTATTGCTCTTGGCCCACGACCGAGGAAGAGCATCTTGGAAACCGGGTTTACTGACTGCTATCAGCATGTAACGGCGTTTGGGGCATATTGGCAGGAAGACGAGCCCCTGGACTACAGGTGCTTTCTACCCTGTTCTTCTCTTCCAGGGCGTTGCTTTGGTGCAGCGCTTGGATTCACACTCATGACACACTAAGCATACAGAGCAATGGGCTGAACGGATTAATGACTGACAGAAATGGCACAGCTGGGCAGTGACCCTGGCGGTGGACCGGGCGCAGCAGCAGCATCGAATGCCACTGGTAGTAAAGAGTGAACCCATGCATCAGTGATAGAAAGATTGAACCACGACTGGTAGAGCAATCCTCCTTTGGACGACGCCTCCCTCCAGAATCCTCCTCAGGTATTAATTACCTGTCGGTATCAGCCTGGCGAGCCTTGAGACTTGGAGGCCAAAGAAATCCCCCTTCGCCGCTCTGCAGACCCCACCTCTACTGTAGCTGCAAAGTGGTTTCACTTTAAGGGGCGGCCCTGACGGTCCTCGGTCAGCGCTCGGGGATTTTCAGGCTTCACCTACAGTAATACCCCGCCACAAGCCCAAAGACCGAATCAGTTGGGCGCCAGGCTCTGACGTCGTTTTTGGTTGGGAGCGTCACCGCCAAATCAACCACCTGGGCAGCATCTGTATTGTTGACATCTCTCCGCCTGCGGTTTCCGAACTTTTTTCAAGTCTGCTCTGCATTGTAGTGTTGAACTCGAGCATTCACTCCGCCCTACAGACCGAAGCCGGACATAGCGTCCTGTCGACCAGAGGAATCATCAGAGGTCAGTTGCTCTCTCTACCGTCCAAGTCATCAATGCGTCACTGCCACCGCCTGGGTGGTGGGCGAGTCCTGCCCCCCAGGGCGGATGCGCCTCAACTTGGAATTTCCGAAGAATAGAGAATTCTCTCCAAATACACGTTCACCGAGATGTTATCTAGCAGCCGCTTCATCCCTTGTGGTCGTCACCGTCATCCTTCATCGAGTCCAGTGGCCGCTAACCCTGCGCACGCAATCTAGGCATCCCGTTACATCGTCACCCTTAGATCCTTTTGAGACCTCCCTACCCCTCAACTCTACACGAGCAACCGCTGCCCTTTGTTCGAGGAAAGAGAGAGGAGGTCATTCGCCGTGTTACAGTCTTGAACGTTGAAAGATGCCTTCCGCCGCTTTCCAAAAGGCCGCCGAAGAGAGCCGTCAGCTCAAGGCCAAGCCCAGCAACGAGGAGCTATTGGAGGTGAGTACGGATGATATGTCGTCCCCGTTTTCATATTCCTGTACGAAGGAGGAGTTCGAGGGGGGACAGCTTGGAATGGCAACTTGAGGAACTGCGCAGGTGCCTGGTCACAAAAAGAATTGGCAAGGGGAGATTCACATCGACAGCTCCCTGCCGATGGAAAAGAAGGCCATTGGGAGATCTGCCTGCTTGGTCCTCTCTTAACGGTCCTACCTTGCCACCCTTTGTCACAAAGTCTCTGGGCAGCACGCATTTCTGGTTCCCGAGCCCCCGTTTTCAAACAACAATTCCCCAATTACATTGCACTTTCCAAGCCAGAACTCGGCATTGACGAATTCCAAACTAATCCCACCGTGTTATTCAGCTCTACGCACTCTTCAAAGTCGCCAATGGCGAGGACATCTCCAAGGCCCCCGCTCCAGGAATGTTTGATCTAAAGGTACCATCCCTCACAATGCACCTTGCCTCACCTCTCCATCTCACCCTGAGCTCATGAAATTCCTCGTCACTGACCGTGTTCCGTCTCTTGCGAATAGGGCAAAGCGAAGCACAAGGCCTGGCAGAAGGAGGTCGACGCCGGCACCACCGCCGAGGCCGCCGAGGACCGTTATATCAAGCTCGTCGAGAGTCTCAAGACAAAGTACGGCTTTGATCCAAGTAAAGTGCCCGAGGCAGTCGGTGGTAATTAGAAGGGGCACGAGAGATTTGGGATGGGGACATGTCATGGAAGGGGGGCGGGCTGGAAGCGCCAGTCTGAGGTTGTCGTGATTCCGGCTAGCACTCCTTCCCAAACACCACTTTCCTCTCCGTGACGGCAATGATGCCGACTTTGGCTGCATTGTGTGGATTTCGGTCGGAGGGGGTCAATCGTCGCGAGCAATGGGCATACGGGTACAGGAGAGCATAGAGGTTTATCCTCACAATACACGCTGATCATCTTACTCGGTCTCTGCGCCATGTTTCTTCTCATCGCCCTCGCCCTCGTCCTCGTCTGTTTCATCTTCGTCCTCGGTGATCTCCTGTCCCGCAAACATCATCCACTGCCCTCCCAGGACGCTCTTCCGCCACACCTTGGTCACCCCGTCGCTGCCGGTGCTCATGAGGACCTGGCCCTGCGAGTCGAACGCGAGGGACCACGCGTCCGTGTGCGCCTGCGAGAGCGTGGTGCCGGAGGATATGGTGGTGATGTAGGGGAACGCGTAGCCCGACCGCGCCGGGTTCGCGGTGTGCGCGCCCGCGGAGGGAGATGAGTGTGCCGCGGCGGCGGCGCCGTGTCGGCCCGCGATCTGGGTCGTCAGGCTCGACTGCTGTTGCTGGTGGCGCTGCTGCTGTTGCATGGTCATGCTCCGCGTCGGTGTCGGCGTGGAGTGCTGCTCGGCGCCGTTGCGAGCTGGGTGGCCGTTGTTATAGTTGTTGTTGCGATGGCCGTTGTCGTTTCCGGTCCCGTGATCTGCGTCTGGACTTTCGGCGACGCCGAGCTCGAAGATCCGCACCGCGCCGTCCTTGCACGCCGTCGCGATGCGATCCGTGCCCCGCACGCTGAACGGCGCCCATGCCACGTCCCTCACCAGCGCCGGGTGCACGGGCAGCCTGAGAGCCTCGTAGAACATCACGCGGTGGCTGGCGTTGCCCCCCGCGCTGGCGATCCCCGTCCCGCCGCCGATGCCCATGCCGATGCCCCCGACACTGACGTCCGCACCACTCCCAGACTGCGAGGGCACGACGCTGCGGTAGATCTTGACCTCGTTGAGCGCGCAGACCACCAGGCCCAGCTGATCGCGGTCGTCGCTGACTGAGTTGACGTACGCGAGCGGCGTCGGGTTCGGGTCGAAGCGCACCTTGAAGCTGGTCTCTTCGCCGCGGCCGGGCACCGTGCTCGCCGCGGCCGCCGCCCCCGCGCACACGTTGAAGCAGTCCACCAGCGCCCACTCGCGCAGGTCGTCCGGGCTGCTCGGCTCGTACACGCTCAGCAGGCCCTGCCGGTCGATCAGGGCCAGGAACGTCGACACGTGGTCCGTCGCCAGCGTCTTGACGTCCATGCTCACGAAGGGCACGCGCGGCGTCGACGCGATCGTCGCGATCCGTCGGAACCGGTGGCCCCCCCGCGGCGGCTGCGACGCGTCTTCGCTCCACAGGTGGAATTTCAGGTCGTTGCCTATGCTGGCCAGGTGCGTGCCCAGCGTTGGGTGGAGGAACTTGGCCTTTTTTGGAGGCCATCGCGTGGTTAGCAGGGCGTATGCATGAAAAGGTGAAGTAAACACGACCGAAATACAGAGAGGCTTCTTTGCCAGAACGGGGACCAGGGCGATCTGCTGTTTTGTTCCAAGCTATCGAACTGCCCCAGATGGTGAGGTGCGCAAGGGGGAAAAGGAGAACTCACATCCCTGACATCGGAATCGTGCGCCGTGAACGTGTCAAGCAACGTGCGCTCGCCCGTCTTCGGATTGCGCTCCCAGACTTTGATGCGATGGTCTATCGACGCCGTCAGGATGCGGGTGCCGTTGAAGTTGGCGTGCAGCACCGTGACGCGGTCGTGGTGGCCTGGGTCGAAGGCGGAGCTTTTGGCCATTTTCGGCGATAGTGACACGTTACGGGCAAAGCGACCAAGTGGAAGACCGGTTTGGCGGAGGTGATCGTGGTCGGAACTGGTTTGGGGGAAGTAAATGCTTCATTGCTGACATAGACAGGTGAATAGGGGGGATGTATTAGGCTAGACTGTGCAAAGACATTGTATCCTAATTGCTTTCCGGTAGATAGATTTTTGTAGATGTCTTGGAGCTCTGTAGTATTTCACGATTGACGGTGTTACATGGGGAAGAGTAGAAGGGGACAGGAAGCATGGAGGCATTCCTGGCGATGTCGATAGTAACTTTCGAGGTTGGCAGGTTGGATTTAAGCGGCTTCTGATTGGCGGAATCTCGGGGAGGCTGGCAGCGTCGGATCATCATTTTTCCGAAGGCGGTAGTTTGGAACTCATCAGAGGACAGATTGTCACGTCGCCATCTCGATATCCCACGGCGTCCTGCCGCTGTTCGACGAGAGGAGTTGCTATCGGTGGCTTTGCTGGATTGTTCTCTCCTCCAGATCTCAAAATCGCTATGGCTACTGTCTCCATGTGTTCAAGGTAGCCCAAAGCAGCACCTTGCAGGATCAGCTCTCCAGCCCATTTTCACATGCCGCGGAAACGCTATGGCGTCCTTCACGCTCAACCCTTCAGAAAAATGGTCGCTCCTTGTGGCTGCCGGGGCTTCTCTGGCTGTGATCGCAAACACGTTTCAGGGAGATGGCGCGCCTCTCGTGGCGTCACTCGCGTTCTCGACCCTGGCTTTCTCCATGACTTATGCTTTTGTGCGATGGTCGGGCCCGGCGTTTGTCAAGGCTGGATTGAAAGGGAGAGACATGAGCAAAATCATGCCAAAAGAGATGTGAGCACTTCCCAAGGTCAAGCACAGGGTGTACGCTAATCTGCCTAGTCCTGAGGCCATGGGAGCGGTAGCCGCGGCGGTCTACATCCTGGCCCTGATGGCGTTCATCCCGTTCGCCTTCTACAAGGACATCGTCGCCGCTACATCCGGTGGTGGGAACAGGGATGTCGTGCTCACAGTCACTGAGGTCGAGACGGGCCGGTTCTTGCACCGGTTTCCACACTCGAAACTATCCTCGTACCAGAGCGCGCTCAATACTCTCCAGGCCACGACTATACTGGGCATATGCGACGATCTCCTCGACCTTCGCTGGAGACATAAGTTCTTCATCCCTGCGGTGGCTTCACTGCCCCTACTTATCGTCTACTATGTCGACTTCGGCGTCACTTCCGTGGTCGTCCCCAACTTTCTCATCCCGTACATGCCAAACCAAGCTCGTCTCATTGATCTGTCGCTTTTCTACTATCTTTACATGTCAGCTCTGTCGATATTTGCGCCAAACTCGATCAACATCCTTGCAGGCATCAACGGGATCGAGGTTGGACAGTCACTGGTGATTGCGGGGTTGTTGGTGCTCAATTCGGCCCTCTATCTGGTCCCGTTCCCTGGGAATCCGGTGTTGAACCACGCCTATGCGACGCGTCCACACCCCGCCACCGATGGCCATCTCATGACGCTGTACATTTTATTACCATTCCTAGCTGTTTCGACAGCCCTGTACATCCACAACAGATACCCCGCTCGGGTTTTCGTTGGCGACACATACTGCTACGTTGCGGGCATGACATTCGCGGTTGTGGCGATCATGGCGCATTTCAGCAAGACGCTCCTTTTGCTTCTGATCCCACAAATCGTCAACTTCCTCTACAGCACCCCGCAGCTATTCCATCTGATCCCATGCCCCCGACATCGACTCCCCAAATTCAACGCCAGGACCGGCCTTCTGGAGCCAAGCGTGACACCATGGCCGCCGGAGAGACCACCCAGCAAGCTACTGACGGCGGTGTTCTTCTTTCTCGAGAAGCTGCACTTGATTCAAGTAACTGTAGACCCCAAGACTAATCGTATCTCGAGTACGTCGAATCTTACAATCATTAATCTGTGGCTGGTATGGCGAGGCCCAATGAGAGAAGATCAGTTGACACGAGAGCTGCTGGTCATGCAGACGTGCTGTGGGCTTTTGGGACTGTTTGTGCGCCACACGATGGCGTTGCTGATTTTCAGCATGGATAACCGAGGGCCGGGATCGGCGGTGTAGCAGCCACATGGTCTGAAACGATGTATAGATCTTGAAAAGACCTTTTTTATATAGACAATGGACTTTCCAATAGACCAGAATTCAGTAGTAGCCAGCCTCGTGTCTCGTATAAGAGTCCAAGTAAGGCTGTGCCGAAGATGATCCGGATTCGAAGTCATCCCATGGCTGCCTTCTCTGTATGTGCATTCCATATGCTGGTCCAGTGCAACCTGCCTCGGAACAAGTGCCAAAGGTGACGATGATGTGAGCCTATCAAGTCGTTGCCTTAGAGAGATCGCTGTCCACGTCTTCTGATGAATGTCCGCGTCTCGCATCACCGCCAGGATCCTCCGCTTCACTTCTTGCTCGACCTCCTCCCACATCTTTGCTGAGACTCGTTCGAGATTTGCATCTCCTCCCGCACTCAGACGGCAGCTGTCATATTCTCCTCTGATGGCCGCAAGACCTCCAAAGCGAATCAAGCTCGACGCGGGCCAAAAAGATACGCTACCAGCCTCGCAGAGATCGGCTTCGGATAGCAATGTAGCGGACCCAGCATCCGTCCGTGTGAAGAGAGCTGCCTTCCTGAGTTCAATCTCCAGGTCAATCTCGCCGCCGGGTATCTCGAGGTCTGGGACAACGACACCACAGCCACAAAATGAGGCGAGCGAAGATACGAAAAGGACCGTCAATTCGCGTTCTCCGAGACCGCGGAAACACTCTCCCAAGCCTGTCCATACAGGCTCAGATGTTCGCTCCTCCGTCGCTGAGGCCAAGCCAGCCTCTGCAACAAAGCTCCTCCCATCCCCCTTCAGACTCACTACAATCCGTGATCTCCCACCTTCTAAGAATGTCGACTCCATCTCACTACATGACATCCTTGGGAACCCGCTGATCAAAGAAGCTTGGGTCTTCAATTACTGCTTCGATGTCGACTGGTTAATGACCCACTTTGATCCCGACATTCGCTCCAATGTCAAAGTGAAGATCATTCACGGGTCGTGGAAGAATGACTCTCCAAACAAGATCGCCATCGACGATGCTTGTCGAAGATGGACCAATGTGGAAGCCGCAACTGCTTATTTACCTGACCAGTTCGGAACTCACCATAGCAAGATGTTCGTTCTCTTCACTCATGATGACCTTGCGCAGGTTGTCATCCACACCGCGAATATTTTGGAGCAGGACTGGACAAACATGACCCAGGCGGCGTGGCTATCCCCCATGCTCCCACTCCTCGAGGGGAAGCAGGTGAACAAACCGGGAAAATTAGGGACTGGGACGAGGTTCAAACATGATTTGTTGGCTTATCTCATTGCATACGGATCAAAAACAAAGGCATTACGGGAACAACTTGCACAGTTCAATTTTATGAGCGTCAGAGGTGCCCTCATTGCTTCTGTTCCATCACGAATGAAGGAGTCCTCAACCACGCAAAACGACGACGCTGCCTGGGATCTGAAACTCTGGGGCTACCCGAGTCTGTCACGGGCATTGAAATCGATTGTTTCACAACAGCAGACCAACCTCTCCGACAATACGATAAGGACAAAGTCTCCCCATGTTGTATGCCAAGTTTCCTCGATCGCCACCCTTCCGCAAAGCTGGCTGAATCAATTCTTCCCAGTCTTTCACTCGACCTTGCAGTCTATACCATCCAGTCCGGCACGGGAGTGGGACTCCAAGAACGTCTCAATCATCTATCCGACACCTCAAAACGTGGCGACCTCACTCGACGGCTTCGCATCTGGCGGGTCCATCCACACAAAGGCGCAGTCCGCTGCCCATCTGAAACAAATCGCCGCCCTTCGAAGTTCATTGTGTCAGTGGACCAAAGGCTCGACGAAGGAGACAAGAGCGGGAAGAGACGAGGCCGCGCCGCATATCAAGACGTACGTGTGCTTTGCGAACAAGCCGACGACGAAAAACCCATGTCCAGAGGTGACATGGGCGTTGTTGACGAGTGCGAATCTGAGTCAGCAGGCTTGGGGTACCCTCCGCGCGAAAGAGAAGGAGATTGTGGTGCAGAGCTATGAGATCGGTGTGCTTGTCTGGCCAGAGTTATTCGCCGAGAGATTCGAGGCTGAAGTGGCCAGCGAGACGGACGAGGACGATGCAGACAGAGATAATAACGGTGCGGTAAAACGCAACGACTCGGAAAAGATGAAGATGATTCCCGTGTTCGGGAAAGATATACCTCAACCTCCGCACACCTTGGACGCCACAGCTGAATCCTCTGGACCTGAGACACTTGTTGGACTGCGTATCCCGTATGACCTCCCCCTCACGCCTTACGAGAAAAGCGACATGCCGTGGAGTCCGCAGGGGGTGTATGAGCAGCCCGACCGATGGGGCAGACGGTGGCCTCGAGATTTCGCCTGAGCTGCCTCCCAGTGTTTCCACCACGACTGTCTTTGAAGAGGAGATCCTCTTCTGCTGCGGCTAACACAACCGTTGCAATCCGCATTCTGGAGAACGCAATGTGTTCCTTTCTCTGGATGCGGCCACCAGCCATGACCCTATATCTATCACGGTGCCTTGTCGCGCTTTGTGCAATGGAGAGCACGGGCCAACGAGATCCGTGGCTTGTCTTAAGGGGGCAATACATGTACCCAGCATCAATCTAACATGGTGGTACTACAATTGCCTTCAAGTACGTCTGTACCAACGCTATGTTCTTCGGCTTTTCGTCCCGAGCTTTCCGCTGCTCCAGTCCAATCTACCCTCCCTTTGCCTCCTGAGTATTTGGAGGATACGGATTGGGCAGATGGTGTCTCAGCCTCACGCAGCGCCATCGCGCATGCGCGAGCCTATTTTCCCTGCCCCCCTGACCCATTGGTACAACTTGCCCAATATCGTGACCGTATCTCTTTACCATACCCTGTTGTTCCAAGGGTGCCAGGTGGTCTGACTATAGTCAGTCATGTAGCTACAAGTACCGAAACTGGTTTCATCTGGTTTCGACGTCTTGATGGTTGCACTGTGCATTGGCCCTGAGCGCCGGACATGCCTGCAGATCTTGCTTCTCCCAGTATTCTAGCCTTGTTACTGGTTGAACTATCCACCTATGTATGTAGCACCTGGCAGTACCGCCTCTACGACATCTAAGCCTCGAGCCCACGAGCTAGCTCTGGAAGTATGGACTCGTGACCCTCGTGCTATCCCGTCTCAGTCGTCGTCTGGTGGCATTTGGAGTGCGAGGCTGAGCTCTTGAGTGTCTCGCTTTGGAGGTGACATGGGGGGCCGACTTGGCGTTTGGCTTGGACCGACGCGTCGTCACGTCAATGCCATTGTCAGATCTAACCTCGCCGCCATCTCCGCTGTCTGGAGACGGACTAGGCATGGACCTCGTGGCACCTGTGCTTGTTCTTGTTTGTCTCCGTGAGGATGACTGAGAGGTGGTTTTCGAGCTGCTCTGGGTCTGAGGTTTGCGCGCTGATGTAGTGCGTTTTGTGGCTTTCGTGGGCACGTAGGCGTCCGAGTCGGATTCACCCAAGTTTTTATCATCGGAATCATCGTCTCCATCTTCTCCGTCGTCGTCCTCGTCATCAGCATCGTCAACGCCATCGAGGCTGCTGTCAAGGTCAGATGTGTGATTGAAGCCTCCTCCGTCAATGTTGGCACCGTCCTCGCTCGGAGGGGCCGATAAGCCCGAACCTTCCTGATCACTGTCTTCGGCTTCGTTGGGGATAGACCTTCCAGGTCGTCGCCGTCGAAGCGGCGGTTTTAACGGCGAGACAGAAGCCGGTGTCGGATACTGATTGTCTGTGGCCCTTTCCTTTCCCTTGGAAATGGAGTGGTTCAGAACAGGCGAGTTCGATTCATCATGATGATGGACCACTTCGAGGTCACTCTCAACCACATGCTCTTCGTCTGAATCGAGTAGAAATCCGCCTCCCCCACCGAATTCGTCCTCAGCAGTTCGAGCTTCAAGTCCGTCTCTCTGCGTTGGAGCCGGCTCGTCGTCACTTTCCAACATGATCGGCTGTTCTTTACTCCTCCCCACCGCCAGTTCATCTGCCGCGTTCTGATCACCATATGTGTCCCTGACTCTCTCCCTGATCCTCAGGCCGACAACGAACTTTCTCCACATCTCCAACACCATTGACTCCATTTTCTTTTCCTGTTTCTTCCTCTGCTCTTCATTGAATGTATGCCATGCCTCTTTCACCGCCCGCTCATTCTCCTTCGCGACCACCACGCCGGTGCATATGGGCACTGCGCGCTTGTTGCCGAATTCAAAGCCCGTGACTGCTTCGGCAAAGTCAATCTGGAGCTTCTTGCAAATCCGTACTGTCCCCCTCAGAGGAATATGAATGGCCCCTTTGGGCACCATCGAAGGAACAAAGCAGTCGATGTTTCCATAGGCGTTCTTAGGAATTACCCCGTTCTGGATCGGCGGCGGGATAATGTATTCAGTCTGATCCCAGCTGTATAGGCCTTGCATCTGTTTCTCTCCCGTCTGTCGTTCATGTTCTTCTGCTTCTCGCTTGCGAGTCAATGTAACTGCCCGCACAGGAACGAGTTTCATTGGAGCTTCTCCGGCTCTAGGCCGTCGGCCTTCTTTATGCCATGACTCTGCCGTCAAGCAACGCTCCACGTCGGAACGGCGGAAAACGGGCTCTTCCTTTTGGTTCTCACCTTTTCCTGAAATGAAGGTACGGACCGGTTCGGCATTGGGTCGGAGCGCTTCTTCGCGGCGAAGGAACCGTTCGAGCACATAATCAGCGGAGGATTTGAGAGATTGTAGAGTATCGACTTCTTGACCACCGTTGTCCTTCTTCTCCGGAAGTTGAGGAACGAGATCCGTAGCGTCTTCCATGTCGTCGACCGTCGTCCTCATCAGGTCGGGCCGAGCATATCCACTCATTACACGTTTGAACCAGTCGTAATCCTCATATCTCTTGACCTTGCCGTATTTGTTGTATACGGGAATCTTCTCCACTGGAAATCGAAAACCCTTTGTCTTGCCTGGCCAAATTCTTTTCCTCAAGTATCGCACAGTTACGTCCTTCGCAGAGCCATCAGAGGAATACGCAATGACGTAGGCCATCACGGTCTTTGTCTTCTCGGCTTTGATGCCGCGTGGTTCGAAGGTCGCAAGGATTTCGGGAGTGGTGGCCACTGGAGATGCAAGAACGAGCGGAGAGACGGGGAGGACTTTGTTTGTGACCGGTGATATTGCCTCAGTCCAGTAGATGGGGAAGGGGCTCTCTCGGTCGTATTTCTGAGGTCGATTTCTGGGCATCGAGGGAGTAATGTCCACAACCGAGTCCTCTTCGGTTCCCACCTCGGAACCATTCCTGGACGTTTTGCGTCCTCCGCCTTTTCGTCGCGTTGAGGTTTTGGTGATCTTCGATATTGACTTCGCACCCCCCGAGTCTGAATCGTCGAAGTGTGTATCTGAGTCGACCACTTCGCCGGCCTTTCGAGGCAGCGCTTGTTCTGCTTTAGTCCAGCCGAACCCACTGGGCTGTAGGCTCGCTACCAATCTGGCCTCGATACCTAGACCTCTCAGCAAGGCGGTAAACATTTGAGCACCCACGTCCCTCGAACCCTCAGACTTCCTCGCTAGCTCGCGAAATTCTTGGATGTCTCTGATGCGCTCCCCGTGCTCCTCCGGATTGTGCTCATCATTGCGCTGAGACTGGATGATCTGTTTCAACCTCAGCCTGGTGCCATAGCCACCCTTCCGCAAACCTGGAGCAGTGATGGCAAATCTCTTCTTCCAATATGCAGCCAGGACTTTCATAAGAGAGATTAGCGGATCGCCATTGCTCATGTCGGGCTTGCCCGGCTCAAGGCGCTTGCTCGGTCTTCCCCAATCTCTTTCATCGCGTGGGTTGGCAGCCTTCTGTTTGCCATGTCTCTTACCCCTACCCTTTGCTGGTTCCCCCCCTGCTTCTGGCTCTGCAAACGGTAATCCACTTGCTCTCTTCCACTTTTCGACCTCCTTTTTGATTGGAGGGGGTAATTGTTGGACAAGAATCTGTTGAACCTCCCTGTCCGAGATCCAGCTATTGCGGACCGAGTTGTGCCAGAGAAGGAATTGGACGTGTAGCTGATGGGTGCAAACCCTGACCTGCCTTTCTCGCTTCGAGGGACCTTTCCTCTTGTTGGCCGCCTGCGCAATCCAATTGTCGGCTTCATTGTCGGCTTTGCGCAAGGTTATCTCGATGGGGCCGTCCGACTGCGGTTTATAGACCGGTAGCTCCTTCTCGTGGTCGTAGCCCGCAGCATCTTCCCATTCTATGTTATCGTCATCGTCCTCCTCCTTTTGATCATCATGAGTCGGAGCGGACGGCTGTCCGAGGACGGACGGGACGTTTTCGAACTGGTCGCTGTCGACATCACTCAGGGAGGACTCCGAATCATCACTTCCTAGGGAGAATGTCTTTGTCCGCTGCAGCGCTGGAATGCTTTTCGACTCGGCGTCCAAGACATCTGCGAGTCTTGCCTTCTTCGCAGGGATATCCCGTGAGGAGGCTGGTGGCGACGTAGACCGCCTCTTTCTCGGTAAGAATGGTGGCATTGGACTCTGCCCTGGAAGGGCACGGAATCTCAGCTCTAGATCATGCGAAGTCACAGATCGAGGACGGTGACGCCGAGATACCAAATGCAGGCATCTGCAGCGACATGCGCAACCTTCCAAGGGCAGGAGTGGTGACGTCGCTAAGATCTCTGGAGAGGGTTTAAGCGAAAAATGATAATCCCGCAGTGCAGATGCCGCCTAGAACGAGTCTACTGGAAATTTTTGCGGGGGATCGATAGACGCATGCGCTTTCCAGTAAACGGCGCATCCTGTCAAGAACCTTTTACACCATCGACAACCTTCGTCAACCCAATCTGAACTCGATGGCCGACAGATCACCGTCGTTGCCTATTCACACCTACCACTGCCTATGCACAACGCTCGTTCTCACCACCGCACATGACCTGAACTCACTTCCTCGCCGCAGTGAGCCTGTTCAAGATGGCGCCCTCATCCTCGCTCCACCTGTCGACATTACTCGAGCCGAAACCCTCGAGACGCAAGGCTCCGAATCCGCGGGCTCTGTGCTGCTCAACGTGGCGTTCGAGCGAAGACCAGTCATGATCCGAAGAGAAGACGGATTCGAGAAAAGAACGCTTCTGCGATGCGTTAGGTGCAAGTTGGTGATAGGGTACAATCTCGACGAGGGTCACTTTGAGAAACAGGAAGGCGACCCAAGGCCAGTGTATTTGCTGCCTGGTGGACTACTCAGCACACAGGATATGGTCGAGGGCAAGCAACCAGATGCTCCTTTATGGGCGGAGCAAAAATAAATGGGTGTGCAGGATTCATGTGTTTAATTGCATCTGAGATACCCTCTAGACCAATAAGCTCTGCCAGAATGCACTCGGGTATCGTGCCCAAGAACAAGACAATGGTGGTGGTGTCCTGACCACCGTTGCGCCAACCAAAACTATGCATTGGATTCCATGCCCATAAAACCATACGCTCGTAAAGGGAAGAGGTGGCTAGTTGGCCAGGATCGTTCGGACGAGTTCCATGTAATTGATCTCCCCACTGCTGGTATCGACGGCCTTGAGCAGCTCGTCCACCTCTTCGTCGCTCATTTTCTCGCCCAGATTTGTCAGAATGTATCTCAGTTGGCCCACGCCAATAAAGCCGGTCATGTCCTTGTCAAACACTTGGAAGCCACGACAGTATTCTTCTGGTTCGCCGGGGTCTCGGAAACCGCCAGGTCGGTTGAGCACTTTGCTGAAGGAGTCGAAGTCGACTGCGGCGAACGTTAGCCGGAATACGCGATTGAGTTGTTTATTATTTCTCACAGTCACCACCAACTTGTTTCTCCAAATCTCTGATCTCAGCGAGGGTGGGATTCTGGCCGCAGGCGCGCAGGAGGTCGCCAAGGGATTCCAGGGCAACACGGCCATTGCCACGCTTGTCGTACAGCGAGAAGGCCTCTTTGTAGTTGGTAGAAGTCTGCGCGGCAGAAGATTGAGGATTAGCCATTGTGAAATATTGTGAGTGAAGCCGGAGATGGAGAGGGGAGAAGAGCAGAGGGACGAGGGACCAGGTTCGTGAGATGGTGTCGTGTCTTTGTTTGTTGGTTGATGATGATTGCCGTTTAGTCAAGCATGCCGGGGCTCGCCCTGGTCCTCTGCGGAAAGTTACTGGGCGAATGGGAGGAAAGAACTCACCATCTTCCAAATCAGAGTTCTCCCAAAGCGGTGTTCCCTTTGTAAATGCCTCGACTGCGGGTTGCTGCAACGATCTTGTGTTTGGTGTTCGAGTCGAGAAACAGTTCCAAGGTCGGTGTTGAAGAGGTGGAAGACAAACAACCGGTCTCTCCTGAAGCCAGATGGCGCGTGCGCACTCCCTTTCTGTTGACACTAGTTCCTGCGTGGCCCTCGACCAGAAACCCACTCCAACGCCCCCGTCTCCCAGCAACCAGCGACCAGCAACCGTTGCCAGCCTCACTCACCACCGCCTCGAGCCCCTCCTTTTCGACTCCCCAGCATGAAAATCACATTTGCTATCACGATGCAGACCCTCAGGATCTTCTGCTCCTTCTTGGGCAGCAGCCGGAACACGAGGCTCATCTGGTCTGGGACGCACTCCGCAGGTCTTTCCGCCTCATCCTAGATGGGTTTTTGCAGTTGTGAACAGAATGACAGGGCCTTGACCGATCGGCGAACCTGGCCATCAAGTTCCTCTATTATCTACGAGCACGCGAGTGCGCGATGCTCTATCCATCGTTTTTAATATGGCTGTCCAGTGGCAACCAGGTGCTCAATCTCTTCCTCCGGGCTTCACATGGCGGAACCAGAGCCGTTTATTCCCTCAAGCATGAATTATCTCACGGTTCTTGATTGGGTATACCAGTCGTCCAATATCAGGAGGGCTCCATTCACCAACCATTATGTCACGTCCTCGGACTTAACTCGCGTGGAAGTCGTCGAGTCCTACATCAAATGCGCAAGGCCCAGAACATGTCCTCGACTGCCCCGGTGGTAAGACCGAGCCTCAAACGACAGATTGAACGGGCATACGTCGCTTACGGGGTCGTCTCCTTCTCATTGAAGGCACACCCGGAGATGCAATGTGTGTCCATTGCAACCTTAGCACCTGTCCACGCAAGTGTTCGAGAATCCCTTCTTTCACATGATCGTCCAAAGTCGGTATCCATGCCTCAAACAGACCACCAGGTCTAGCCTATGTCACAGCCCTAAACGTGCTCGGGTGGGTAAACGTGGAGGAGGCGTGATATCTCGACGAACTACTCGCACTGTCTGTTTGGCCTGCTACGTATCTTTTACCCCTGCCATGCATCAACGCCCTTGCTCCATTTACAAGGGAGGGACATCACTCGGCCAGTCAGCTTGATGCTATCATTGCGCCATCAAGTGCTGCCCTTGTCATTAGCTCCCATGCCCGTCCGCAATCATTGATATAGAAGCGACGTGGATGCCGATTGAGACGCTGGGGTTCGAAGCAGGCTACACTCAATCGCTCATTCTTTACAGGTATAAAGATAATCCCGTACATTCCTACTATCCCGATCCCCAGGATCATTTCAACATATCCAATTGAGCATTGCTCGGCTTCACCTTATCAGCTAGCACTTTCCAGAGCGACGCTTTGACGAACAATGCCATCTCCCTCGTCGCCCGTTATTGAAAGACCTGCTATGGTTACCCCAAGCCGCCAGCATTCTTCTTCCCTGTCATCCGCGACCACTCTCCAAAGCACAACCACCTCTTCCAGCATGGCGTGTTCGTCATCAGATATGCATTCCAAGCTCACCAAACAGATGCAGGCGCGCTCCCACAATCAACAGCGCTGGCAATCCTGGCAAGCCAAACAAATTGAATGTTTCCAGGGTGCCGCGATGGAGGCAGGGAAGGACACCAAATCAAACAAGGGTTTCACGTCGAAGCGGCCGCACATCCATCTGGACAGCATTTCGAGGGGTCTGAGGAGATTGCGGGGGTAAGGACGGCAGGAGAGTGCAAGTGAGAACGGTCATGCTACATCAGAAGCAGTCTCACTGATCGACATTGGATGCGGATAACCGGCGAGGAGAGACCAACACCTCACATGTCCGTGAAGACAAATCGAACGCTTCGTGGAGGGCGCCGGAAGCGTTCCTCTCTCCGCAACTCCCATTTTCATCCCGGCCTTGCTGGAATGCTTACAAACCGATACCAAATACGCCTGTTTAGCCAGAATACCAACCCAGGCTCTAAGCACGTCTCACCAATCGAACAAAGTCAAGTCACGCGAGCACGGGCCCGTCGGGCCTGCGAGTCCAGAAACACAGAAGCTCAGCCTCGACACTCTGGGGCAGTCCGGAAACTCGTCAAGGAGATTTGATTCATGTGACGGGTCAATGCTCGGCCGCAAATATAGATGGGGGAAATCTGGTCCAGTTTTACCAAGCACAGAGATCCACGTTTCTGTAAAGGCAGAGCAACGGCAGAGGACCAGATGGGGGCCGGGCCCAAGCTTCAGATATCTTTATAGCATCACAAATTTACGATGTTCAGAATTCGCATCCGCTTTACGAACTTGCTCCGAGCCCTATCTTGAGACTTACTGGTACAACAACGACGCATGCTCAAGCACTGCAGTCAAGCACATGGTCTCAAACTGAGATGAGAGGACAATCCATTGGAGATGGTTGGCATTCAAAAACATAGCCTGCAACTCTTGTCATGCACGGGCATCGATTTCACCCGCGCCGGTCTCGAGCACTCCCTTACGCTCGGCCAGATCAGGGTTCTTGTCTTCAGCCTTCACTTTGCTTTTCCCATGCACGGTCTCGATCCGCGCATGGATATGCTCCTCGGCCGTCCTCCCAGCGCCGGCATATCTCGGCACCCAACCTTGCTTCTCCATGCCCTGCATGGGAACCAGAACCGCATCCTTCTCCGGATGCAGGAAATACGCAAACGTGTACCGATCCAACCCGCCCTCCGTCGCGGTGGGGACGACACGATGCCACGTGCTCTTCAACTTGCCCGCCGTCCAGAACTCGAGCATGTCTCCGATGTTCACGAGGACCAGGTCCGGCCGAGCCGGTGCTGGCATCCACGTCTCGGTGTCCAGAGACAAGTCCGGGGAGGTGTACTTGGGCGGACGCACCTCGAGGCCTCCGATGGTGGTTTGGAAGAGAAGAGTCAGTGTCCCCCAGTCCGTGTGAGGCGAGATGCGGAATGCCGGGATCCCTTGGGAAGTGTCTGACCCGGGCGTAACGGGCGGATAGTGCATTAGCTCGAAGTTGTCAAAGTTTTCCTTGTCCGGGCCATGGTATCGTGCGAACGTCGCGCGCGGGAGATCGAGCGCCAACGCGATGAGTTCGAGGAGCTGCTTGGTGAAGAGACGGACCTCCTGTTGGAAGGACAATATCTGTTGCCGAGCGTCGGAGAGGATGGGAGGAAGGGGTGCTGCTGTGGCATGCCCGATCGTCGGCCACTTGTTGATGCTGATGGCTTCACGAGGGTCGGTGAACCTGGCATCCGCCCTGCGTGACACCTGTTTGTTAAAGGCCGTAGCAATGGAAAGGAGAAGATAGTTGAAGATGGTTTGCTCAAGAACTCACCCATACGAGCTGGCAGGCTTGTAGCCGGCGTTTTTCGAGGCAATGTAGGGTGCTTCTAGTTTGGTCTCGAGCGGCTGGGCGAAGAAGCGTTTTTCCTGGGATGCCTGTGAGTGTGACGCAATGATTGTATGAATCTATACGAAGTGACTCGTGTGGGAGGAATTGGAGTCATTTGGCGATATAGGCCATTGGCCACTTGAGTACTCTAGGGGAGATTGAGAAGCTCAAGGCATCTCCTTCGCCTGATGCCGACTTCACCCCCAAGACACAACAACATTGAACAGAATCAGGCACGACTTCTCCTAAGAGGAGGACTCACCAAATCGAAGATGCCCTCAATGGCCTCTTGGGGTATTGGGTGGTTTTTGACGTAGAAGAAGCCTGTGTGATTGGGAAGAAGATCAGCACAGGCCACATGGCACCCTTGTTATGTATGCAACTGCCCTGCATTGGGCTCCTGTCGGGCGCTCACCCCAGTCAGTGCACGCTCTGAGCAGCTCTCTGGCCACCTGATCCGGCGACGATGAGGCCTGGGTGAAGTCAATGATGGGGATATCAGTGGCAATGGCCATGGCGACGGTTATGGTTTTGGGTCGTCTGCAGGAACCGATGGATGGCGTTGATCTGCTGCAGCACAAGGATACAGATACGAGGACAGACTTTGCGCCTCTTGTGGACTATTGTACTAGTATGTTGCTTGAAGCAGTTCAGTCAGACTCCACCAGCCTCGACAATGCCACGAGGTAGTCCGTATCTGTGTGATAAAGCCAGTGTGTAATAACGAACCCACGAGGACTTGTTCGCAGGGTGTCTCGATTAGCGAATGCGCTGTGCGGGTATAGCGGGTACCTACGAGTAGCTGCTGAGGTGGTAAAGGGCACTGTAGCATCACTTCTGCGCAGCTGCTCCTCAGAGATGGTCATCACCACTCGACACAGAGCCCAGATCAGTCTGCTTGTTCTCCCTTCACTGATAGGGGCCAGAATCCAGAGGAACCATCGGTGCCATCCTTACCACGATCCTTGTGTGGCAAATTGCCGCCTAGTGCCGTGGAGTCTCTTGCAAGTGATCAAAGATAAGGTCCTTGTCCCCTCCTCCCGTTGGCCTCCCACCACCACACTGCCCTCGCCTTCTCGTAAATCCTTTGGTCACCGAACCGCCTCTCGGGGCTGGCCGAACTTCATCTCTCCCGAGTCTCCTAGTCTCGCGACCCCTCCTCCAAAGAAGCAAAGTCACTTGGCTCTCCGTCTCTATCTCCCAGGAAACAGCCCGGTCAGGATACGACAATCGGCCTCCCATCCAAGCATATGCCCAGAAGAGCTTGAGTAGGCTTGGTGGTGTGGCCAAGTTCAACCCTTTCATCATGATCTTCTCGCCAAGCACCCTGCTCAAGAAGGCCTTGCCGTGCAATCGAGATTGAGCGCAACCCTACGAAGTATATCAAATACTACTTGTGCCATTAGGGAGTGAGCGCAGCCGAAGAGGGGGAACCCGGAATGCAGTCTGACAACATGTCGGTGCTTGGTGTGATTGCGAGGGATTGTTCCTCATACACAACTTGGAGTTGGCTTGGGGAGACTTTCGCACACAATGGGGAATCCATACCTCGGCCTCCTCGACAGCGGTGACTCCCTAGCTCTCGTTTGTACGAGTATATATATTCTTTATTCTTCAGCACTTCGCAAGTCGCCAGAACCCATGCTGTGCTACGAGTTACTATCAGCTTTCAGCGTCAGACAAATTGCAACGACCCGAACGTGGCCTAGGTATACGAGATAGCTCGCCCAACCACACCAGTAAGCGGACCAGTTCCCAAAGGCAGACCATGGCCCGCGCATTGCTGCATCGAAGATGTGGCGCTGGACTGCCATCCCAGCCTCCTGACTGGATCGCCCTTATCAAGGGCTCGCCTGGCGTTTCCCACTTGATCTCTCGTCCTGTGCAATCCGGTGCAATCATCGGCTCTCTCCGCGTTTCTAACTCGCTAACATCTTCGAGATCATCCTTCTGTGGAGATGCAGAGTCGCATTTCCTCCCCCCGGAACGGGACTCGCCCGTTCGAACGAGACCCCTCTGGTCGCTGGGCAAGGGCTTAACGAAGGTAAGATACGATCAAGCTCGCGAAGCAACTCGTTGCGTTGGAACGGTGCCTACCGTCGCGCCCATTTGTTATCTACAGTACCACCACTGCTATATTTAATGTCGGTTGGTCGCCCCCTCCGTCACGTCTCCGATCTTGTGTGACCGAGTGCTTCTCGCTGCTTTCCCTTTGACCTGCAGGACGACTTTGTTTCCTGTAGAGGCACGAAACATACCTTGTCGTCAACAAAATGTCTTCCATCGAGCCTACCAGCTCCGACTCCGGGACGCCCTCCAAAGATGTCGATATTGAGAAGCTCCCCGGCGTCAACGAAACGGTCGAGCCTGAGGTCCGCCATGGCAGCGTCACCCCAGCATATGAAATAGCAAAAGCAAGACACATTCAAAACAGCTTCGCGCCTCTTCGCTGGTTGAGCAGAGGCGAGACATGGCTCGACGAAAAGATGGGCATCGAAACCCAGGGTATCGATCGTATCCCGGAAGAAGAGAAACGTCCTCCCGCCCTCATCAACACCTTTTTCATGTGGTTTTCAATGACTTGCCACGTGGGAACCCTCCCGCTCGGTGTGCTGGGTCCCGAATTTGGCTTGACTCTCGGTCAATCCGTCTCGGCCGTGGTGGTTGGCACCATCTTGGGAGCGCTCTGCACGGCTTACACCGGGACTCTGGGACCCAAAACTGGACTTCGTCAAATCGCTACATCTCGATATTCCTTCGGTTTCTGGGGCGCCAAACTTTGCAGTGTTCTTAATGTGATTGTTGGCGGCGGTTTCGCTGTGGTCAATGTGGTCATCACTGGCCAGATGCTCAGCGCCGTTTCCGACTACTCGATGACCATCGCTGTGGGCTGTGTGATTGTTGCCATAGTCTCCTACGTGGTCTCGGTCTTTGGCTTCGCAATCATCCACACGTTTGAGAAGTACAGCTGGATTGCGTCCTTCATTCTCCTCTGCGTCTTGATCGGTCAGGCTGGGCCGCATGTCGGACCCAATGCGCCTGGATTCCCGGCCTCAAACCTGGAGGTCGCTGGTTCATGGCTCAGCTTCATGGCCATTTGCTTCTCCAGCTCATCGGGCTGGTGTTCGATCGCTGCCGACTACTACTGCAACTACCCCGCGAGCACCAAAACATGGAAGATTTTCTTCCTCACTTTGGCCGGTATCACCATCCCGACGGTCTTTGTGACTGTCATTGGGTCCTGCATTGGCAACGCGGCCATTCTGAACGCATACCCCCCTTATGCGGATGCTTATGAAAACCACGGCCTGGGTGGCTTGTTGCGCGAGATCTACCATCCAGTGGGCTGGGCCAAATTCTGCTTGGTTATCCTCACATTCAGCGTTTTGGGCAATAACATCGCCATCAACTACTCCTCTGGTCTCTCTATCCAACTTCTCGGTCACTACTTCCACGCCGTGCCCCGATTTATCTGGTCCTTTTTGGTCGCTTTGGTAGTGGCGCTGCTCGCTATTGCTGGCAAGGACCACTTGTCGAACATTGTCTCTGATTTCGTGTCTTTGCTGGGCTACTGGACTATCTCCTTCACCTTCATTCTTCTGATTGAGGACCAATGGTTCCGCAAGCGATCGGGCGAGGGCTACAACCTCGAAGTGTGGGATATGCCCGATAAGCTGCCATGGGGTGCAGCGGCTGTCTTCTCGCTCCTGGCGGGTTACCTGGCTGGTGGTTTGCCCGGTATGGCGCAAGTTTGGGTGAGTGATTGTACCTTGGTGCTTCGTTTTCCCTCGAGTCCGTCTACTAACACATCTTTTGCAGTATGTCGGCCCTATTGCAGCCAAATTCGGACCGTACGGCGGTGATGTCGGTATCTACATGTCCGGCGCCATCACTCTGGTCTGCTATTTCCCACTGAGATATCTGGAGAGGAAGTACACTGGGAGGTAAAAGCGCCGTCTGTGATATAGGGCACCTCCTAGAAAGTAACTAATTCACCACGACCACCACCATACTACCACACCACCTTTATGTACTTTGATAGTCTCCAAAACCATCTAGCAGTTTTGATTGGTCTAGTAGCCTAAAGCTGCACATAGCGGTCGGAAACGCCATTCCGCCAAAAAGACAATTCCAGATTTCGTTTTTCTTTGCCCAGATTGACTGTTACTCTCCATCTTCCCGTCCTTCCATTAAGCTTGCGGTAGATCTTGCGGTCATGGCGGCCGTTCCTTGTCTTCAAAACGGGGCGACAACGAGGCCTGAATGATATTTTGGACCCTCAACCTCCCCCGCGTTGACGTCTCTGGTCGGTTTCCGGATCCAGGCTTTGGCAAAGGCCACTTCTCACCATTCACCTTCTTTCCCGGTCCTCAAGTCCAGACAATCCACGTGGCAAACCCGGTACTCTGGTTCCCTGGAACATTTCCGCACAGAGTTTATGCAGAAGTGAGCCTGGTGGCGCAAATGCCATGCAGCTGGCCCTCTGGTCCACTCTTATCGAAGGACTGGGGGGGTGCTGTTGGCCTGCGCCGTCCACCAACAGCATCTGGCAGGATATGGATTGCCTAATTGCCAGAGCACTTTCCCACCAACGATGAGTCCACATTCTCTTGCCCAGGCCTAGAATTCCCTAAAGCTGATCAAGCATGATAAGACTCAGTTAGCCTCTGCCACCGGTGCTGCGACTTCTCCTTCGAACAACTCGTCGTGGCTACTTCTCCGCATCTTCGAACCTCAATAGGTATAGCGCTTCCCCGTAAGCTCGCCGCCAGGGGGGCCCAGGGCTGGGTTTCCTTGATAACGGACTTCTGCAATCCAGCCTCTGATAGGCATCATCGCTGTCGGTCTTGACGAGCTATGCCTGTAGTGCAGAAGTCCGAAATGGGTTGCAACATGGGACGCGCGAGGGTCATATAACTACATATGGAAGATGAGCGGCAGTTCCAGGATGCAAGTCTCGGGTTTCTCTTCCTTCACCTGGCGGATCCCTCTTCACCATGGCCTCTACCGTTGAGAAAACTTCGACCCAGATGGATGTCAAAGACACGTCGACTCCATCAGACCCGCCTTCCATCAAAGATGGCGCTCAGGAGAACGTCGGCGTCGGTGTCGTCCTCACCCACGACGAATACCATCTTGCCACCCTGGGCTACAAGCAGGAGTTCATTCGGTCTCTGGGCTTTTTCGAGAGTTGGGCCTCGACATTTACATCGATGAACTTCATCTCGGGCATTCCTGTCCTGTTTGGCTGGGTCATGTACACCGGGGGACCTCAGGCAGCATTCGCCAACTGGACCATGGTCGGCGGCCTGTCTTGTGTCGTGAGTTTGGTGATGGCAGAGCTGGCTGCCTCGCTACCCACGACAGGCGGCATCTACTTCTGGAGCTACCGTCTGGGCGGGGAGAAATACGGGCCCTTCCTCAGCTGGATGACGGCCTGGTGGAACTGGGCAGGCTGGATCAGCGTCGTGCCCGGCGTCCAACAGGGTTCTACCAATTTCTTGGTCTCGGGCTTGATGATCAAGTACCCCAACGCCGAAGTCCTGCACAAGGGCTGGTTCTTGTGGCTGCTCACGAGCATCGGCATGATCTTTGCCATGATTCCAAACATCTACAACCCGAGGCTGCTCCGGTATTACTTCCGCTTCGCCGTCGCCATCTTCTTCTCCCTCTTCTTCATGTACTGGATCTGGTTCCCGGTCAAGGCTTCGCAGAAGCATTTCAACAGCAGCCACGGAGCATTCGATTTGTTCTACAACGGGATCAATCTGGGAGAGAAAAAGCAGGCCTCTGATGCGTACTGTTGGTAAGTTGAGCAGTTAGATCCCCAAACCCTGCTCTCCCCATTCATGCTAACGTCGTATTGAAAGGGTCATTTCTGTCCTGTTCGGAGCTTGGGTTTTCTATGGGTACGACGCATCGGCACATTTGGCTGAAGAGACCAAACAAGCCTCCACCGTCGTTGCCAAAGGCATCTACAGTAAGTCTATTCTCTTGTGTCATCCTGGTGGGCGCTATTGGCGAGTTGCGACTGACATATCTGTGCAGTTTCCACTTTCTCGGCTTGGCTCTTGTCGGTTCCTACCCTCATAATCATCCTGTTCTGCATGCAAGATTTCGACGGTATCATCTCAGCCACTTATGCAAACAACTGGGCCGAGTACCTCGTTCAACTCATTGGCGAGAACGGCGCGGTCGCCATTCTTTCACTGCTCTGGGTCGACAGTACGTGTGCAACGGCAAGTTGCTTCATGTCGGCCCAGCGAGTCACCTATGCCATCTCCCGCGACGGTGTGCTCCCCTTCAGTTCCTTCTTCAGGAAGCTCTCCAAGCGCAAGATGGCAGTCAATGCGGCGCTGCTTGTCTTTTTCATGTCTGTTGCGATCACGACGGCCGTCATTGGCTCTGCGGTCGCCTTCTCCGCCATCACAGCCACGGCGACGATCGCCACGAATTTCTCCTATCTGATTCCCATCATTGCGAGACAGACAGTGGGACGCAAGTCGTTTATACCGGCAAAGTGGAACTTGGGCAAGTTCTCTGCCCCACTGGCTCTTGTGGCCACTGCATACATCTTGTTCCTGTTTGCGGTTCTTCTCCTGCCGCAGTTGTACCCGGTGGACGCAGACACCTTGAACTATGCGCCGATTTGCATTGGTATTATCACCATCATTAGCTTGGCGGGATGGTTCTTCCCCGTATGGGGTGCCAGGCACTGGTTTCAAGGTCCGATCAAGACGATCACTGAAGAAGAGTTGAGACATGCCCGGGTCGAAGGAGGAGTGGCGACGGTTGAGGAAGGAGACGCGATAGCCAACTTTGAGTATGGACACCGGCGGAAGAGTGTGTGACGGGACGATGTAGCTTGAGACGAGGGCGGAGGGTGTAAGAACAAAACACATTTCGGGACAAAGGCATGGCTGCGTGGCTATTCTGACACTTTTTGCGCCCCCATTCTGAAGAGCCCTCCTCTTCAGTCGTAATGTAACAGAGAATTGGATTCCAGCGACAAAAGGCCCGTTGCCCACTCCCCCCACCTACAGCTTCTGCCTCTGAATCTCCCTGCCTGCTGCCCTCAGCATGTTCTCGCCGTCAACTAACACGCACCAACCCTCTCCGCCGACCGTGCCGTCCTCAAACCCTCCCACGGCTGACTCAAAGTTCTCCTTGGCGTACTGCAGGTCCTGATCCTCGAAGCTTCCCGGCTGCAGCCACACTGCTTTCACCCCGGCCGTCTTGGCCTCCTCGAGGACCTTCCTCGTGACGGCAGGCGGGGTGAGGAATGACAGCGCCGTCTGGGACGGGTGCGGAAGCGCCGAGACGCTCGGCACGGTGGTGTATGTCTTGGAGGGCAATGCTATCGATGGCCGACTCGGATTGATAGGCGTCACGGCCAACGCGTGCACGTGGTACCACGCCAGGATCCTGTATCCGAACTTGCTCTTGTCTTGGCTGGCGCCGACGACGGCGAAGTACTGCGACGTGAAGAATCTTTTGGCCGCGGCTTCCATGGCTGGTTGAGTGAGGTTGAGGTTGATGGAGGGGAGGGGAGGGGAGGGGGTGGGTGAGTCACTGGCTGGCTTCAGGGCATAGAAAGTCGAGATGTTTTCTCTTCCCCCTGAGGTGGTGAGTGATATGCTGAACACTAGTGCTAGATACCTGGAACCTACTTGTAGGTGAACCAGAAGATTCCCGGCGAAAAGCACGTCATAGCGCGGCGCTCGGGAGCCAGACATGGCAAACATTGGCCCCCAAGAAGGAAAAGAAGATTTGTCTGACAAGGCTGATTGTACTTACCCTTGCATACTAACTCGCATGTCAGACAGAATCACCTCGTGTCCTCCCTCCGCCCACTAGCATTGACCTGGTCGGGAGCCTCAGGCAAGGCAGACTCAACGCCGCATTATGGCTAGTGTGAGGTGTTTCTGTGGCTTGATCGTGGCTTGTGAGCCTCAGGCGCCCCATTCGGGACGGGGAATTTCACAGAATCCGAAGCAAAGGGCCAATCGAACAGGCAGCTGGCTTCATGGGCTACTCTTGTTCCCCCGGGGGTCAATTGTGGCATGCCGCCTAACGAACAGCAGCCCTTTCAACTGCTGGGGGGGGACTCGGCTGCAGGCTGTTGCGGGCTGCTGCGGGCTGGCCCATGTCATTGAACAAAAGTGAGTCTTTCTCTCACGAGCTCATCATAATGCCCTCTTAACTCCTCGACAGCAGCCTCTGCTGCCTCAGTCATGATCGACTACTTCTCTTGGATGAGTTTGCCATCATCTCGCCACCTCTGAGACCCAGTCTCGCCACAAGCCGTCTCTCTTGTACCCAGCACAACCAGTCTCCCAGAAAACATGGCTGATTTGGCTCTCCGCACTCGGGATCAGCCTGATATTCGGGCGCGGATCAGCATCCACGACGAATCTCCCAATGATATCAAAGAACTCCTGATTGCCGACCAGACACAGAAAGCTCTGCGCTCGAAGCAATCCTGGACTCCTCCTGAGGCACTGGGATCTTTGCATCGAGCTGTGTTACGCAAAACCAGGACGCTTCCTTATCCTTATCGACCGGGCCACTTCCACGATCTCCCCGCCTCAGACCCTCTACCCTGTCCTTTGAATCGGTCAAACAGCCTCAACTCCCTGTCAACCATCCAACGAGAGACAGAAGCCGCTTCATTAAGTCTATACAGAGGGTCACCGATCTCTGCAATCAGTCCTCCGTGTGCCCCGCCATCAGCGCCATTATGGACACCCGACGTCGACTCCGAGCTACAAGATCCTTGCCCCCCTCGGCCCCAACTGAGGGTAGAAACCCTCAGCCAGCAACGCAAGTACCAGAAGCGCTTGAAGAAGCATATGAAAAAGGAGGAGAAGGAACAGCGCAAGGCGCAAAAAGAGGAAGACCAGTTGCGCCGCGCGGCGCTGGCTGCTGACGTTGCTGCGTCACGGAGGTGGGCAGCCGCCAGAGGAGACCCGATCCCACTCCGCACGAAAAGCACGAGGAGCATAGCCTCGCAAGTAGTCAAGAACTTGAGTCTGAAGACTCCGTTGAACAAACTCAGTCGTCATGTCAGGAGAGAGAGGTCGGACCCGCCCACACTGGACGACTTTGACACCAAGCAAGACTTTCGAGACTATCTCAATCCTTCTCCTTCACCCCCACCATCCGCCGAAATTGCTGAGCTGCCTGCCGAACTGCCGCAGTATACACCTTTTCAAGACTCGACGAGGACGCAAAAGAATGAACCCGTTGCCCTGTTGGAGGATGCTCATGCATTGAAAGAAAAAGGTGTTTTGTCACCAATCGATAACGACGAGGCAAGAGCGAACAATGCTCCTCCAACACCACGATCGATGAGGTGCGACTCGTGTCAGAGCCCCATTCGTCTGCACCAGGTCTACTACCACTGTTCAATTTGCGACAATGGCGACCGCATACTTTGTTCCTCATGCGACCAGGCCGGCTGGAGCTGTCGCCATAACCTTACAGAAAGGGTCCGAAGTGTATCTCGGCCTGCCGCTTCTCAGAAAGTGGATGTTGCCAACATGAGCGGAGAGCAAACTCGGTCAGAGGCACAGCAATATGCCACAGCCATGTGGGGTTTGAATCTGTCGGATCTCCCTGCCCACCACAACCGATGGACCGAGTCACCCGCGCAAGCAACAATGTCTGCGGACAGCCCTTGGGCATACAACGACATTCTAGAACAGAAACTATCGCAAGAAGTTCAAGAGCGGAGCATGCGCCAATCTCAGAGATCTACTGACGCAAAAGAGCTTGATTTTCGCCGCCGTGAACAGGATATGGTCTTCCGTGAAAAGGAAGTGACCCTACGAGAACGGGAGGCTGCTGTGCGGGAGCAGCAGGCCTCAGTTAGGGAGCAGGAAGCTGCTCTCCTTGTGAAACAGCAGATGTTCACACTACATGTGCAATCAGCCGTTTCAAGGCAAATGTCGGAACTGTCCGCTGGAGTAGGTGCACAGTTCCAAGATCTGTCGCAGGTAAGTACTCTTGTTCACCTTATGTCTTTTCGCAGATCCTCCTTACCGCTTCCTGGAGCCAGACCTTTTTCTGATAAACGCTCCCAGAATACCAACATACGGACCCATGCCACCAAACGCAAAGCAGGGGCTGGCTCGGCGATGGTCTCACCTTCCAATTCTACTGGCTCGAATCATAAGTCTTCACCAAAGCGCACGCCGAGCGGCGGACAAGACCCTGATGAAGACGACGAGGACGCTATAGGAGGGACACCGAAGAAGATCAAACAAGATCCCGACTCGGTGGGCACACCAGAGAAGCTCTTCGCTTGTCCCTTCTCCAGGTTTGACAAATCGAGATATTCGGAACAGAACACCCATGAGAAGCATTACCGAGGCTGCTCGAGTGGGTACTGGCCCGACATCTCACGACTCAAGCAGCATCTTTACCGCGTCCATTGGCGACGGATCCATTGTGTGCGGTGCTATGCGAAGTTTGACCGCAAAGACCAACTGGACCAACATATCCGAGGGGCAGCGCCCTGTGCGCTTGTCGAATGTCCGTTCCCAGAGAAGTTCGACGAGGCACAATATAACGATATTCGGCGTAAAAGACCTGCCAGCACTCCTGAACAAGTTTGGTACACAATCTACGGTATCCTCTTTCCGGGAGTACCGCTGCCAACGAGCCCATACGCCGATAATACAGGCGGTGCTTCGGCAGTCAGCCCAGGGCCGGCTGAAACTCAGGACACAATGGATGTGCTAGGGGAAGTTTTTGAATCACGTTTGGACCAGCTCACCAACGTTCCTGGTCAGGGGTGGCTTCGGTCAGCAGAAGCACGACAACTTATCCGTGAGCAGTTGAGAGCATCCATGACCGACGTGCTACAGAGATTGAGGCCTGCCAACAGTCCTTCTATTGGGAATCCGTCTGTTGAAGTGTCGCCCTGTTCGGCCCAACCACCGGGTTCAGCTCGACGCAGCTCAATCTCTCTAACACCCTCGTCTTCCGTTCCACCCTCACCTGTTCATGGCCCTGGTTCCACAAGCAGGAGTGGGTTGGACTCACACTTTCTTTCGCCAGGTCATCGGCAAAGTTTCAGTCGTCCCTTCTCGGCTAGGACAGTACCAAAGCTTGCTACACCACAGCCTGCTCAGAAGGCTCCAGCCGTGGAAGAGTCACTCTCTGGGGTTACTTTCCCTGTTTCTCTAGCCGTTGATCCAGAGAATGACCAGTATGACGACGATTGCAACAGCTGGAGCCACGGAGACGAGCGTGGCCTTGCCATATCGACAGATACGATGCCGGGCGAGTTCGATTTTGACTTTGCCTCAGCGTTCGAGGAGCTAAACAACATGCAAGGTATAGCAGTACCTCACCCAACCTCGGAATTCAATCCCGTTAAGCTTTCAAGCTTGAGTGACCCTGCCGAGGAAGTGTCGACCAGAGCTTCTGAGCTGAAACCCAAGCATTCCACAACGTCATCCGTCGACTCGGGTTATGGCAGTCTTGGCCACGCCTCGTCCTCGGCATCAGCGTCCTCTTCTACTTCTCCACCTGGGACACAGACAAAGTCGAGATCAACTCCAAAAGCCGGGAAAAACAAAGGCAAACGAAAAGTACCGGTATTCTCGAAGGAAACGAGTCCTGTGCCGGAGTCGGCAATCGACTTTGAGGCTTTGAACATTCCATTCCAGGACTTCTCGGGTGTCAATTTGGACTTGGACATGGACGAAGCTATGAGTGAGTTTGCATTTGGAAAAGGAATGGGCGATGAAAATACGGAGGCATTGGATCCGACTGGTTCTTTGGACAGGAGGTATTACCGCGATTTTTAAGAGACAGGATGGAAATGTACATGCTGCGTTGGCATTTCATCGTCTTCTTTATGTATTCGTATCATTTCGGGTTTTATGGCCGGGTGGTGTGATGGAGGCATAGTCACTGGTATGTCACTGGCAGGTTGCAACGACGGATATGAATTGGAAAAGGAAAAAAATGATTGAAGGGAAAAAGGGTTTCTCAGATGTGATATTAGCTCGCTCATCATGGATTGAGATTGATGTTTTCGGATCAGTGAAAATGAATTCAGATTTTGTCTGACGCGACGAATTTCGTCCTTGTCTCGCCTTTTCAAACTTGTCAGACCCTGCATTGCTCTTCGGACGGGATTTTTTCACTTCCCCAACTTTTCCGCGTCAACTTCGCAGATCTCGACGCCGCAGCGCTACACTTAGAAGAGTGATGCAGTCCTCGCAGATGGTACGGAGAGCTCGAGTCCGAGAATTTCACATCTGCTTCTGAGTGTCCATGACATTTGTTTGGTCCCGACGGACTTCAATTCCGTCTTTTGCAGTTTTTAATACCCACGCCTCTGCCCATGGCGGCTGAGCAACTGACATCATAAGGCAAATTTACATCATGACGGTTTTTATGTGAGCGACCGAATACAAAGGAAAGGCGACATGTGAGAATGAAGGGTTGCAGAGGTGGGAATATAATTTCCTTTCCTATCTCACAGATCAATAGAAGCTCCGTTCTCTGTATCTCTTCAAACATAGTTCCGTCGCAGTCCAGTCTTTTCCACTTTTGCAGATATGCCCGACTCGGTGATCCAGCTGAAATGCAATTGCAACAACTATCCCTGGGGCAGGAAAGGTCGCGAGTCTCTGGCCGCCCGGCTCTGCTCGAAGACGAATCCCGATTTCCAACTCGATAACTCCAAGGAGTACGCTGAGATGTGGATGGGCACATACCCCGAACTGCCATCCTACTCGCTCAAGACGGGCCAGGATTTGCAGGAGATCTTGAAACAGCACAAGGGCGAACTGATCGGTACCCGAGTGTACGAGAAGTTCGGAGCCGACCTGCCTTTCCTCCCGAAGATCCTGTCCATCGCGAAGGCGCTCCCGCTGCAGATTCACCCTGACAAGAAACTGTCGGAGAAACTGCACAGGGAGAATCCGGACCAGTTCTCGGACCCTAACCACAAGCCCGAGATTGCGGTTGCTCTGTCCAAATTCGAGGCTTTTGTTGGCTTCAAGCCTCTCCCGGATATCCAGGAGTTGATGAAGCTGGAAATTCTCCGACCGTTCCTGCCCAGCACTACCGAGGGCTTGACATTAAGTGATGATGAGACCCTGAGGCAGATTTGTACGAACATGCTCAAGGTGGAGGAGGACCTCGTTGCAAAGACGATGAAGGGCTTGTTGGCCACATCGGCCGAGCAGTTCGGGAAGCAGGGATATGTGCTCGACTTGGCCAAGAGGTTGCAGGAACAGTACGGCAAGCAGGACAATGGGAATCTTGTCGCGCTGGTGTGCATGAACTTCCTGGTGTTGGATGCAGGCTCGGCACTATACATTCCTGCCGACGGCATCCATGCTTACCTCTCGGGCGACATCGTCGAGTGCATGGCGAGGTCAAACAATGTTATCAACACGGGATTCTGTCCGAGAGCGGATCGAGACTCAGTCGATCTGTTCGCAAAGTCACTGACTTTCAAGCAACACGACCCGGCAGAACCCATCCTCGACCGACAAACCAGCGACAAGAGTCAGAACGGCAAGACGGACGAGTTCAAGCCGCCGATGGGCGAGTTCAACATGCTTGTCACGGAACTCTCTAGCGGGGAGAAGGAACTAGTCAAGCGTGTCGAAGGTCCCAGTATCATGGTCGTGAGTGACGGAAGCGGGAAAATGAGTGTCGGTGGGCAAGAATATGACTTGCAAGAAGGGAGCATCTTTTTCGTAGGCTGCGGAGTTGAGGTTGAGTTGGCTGCGCAAGATAGACTGGTTGTGTATCGGGCGTATGCGGATTGAGAGCTTTTGTAACTTTACCCCCTTTGTTCTGCTCACTAAAGGGGCCGTGCCATAATTGACCTGTTGTGCGGAGATCGAGAGCAATGCCTGTCGGTGAATTTCTGCGCGATGGCAAGTGAGGGCAACACCAGCCACCGCCTGGTGGTTTGAGGAGCTGTGCCTCGCTGGTTTTGGCTAGGTGCTTTTGGCATCCATGTTGACCCTAGGCCACACCGACCGCTGAACGAATCCAGCATCCCACCACCCTCATCACACCAATGATGGTCGCCTGCGCGTCTGCTGTGGCTGCGTTTCCTCAGCGTGCCTTCGACCACAGCAGTGCCCAAATCATGGCTTCCAGCCTCATCCTTCTCCTCAGGGAGGCGGTGACCACTCTGCCAGCTGCCTGTCCTCCTCCCGTCTAGTCGGGATTGCGCTTGCTTCCGACCTTGTGCGATGGCTTCTGGTGGTAGCAGTGGACAGCCACGAGCTGTGCCAGATCACACACGATCTCTGCCCGATCTTGAGGACATAGAAGCAGCGCGTCCACCACCGACGGCTGAGACCATCCCATCCCAGCGTCCACTTCCTCATATCTTGGAAGATGGCATTACCGAGCTATGGTCCCCCCCAAATCCTGCGCGGATTGTCGCCGATATCTACTTTGTCCATGGCCTGATGGGCCATCCGTTCAAAACGTGGTATCACCAAAAGGCATCACCATCGCAGAAAACCCAGGACAATCCAGAGTCAAAGAGACATGGACTATCGAAGATATTTGGTCGGAAACGCGAAGGCAAACGAGAGACAAGCGGGAACGCTTCTGAGGCGCCTTCACAAAAGGGCCGAGGGTGCTACTGGCCCCTCGATCTGATCCCGAGTGACTTCGATAACGTACGAGTCCTCACTTGCGGCTACGACTCGCACCCGACACGATTTCTGGCGGGCGGAAATCAAATGAACATTTCTCAACACGCCCAAAATCTTCTCCAGCGTGTCAGGACTACTCGGAATCATTGCCAAGGAAGGCCAATCATATTCGTCGCCCATAGCCTTGGAGGCATCCTGGTTGAAGATGCCATTGTTGAATCTGGGAAATACAAACATCAGCCTGCACTCTTGGACATTAGCCGCTCCTGTGTCGCCATTTTCTTCTTCGGAACGCCCCACCATGGATCGGACGCTGCAAAGTATGGTGAAACCTTAGGCAAGATGCTTGAAATTTGTGGCTCCAAAGTCAACAAAGAGATCTTGAGAGGACTGCAGAGAAATGGGGAGAAGCTAAGCGCCGTTGAGCGCGACTTTAACGACTTGCTCAACGAAGAACTTCCACCCAGTGAAAAGCTTCAGATATGTAGCTTCCAAGAAGGGAAGACGGTGACGGGTCTGAAGTTCTTTCCCATTGGAAAGGTAGGGTCGGAAGAAAGAAATTTTGAGTCTGTGCTGACATATGTGTCTAGGTGGTAGAAGATTCATCCTCTTTTTTCAATCGCAGAGACATTGAAAATAGCATGTTTATCAATGAGAATCACATGGAAATGGCACGATTCCGCTCAGCGCAGACACAGGGTTATGTGGACTTTCGATCGAGGTTGAAAGACTATCTGCATAAGATTGAAACAACCGCCAACGCGCGGAGGGCCAGGGATCAGGCGCAGGAAGCTGAACGTGCAGGTGTGTCCTGACTGGAATGTCACCACAATGCCGGGCATTGGAGTCCTGACGACACTAACCTCGCCCATAGCCTTGATCAAAGCTCTAGATTTTACGGAGAGATGTATCCGCGAACAACAATTGAGTAGCCTCGACACGCCAGAAGAAACACTCACTTGGATCTGGGATTCGCCATTCAAAACCTGGCTCGAGAACGACGGCTCTATATTTTGGATTAAGGGTAAACCAGCTTCAGGGAAGAGCACGCTCATCAACTACATTCGCAAAGCCGAGATTACCCTCAATATACTGAACAACTCTCACCGCAAGACTTGGAAAATTATTTATTTCTTCTTCGATTTTCGAGCTGGAAGTGGGATTGGCAATAGCATGGAAGGTTTCCTTCGGTCCCTACTTCGTCAACTATGTGAAGAATTACCTAGTATTGCCCAGACTGTTCCAGATTTTGCGAGGATCGTTAACAGCACTCCTCAGCGACAAGCAACCTCCCATTTGGAGGAGCACATTCCTGTTGATCTCTTGAGGACAGCGCTACTTCGAGGAGTTCGGGACTGTTCAGAAAGTCTGATGATTCTACTGGACGGCCTAGATGAATACGAGGGAGAGCAAATCGAACTGTGCAACTTCATCAAAGTCCTCCGCGGAAACAACGTTAAAATCTGTCTCGCTAGCAGACCCGATCCTCCGTTCCCAGATGCCTTCGCTGGGATGCCATCATTCCGGATGCAAGATCTCAATTTCAACGCCATCAAAAAAGTTTGGTTTGCATGTCCTCCAACAATTTTATTCTGGCCAGCAATACCTCCAGTCTACTCTGCAAGCTTTAGCAGATACTGTTGCACGAAGGTCACAGGGTGTCTTCCTGTGGGCAAGGTTCGCTACATTTGAGCTCATAAATGGACTCACCCGCGGCGAGAAGCTAGGATCTGCCGCGCTGATGCAAAGACTGGATGAAATGCCACAGGAGCTACAAGATATCTACTCTCGCATATTCCTGCGCTCTTCTCAGGACGGGAGGAAGACGGCCGGCCTCATCTTACTGCTGATTTGCTACAAACGTGGAGTAATCACCTCCGAAATGTTACAGATCGCCATCTCTTGTCTTCCGCCATCCTCACCTTTGTACCCTGATCCCGCAACGCTCTCAGCTACGGAAGGTAGTGAGGACGAATTCCCGAAACGTCTACTGGCTGTGACGGGCGGCATTGTGGAAGTGTTTATGGCGGGAGTAGAATTCGGGTTCCTACGCATCATCCCCAGCAAAGTGCCTCGCTTGATACATCGGACCGCGCAAACTTACCTCGAGAGAGGTGGTTGGCGGGAAATCCTTGGCGACATTTACAACCCAGCTCTAGGCAGTAAAACCTGGACTGAGATCTGTACGCAGACGGTCGTGGAAAGGCAATCAAGGCTAGCCGAACCGTTGTCAATTGCTACAGACGGTACGAACTGGACGCTCACTATAACCGACGATAATTCCAACGTCAGCGGTGGCTTCCGCGAAGCTGATCATATCTCCCACCAAAGCTCTCTCGACAATCCTGATGGAAGTCCAGGCAGCATCCCTACCAGCCGCCGTAGCGTTGATGTAGACCCTCAGCCAAGTTCTGCCGATCAACCGCGAGTGAACAAGCCAACGCCGCAGACTCTGTTCCTAGGCCATGCCGGCGGCTACATCTTTGAGCATGCCTCTGAGTATGAGGAGACATCGGCGACATCATCTGCCCCATTACTTGAGGCGCTCGCCAATTCTGTGTTTATAAACTTACATCTGCGCATGTGCCATGAGGCCTGCTCCTGGAGAGTTGACGAGCTTTCGCGAGTACACAACTTTAGACTCGAGCTTGTCCACCTTGTTGCAGCTCACGGGCTGCATCGATATGTGAAAGACCATGTGGAAGAGTTACAAAAAAGACAGCCGGCTAAGTACCCGAATAGTATTGTGAACAGGCTCCTCGAGATGGTACATTTGAAGAAGACTCAGGATTCTGCGATGGCACTCAAATGGCTCAAGAGAGTTGCCGTATCTTCCATGGTGCGATATCTTGGACCTCCGCAGGACCTCTTTGAGACGACCGCTTTCTTACTTGAACAGTGTCCGATCGTGGAAGATATTGAAATCTTAGCAGCAGTGGCTAGTCGCTCAATTGCGTCGTTGGAGGTACTGTTGAAGTATCGTCGAGGAGATATTTCGTTGCTGAAAGTTGCCACGGAGGATTTCCCTATCTATCTGGGCGGTTTCGCTACACTCCTACAAGGCGAGGATTTTGGGCCGCTGGTAGCGCTTGGGGACCGGGTTGGTAGGGATGATGACGTCCTCCTTGAAGACACTCAAGAGGTACTTGCCATGTTAATGCACAGGGGAGTCCAGGTGAATGCTTCTTGCGGGTCTTTGGGAGGTGTACTGCACTACATCATCAAGTCACTATTGGAAAGATCTGTTTTCACGCCTATATCTGTCCACCCAATTGACTTACTATTGGAAAAGGGTGCGGATATCAATCAACTTGGTTCACAAGGCACACCTTTGGAGCTTCTATGGAAATTGGCCAACACGTGGGAAGTGGAGAGCACGATCGGAGTTGGACGGAGCCGTGAGTTGTTGCGCGCTCTCATTGACCGTGGGGCGGTCAACAGACGCAGAGATCCCAACGGGCTGGTTCCATCTGTGATCCAGATGAGGCTATTTGGGTGCAATAGGACTGACTTTCAAGAGTGCAAACGATTTTATCGAGAGGGGCCCCGTGATGGAGGGTCGGTGTGGCCGGGGCCAGTGCCTCTGCATCCGGACGATTCATCGCCCAACTCACACTCTGATTTTGATATACCCTTCGACGAGGCGATCGAAGAGTACCGGGCAGCCATGGGCTTGGGAATGGTTGACAATGGTGGTGCGGATGGACACTACCGAGTGGACGAATAGGGACCAATCGACTCCGGAAAACGACAGGCATATCGGTGAATGAAGAGCCTGAATGCGGATGGCGAGCATTGCAGAGTGACGAACCGGAATATGGGAACCTCAAGCGGGCAGGAAGGGTGGGTGGTGGGTGATGGCCGGCGAGGGGCGTGCTGTTCGACATCGCTCTGGACAAGCGGATGAGATACCTGGTTGATGCCGTTGTCTCTGCCCGTAACCCCCAATTTATGGAGGACATGCGTATCTCGAACACTGCGGCTCATCTGGGTACTGTGCAGCAGTTGTACAACATGCCTAGTGTTCCAAGGTTCTGGAGACGGTGGATCTCACAGCAATGGCAATCAAACGACTGTGGACATTCGGCCCTCTTTCCTCAGATGAGTATGATATTGGCGACGAGAGTATCAGTAGGAAGTCAAACTCGATGGAGAGGTCGGAGGTGAGATGCCAAGCCTCTATATATGATTACGTATTATTTCGACAAGCCGAAACGGGCTTTGAGCGCAGTTGATGACCACTGAGACGGCGGCCCGAGAGTTGAAATGGGGCACGAGGCTGTTTGTCCCTGATCGACAGAATATATTTCGTATTTTCGAGGGATCTACAGCGAGTTCTGACCACCCCTTCTCCTTTTGATGTGCCAGTGGCAGAACTTCCCCCTGCTGCCGTCTTGACTCATTTCTTTGTCAGCAGCTCGGCCCAATTTCCACTCGTCATCGAAGCCTTGACGCCCACATCCACATCCACATTGTGAGATTCCAACAACCTCATCGGCCATGGAGCCCAACTCTAGCACTTCAGAGGCTCGGCCCTCCAAGGCTTATTCCTGCGTCCGATGCTTCGAGCGCAAAGTTAAGTGCGACAAGCAGCATCCGTGCAGCGGCTGTGTCCGCTCCAAAGTCGAATGGCAAGTCTGACCATCCTCGATTGCTGCCTGGTCCCAATGGCCCCGAAGGACAAACACCATCTGACCATTGGACTCTGACTTGGCTCACCTATACCCCCGCGTCATTCGTGAACATCCCCACTGACTCTTGCCTGTGCAGCGTCTTCCGTGTTCCCCCTGCTCCTCGCCGTCGCAAACGCAAGGCCCGAGAAGACGATGTGCTCGCTCGCTTAAAGCACTACGAGGAGTTGCTTCGTGATCAAGGCATCGATCCAACTACCCCGTCCACCACCCCTAGCAAAGTCGACACGACGTCCCCTCCCCTTGACGATGCCGATAATTCCATCACGTCGATATCAAAACCTGCAGAGCCCTCGTGGACGCCAGGCTCTCTTCACGGGAGACTGATTATCGATCACGGAAGGTCTCGCTTCATTCAAAAGTGTGTCTGCCACCACCCTTCGCAATATCTTCCAAGCTAAACGCAAGCAGTAAACTATGGACTACCGTCAGCGAAGAGGTCTGCCTCTTCACGCTCAATCTTTGCCGTCGACTAACCACAACCACAGCTCCATCACAGCAAGGATGTCATCCAAGATACTGACAGCGAGGACGAGCTGGGTACTCTTGCCGATGACAGCACTGACTTCGTCCTTGGCGTGACGCCGTACCCGACTCTAACATCGAGCCTGCACCCGAGTCCCGAACATGTGCTCAAGCTATGGCAGATCTTCCTCACCAACGTCAACCCATTGATGAAGATTGTCCACCAGCCTACCCTGCAGCGCACTATTGAAGACGCCATTCAGGACACCGACCATATACCCCGTGGACTCGAAGCCTTGATGTTTGCTATCTATGGGGCCGCCGTCCTGTCCATGCGTGATGGTGAGTGTCAGGCAATTTTTGGCGAGTCTCGTACAATTCTACAATCCAGATACCGCCTAGGCATACGCCGGGCCTTGACAAAGGCACGATTCATGGCGACTTCCGACATCGTTGTCCTGCAAGCACTGGTCATCTATCTTGTAAGACGAACTTCCGCCCGTCGCATTGTCCGTGACTAACCGAACATAGCTCACTACACGTCAGGTTCTGGACGCTCGCACCTTATGGACTCTCTCAGGCGTTGCAAGTCGTATAGCTCAAGGCATGGGCGTGCATCGAGACGGCACCGTCCTTGGCCTTCCTCCGTTCGAAACAGAAATGCGCCGCCGGCTTTGGTGGCAAATTAACCTGCTCGACTTTAGAGCTGCTGAGCTGAGCGGTTTTGGCGGCTTGACGGAAGTCAACTGGTGGAACACCAAGACGCCGTCAAATGTCAATGACGTGGATATTTGGCCAGGCATGAAAGAACAGCCTGTCGACCAAACTCGCCCCACCGAGATGGTCGTCTGCTTGCTTCACTATGCAGTCGGCGCCTTCTGGAGGCGAAAGCTTCTGCAGGCAGGCACTCCCGAAGAAGACCTCAACCGGGCCATGCATCGCTGGGTGGCAACGAAGACGTTGGCGGAAAAGGACGCGTTTGTTGATGAATTTCAGGCTAATCTGGAAGAGAAGGTGCTAAGATATTGTGACCCTTCGATGCCGCTCGAGATGATGGCTTTGATCATTGGCCGTACCATGTGCAAGAGCATAAGATTCATGGCGCACCACCCTCGGCGCTACGCAAATGAGAAAGATATCCCTGACAGCGAACGCCAATTTCTGTGGACGACAAGCATGGCTCTGATGGAAGCCGACAACCTGGCGCATTCTCATCGGTCGCTGCAGAGGTTCAGTTGGCACATCGACGCCGGGTTTCAATGGCATTCCTTCATATTTGCGCTAGGGGAGCTCATAGCCAGGCCAACCGGCGAAAGCAAGGACGAGGCGTGGATACAGATTGAGGACGTTTTCAAGAACCATCCTACGTAAGTCGTCGCTACTTCTCAAGACTTCCTGCTTTCTCTCCGAGCTTGCTCCCCATCCGACTGCTTCGCTTCTTCCCTCTCCTGGTGGAGGTGGTAGTGGTCTTCAATATTCCGTAGTCTGGGACTGAAGGCTAATTCCGGCATTTCTCTTTGAAGATTCATATCGGACCAAAAGAAGCCGCTGCATATCGCAATCGGCAATTTATGCTTAAAGGCATGGCGAGCCCGCGAAAAGGCACAAGCAGAAAATCCCCAGGGTTTGCAATGGCTCGACAAACCGCAATTCATCCTACAGCTTCGCAAACAGCGAGAGGCTCAAGAGGCGAAGGCAGATGCCAGTCGAGCCGCAGCATCGCACCTGAATTCCACGCTTCCAGCTGAAGACACAAATCTGGCAATAGAGTCGCTGCCACGGGATACTTCAACCGCAGAGACCATGCCTAGTGTCCAGCAATTTGAACAGCCAGTCAATACATTGGACCCTACATTTTCCCCACACGACTTTTCTGTCATGGACAATATGGCAATGGACTGGCAAAGATGGGATACACTGCTTAATGATTTTGAACTACTTACGCAGCCGGCCACCATGAATCCGGGCCATTTACAGCACCTCGGACAGTACGGTCAGCAAGGTTATTCGTGGCCGTTGTCGCAAATGTATGACAACCCATGAAACGGAAGATATCTCGAGCGGGATGTGACAAATGACCCCTGCCGGCGCGTCAACTATCTTGCTCTTGCCATCAATGCCCGAATCTTCCGCATTTGAGACAGTGGCCTTCAGACCCGAGGCCCCTTTCATTCTCATTGCCAGCATGAGTCCAATACCATCTTACCACCTTGGATGAGGCCCAGTATAACGTCTCTATTGCTCAAACCCGATGCGTGGAGGCCCCCATCTGGGATGATGCGAATGTGAGGTAGACTGACGGGCGGCTACCTGGGTATCATGTTGGCAGGAGCTGCGGACAGAAGATTGATTCAAATGGCGTCCTTCAGTGCAAAATCATTGACTACCCAACGAGCCAACCTGCAATCGGCTCTGGCTTTCACATCCGCCAGTGGAACGCCTAGCAGACAAACACCGCCCCCAGCTGCCGAGCCAGGTCAATCGAACTCGTCTGAATAGCACACCCCTGCCAGAAAAAGCAGCCCACATGCACTTGGTCATGTTCTACTCCGTTGTGAGTCGCTCGGGCGACAGTTGCCCGGTTGGCTCGCTTGGAGCTTCACCCCAGAGCAGTTCTCTCGAGCTTTACGCGACGACAGGGCCACTAGCCTCCAGACTTCTCCTGATTGATGCGTAGCGGCACCATATCGAGGCGGGCATTTACGTGGACGCTAGGATTTCTGCGTCGGCCGGATGCAAACGTGGCTGGAAGCCTCGATATGTCAATGTCCTCGAGCTGGGGTTGCGGATCTGGTCAACCGGCGCGAAGCTCAAGGGAGTGGGCCTGAGAAATGAGATGCAAGATTGCCGACTCTGATCACAGTTGCCACCACATCGATAGGCTAGCTCTAGCACTGTCTGATTGATTCAGATTATGCCTGGGACTCCTCGAGTCGAGCCTACGCCGCAGTTCTACTCCTTGGCCACCTCTGTCACCTCGCCCAGGATCTCCATCTTTTTGTCCTTTCCCAAGGCCAAGGCGTCCACAATTCCCTCCCTATCTTCTGGCGCCACACCCATGATAGCCCTCAACTTAGGCGCCTCACTGTGGACCTCTCCGTCGAGATTCTCATCAATCTCCTCCAATGTGCGCCCGCTAGTCTCAACCCAGAACACCAAGACGACCACCAGCTCAAGAACGTCCCACGCACCGTTGATCATGTACGTCTTCCAGCCAATGGCTTCAAGCGCAAAGGGGAAAGAGAAGGTCACCATCAACCCCACACCGTTTACGAGGAAGGTATAAATACCCATGCCAAGCGAACGGAGACCATAGTTGAGGACTTCCGGCGGGTACAGGACAGTGAGAGGCGTCCAGCCGAAGCTGTATGCTCCCTGGAAGAGGAAGATTGTAGCGACTGTCCCGTAGATCCCGGAGTTGTTTGTCGAGTCGCCGTAGACTTTGGTCAACCCGCCCACGAGGAAGATGAAGATGGTCAACAGTCCCGTGGAAATGGCGGCTAGAGACCTACGGCCTAATTTGTCGGCCATGGCGGTGCCCACAAGTGAAACGACCAGACACCATGCGTTGAGGATGATGTTGATCTCCAGCTGTGTGGTCGAGTTCGTGACTCCCGCCTGGGTGAGCATGGTCCCGAAATAGTATGAAATGATGTTGTTCCCGGAGAGCATGGAGAAGACGGCGACGGTGCAGACCAAGAATATACGCTTGCGCGTGGACGCGCTGTTGGCGAATTGCTTGACGAACGACGGTCTCTCGAACGACTTCTCGAACGCCAGCGTATCGGTGATCTGGCGGAATTGAACAGCTACAGCCGGGTCATCGATGTTCCCGTTGGAATGAGTCTGTGCCAGTGCCAGGAGAGCTTCTTGGCTGCGTCCCTGATCTTGAAGCCATCGAGGAGACTCTGGTGTGAATGGGATAAGGACTATGCAGAGAATGCTGAACAGGCCTTGCAGAGCTGACGGCAAACGCCAGGCCCAGGTGGAATCCATCTTTGCGGTGCCATAGGTGACGCCAGCAGCGATCAAACCGCCTATTTGCTTGTCAATTTTCCATCACTCCAGAACCTGCGAGAGGAGAGGACGAGCAATGACTTACCGACATACCAAAAGTCATACAGAAGGGCCAGCGAAACAGCGCGGAGCTTCACAGGCACTGTCTCCGACAAGTACACGGGCGCGGCGATGGATGAGGCGCCGGTGCCGAAGCCAATGATGATCCTCGCGATCACAAACATGGCGATATTCTGAGCGGCGGTCTGGAGGATGACACCGATGATGGTAGAGACGGCACCAAAGAACAGAGCCCATTTGCGACCAATCCAGTCGGGGACTTTGGCATACGCGATACCTGCTATGGCGCTGCCCATCCACACTGAGGCCGTGTTGAGCGCCAGAGTGGCCGTGGTGAGGGTAAAGTAGTCCGTGTACGAGGGGAGGATGTTGAGTCCGTTCATCATGGAACCATCAAAGCCTAGAGTCTGCATGCCCGCCTGTGTCAGCCTATGATCGATGCCATGATGGTCGACTGCACCAGAACCAAGCCAAAGGTATGTACTTACAGTGGATGTCACACATGACGTGAGGACCAAGATGGTGCAGGCAAGCCACGACTGGCGAGGCACCACTGCCGGCAGCTCCCAAGGCATCGGCGACATTGTGGCTTCGATACAAAGTCTTTCTTTGCGCAAATGGTTGCTGGCTTGAGGAAAATATGCAAGAGACCGACTTCGATGTTCTTGTCAAGTCTGTTGCTGATCGAGGACCCGCTCTATTATATATACCTGCTTGAGAGTCTCGTCTGGGCCAGAGACGACACACGGCTTGCATGCTTGAGCCAGCCAGGCCAGGTGTATTACCACCCGTTATCGCAGAAGCTTTTCAGTAGTAGATATGGAGGTGTCCGCCAGTGTGGGACGGATAACGCGGCGAATCTCCTCCAAACAACAAGCTCCGGGACACTGGTTCTAGCCCTACCGTCCCGTCCATTTGGGTTCGCGTTATCTGGAGAAGGGGACCAGGGCCTGATACGGCGACGAGGCTGGCAGGCTGGCCCTCGGCTTGCCCCTTTGCTCAATTGCCGTGGCTCTGTGGGCACGGCAATGTCCGCCTGAAAGCGTCGAGGCACGGATATGGTAGCACGGTCTCCCGCTTGATGAGCCCAGGAGCGAAAGTGAAGGTTTCCGCCTGGACTGGGGGGTTTGAAAGTCTCGCACTGACCAAGTGTAGGTTGAATGTCGCCCTGGTGCTCTTGGGGGGCTATATCCTTCGAACTCAATTGAGATCTGAATGCTGTGTCTCTCCTTCGCGGCGTACATGTCCGCGGAGTGCGTGTTCTATTCCGATCCAGTGGTCGTCTTGAACTATTAATCCTTGGAATCTTCGACACGGGAGAAGGGAAAGACGTTAGGAGCGCTGAAGAAAGACACAGGAAACCAGAACCAAAACCGCAAAAGATGCCCGGAAGACTACTCAGCTGGCCAGACTGGCCCGAGTTCACGGCTGCCAAGGCAGAGCCTGGCGACGACCTGGTCGGATACAAGAAAGCCATCGTGGACAAGTACGGCAAGGACAATCTCGTCAAGAGCTGGCTCAAGGTCTGCAAGGAGCTCGAGTCAGTCACCGACCGCATCGCCGAGCAGGGCACCGCGGTCATCCCGGAGATCCCATTCGACGAGCTATTCAGCCTGACGCCCGAGAAGAAGCAGGCGCTGAAGGACGTCGGTTGCTTTGTCGTCCGCAACGTCTTCACCCGGGAGGAAGCAGACAAATGGTTCACGGATCTGAAGGAGTATGTTGCCGCTAATCGATCACAGATTGGAGGTATGTATGTCCCTGTGGATGGCGGATATTGATACACCAGCATCGTGGATTGCAATCTTAGTGTCTGTGACTGATTGATTCCCAGGCTGGCCCAAGGAGACGCCATTCATCCTCAACCTGTACTACTCGCCCACGCAAATAGCTGCACGATCCCATCCCAACCAGCTGAAACTCAGCGAGGAGCTCAACTCCTGGTGGCATGATAAGGACGGGTCTTATTCCCCGGCACCCTTGTCATACGCCGACGCAGTGCGCATCCGACCTCCAGGGATCCCATTCCGCGGTCTCGGTCCCCATATCGACGCAGGCAGTCTGTGTCGCTGGGCCGATCCCACGTACCAGTCCGTCTACGAGGCCGTGTTTTCAGGCAACCCCGAGTCTCTGGACAACTACGACCTGACCGCCCGCAAGACGGCCAACCAGGCCATGTTCCCCGGCAGTGCGCACTCACGGGTCTTCCGGAGCTTCCAGGGCTGGACGGCCTTGACGTCAGCCGGGCTCGGCGAGGGCAGCTTGATGCTGTACCCCAACGTCAAGTGGACGATCGCGTACCTTCTCCTGCGGCCGTTCTTCCAACCCCCAGACTCTGACAGCCAGGATGACATCCTGGACGCCACCAAGTGGACGTTCGATCCGGACAGTCCCTGGTTCCCGGGCACCTTCAGGGAGGACAGCCAGCTGCTGAGCCCGCCGTCGCACCCGCACCTGCGCCTGCGCGAGTGCATGGTGGGCATCCCACGCATGAACCCGGGGGACACGGTGTGGTGGCACGCCGACATGTGCCACGCGGTCGAGGTGGAGCACAACGGCGACCACGACGCCAGCGTCGCCTACATCGCCGCCACGCCCAGCACCGACGAGAACAAGCGGTACATCAAGCGCCAGCTCGAGGACTTTTTGAACGGTCTCCCGCCCGAGGATTTCCGCCGGGGGCCCGGCGAGAGGAACTTCCAGCTGTTCACGGGCGAGAGGGGCCTGTTGGGCGGCGAGGCAGGCAGGAGGGCCATGGGGTTTGATCTGCTCGCCTGATTTTAACAGTCGGGTGACCTACCGTGGAGAGGAAGGTCTGCGTATAGCTGGATCAAGTCCAGACTCAGGTCGGGCATCTCTTGCCATTGCCATCACCTCGTCCTGTACCTTCGCTCCTCCATGGCACATGGTCAAGCAGCCGATGAAGTTTGACCTCGTCGAGGTCCATACCAAACCGGGTCACTAGACCTAAGAAATTTCTATCCGCATATATGAGTTTTAGTATAAGGAAGGAGACAGAAAAGCTACAGTAATTGAACCGAAATAATCCCCTCGTTGTCAGTGGTTTCGGTGTTCCAGGATGCCCCTCTTGACACTATTTCAGATCTCGGGACGTCCTGCGTCCTAGTCTTCACAAGCAGGATCGCGAAGTAACGTGGTGTCTTGCTGTGAGGGCGGTATTTCCACCTCATACCCCGTACCGAGTAGTTAGAGATTCTGGAGGTAAGCAGGTCGGCGCGGACGCATCGACCCGACCCTGCGAGGGTTCCTGATACGAGGGGAGCAATATGGAACGAAACGAAAGGATACGACAAACCGCTTCACACTCCGATTGAGGGTTTCGCCCGTCGACGAGTATTACAACGTGACCAGCCCTCTTTGACGGCGCAGGACCGTCCCGCAGCATGAATTGACCCGTTGATGTCAACCTTGTCATTCTACACTTTCGTGCCACCCACCCAGTGCCATCACCGCCGGTTTGTTTATTGATTTGTTTATTTGGGTGGTTTCTCTGCTCTAGTGCTCTAGTGCCCTACGAGATTGATTCCCACTTGGGTCGAACTTTTTTAACTTTTGTCGCGCGGGCTTTTGGTCCTCAAGGCGTCCTCGAGGCAGACACGGGCAAAATCTGGTGGTTCCTGGTATACACTGCCCCCCGTCAAGTGTCCTGCATTATTGATGCAACACATGGAAGGAGAGGAGGAGCAATGCATTCTGATTAAGCTGTACGAGGTAGGGGGTCACGGTGTAATACTAGGTAGTGGCGTCCAAGACAGTTAGTTGGCGCCTAGCCCCCCAGAGCCCTGGATGTTCGGGAGCTAATAGGGCCCAGGTAAATGCCTACTCGTAGCTCTTCTTCGCGCTTGGGCCCGAGGGGGAGAACAAAGCCAAGGCACTGGGGAAGATGAGGAAAGGCTTCCCTCGAAAAGACATGGCAAAGGACCGAGTATGTATCTCAAGACCCGAACACTGGGTAGAGCTGGCTTTTGTTTTTTATAGCGGTATATTGCAAATGATTGCTGGGTATCTTTGATAGTAATCCAAAAAAAAAAAAATAAACGACATGTACAAAGATGTACTCCGTACAAACAATCTAACTGGACAGAGGCACATTGTCATATTGTGTATGGGTGTGTGAGTGTGTGCGTTTAACGTCAAATTCATCATCTTTCCAAACCCAATGTCACTGCTGGCGCCGCGTTGGTCGCGTAGCCTACGTAGCCTGTCGACTATATGATGTTGGCAATGGTCATTCGTGCTCGGTTCGGATCTGGGGTCGTTTCGGTCGGCGGGCTGATCGGCGGCAATGTCGGGCCTGAGGGTCCCGGGCCTGCTGGGCCGTTGGGGAGTGGTGATATGGGTAGAGAGCCGTGGAGTGGCTTTTGTTGATAGTGCAGTCGCTCCGAAAGCTGTTGGAGGTATCTGGCTGACTGCTCAATGTGCTGCCAGCCGCCCCAGTCGTGTTGCTCTTCCTCGGACAACATGTTGTCCCACGACGGCGACTGAGCGCCCGACGAGTGTGGGTCATGTTCGATGAATTGGTGCCTGGGTCGGCCGTGTTTTTGACGGCGGCTGAGATGAGTGCCCGTCTCGGCGTTGCCCCATACCCAGCTGTTCGTACTGGCCTGAAGATCCGCAGACAGGTAGACGAGCAACTCCTCGTCGTGGTCGATGTCGATGTTGCTCGGCTGCTCGAGTCTCTCGATCAGACATCGCACAAAGAACGACAAGTGTCTCCCGCAGCATATATTGATGCTTCGCGCATCGTTGATGGTGGCAGCTGCTCTCAGGATGAGGAAAAAGCTGTCGTAAACTTGGCGAAACAACAAGAAGAGCATGCACCGCCACAAATGGGTACATAGCATCGTGGTCGCAGAGAGAACAAACCGCTGCTCCCACTCATGGGATTGGATATGGGGGATCATGCACCTGGAGAGCATGTTTGCGGTGTCGCGAGAAGCATGAAGGCACTGCTCAATGGCTTGAGCTCGTTGCTCTGAAGAGCATGATGGGGACAAATTATGGCGATGAAGCATTATTCGTGTATTCTGGAAAGAGATAAGCGGACCCATGATACATGGATCCAGAGGAGTCGTGGCAGAGAGTTGTAGGGGCCGGGGAAACAAAATCAGACATTCACCAAGGTGACCCTCGAACTTGGCCAGCGCCTCACTGGTGATGCAGAGAGACCGAAAAGTCTTTGCCAGCGGCGCCATCAGCCGTGCTACGTGAACGTGGGCCAGCAGTAATTTGGGAGCGAGGGGAGTGTGCATATGGTCGGACATCAGGCGTTCTTCGTCGAGGACTTCGGGGTACTCGGTGTCGCACTCATCGTCGTTGATGAGCATCGGCTTTCCAAGTTCGAGAGCAAGCACGCTGCGCTTGTTAGCAGAAAAAAAAGATGGGTGGGATCAAGATTCGAAGCTCACCGATCCCAGACATAGAATGAGTACCATATGCGCTTGCGCATTTCGCCCTCAATCGGTGACCATTGACCCCCTTGTACGTGCAAGCCTAGATCCTGGACAATGCGGATTGCGGAGCCCAGCCATATCCAACTTGCAGATTTCCGGTTCATCTCTATCAGCGCAAGGCTAGCGAGAAACGCGACGATGGCCTGGTTTGTAGACACGTCATCTTCCCAGAAATTGATGGTGGATATTGCCCTTGTCAGGTACTCCTGCGCCTCTGGGACCCGGCCACGGTCGTGTGTCGCAAGAGCGCCGCATGCGAGAACGGCGTACAACGTCGCAATCCAGTCGGTCGGGAGTGACTGCACGTTGCTTCTTTCTGTCGCTGCCGTAAAATTCCGCTGAAACTTGGGCCAGTATAGGACGGGGAAAAGACGGTGAATATATTCGTGATAGTAGTGTAGTAAATTTTCCGCCACGGGTTGCGAAGGCAGACCCTGTAGGTCCGAAATTCGAGTCTGTGTAGTGTGTGATCGAGGTTGGACACCTGTGACTGGAGGTTTCAACAAACCGCGACCAACGTCATTCAACTGCGTCCGGGCACTTGTGAGGTCCTGAGGTGCTCTTGCTTTCAACATCCTCCGTGGCGATTTACCGATAGACGGAAACTCAGCGTAGGCCGATGCGGCGGTTTCGGCGCGAAGGTCGGCGGAGAGATCAGCATTTCGCTCAACCGAGTGATATCGCTCGAGCTGCTGCCGGGCTTCCAGTAGTTGTCGCTCCAGGTCCTGTACAAGCCTGAGATGGTCAGCAGGTGCCGTGGGGGATCGGGAGCCGACATTTGACTCACTTGATGGAGGACATGCGCCGGTTCGTGTCCTTGGTAAACTGGCAACGAACATTGCGACTCGAACACTCTGTACAACTCGTTGTCTCGGTCGCATCACACTTGATCACCCATCAGCGAAATGACAGCAGCAGTGGCTTTGTTCTCGACCAACCTTGACCTTGCGCTCACGGCACGCATCGCAGCTCGGGTCTTTTCTCCTTTGTCTGTACGCTCTTTTCGGATTGTGCATCATCATGGCCGAAATCTGACCGGGAGAGGGACTGCTCGCCGCTCCACTACCCGGTCTTAAATTGTCCCCCATGCGAGACACTCCTTCATTCGGAGGGGGAAAGTCCATCTCGTGAGGAGCATAGACCACCGGCATCGTGGGTGGTCCTGGTGTGAATAGTCCTGTGCCAAAATACTGCGACGACGAAGGCCTTGGATGTTGCGGTCGGTCCAGCTCATGGGCGATCGTAAATGGTCCCGAGGGGGCGATAGACGTCGATTCGAAGACGGGCAAAGACTCGTTCATCGTCTCAGTCGCATCGACAATGACCAGGCATCGCAGGAAATCCGAGAAAGGGCTTTCTTTCCTTATACTCTACTCAGACCCGAGTTCTCTCGTTGTGTCGAGACATGCCCGCCACTCTCCGAACCCGGATCCAGAAGCAACAGCAGCACTCAGGACCCTCAATCCATAACAAACAAACAAAAGAGACTCTCTTTTCGATTCAAGGGCACCTCAATCAGATGGGTTTTTTGGACAGGTTACTGCAACGACAGAAGCGAGATGCAGAAATGGAGACAGGTAAATGTCCGACCTTGGCCTACTGGTCCACTGAGGAATGGCGAGTTGATGCGAAGCGAGTGGTCGCCACTTTCTCAGTCAGGTCAGCCGAAATTGTCGCTAGAACGGTGGTAGAGGATGCTGCCAGCGGGCAGAAGGAACCTGGAGTTTTGTGGGCACGACCGTGGTCTCGCGATAGCCATGCGCCTTTTCCCACTGATCTGTCGATCGGCAACCAGCGAAATTTGGGGCCAGATCGTCGAGACTTCTCTAAGCAAGGACAAGTATAGATTGGGGAGGGGGGGAAGAGGGAACCACTGCAGTTTAGCCCACTTGAGGCCCGTTAAGGGGTCAGAGATGTCGTCCACGAGCGGCGCACGAGGGTGAACTGCCGGTGCGCGTGGCGTTGGGAGCGTGCCAGAGAAGAAATCGAAGGGTCCCGCTGGAACATCGAGAACTCAGCCAGGTGGAGGATGAGGGCCTCTGACCGCAGCCCTGACTGATGCTGGGGCACATCAGCGGAAAGCCAAAAACCACGTCTGAGTGGGAACAGATTCGGATTGATGCGCAGCCCTGAAAAAGCTAGGGCCTCCTAGGAGCCTCCCCGGTTCTAGCAGCCGAAGTGAAAGAAGCTAGCCACAACGTTCTCAACAGCCGAATGGGGCATGACCGGCATTCGGCTTGCCGCCTAGCTGGGTTGCGCCAAAACATCGCTGGAGCCATTCTCGAAAAGAGTTCCCCTGTTCGAGGGAGGTGGCCAGGAGGACCCATGAAAATGTTTGACCCATCCCCAAGCCACAGTTCGGATTGTCTAGGCTGAGAACATCCCGGAACTTTGACGTGTAGATGATACATAGTAGACATTTGATACATGTTTCTCTAAAAGCGCTTTGAACGTTCGTCCAGAGGTCGACGGGCATGGAATCATGGCTGAAGGAGGGAGGGCAGACCACCTCCTCTCTCAACAAATCGATGGTGTCATACGCGTGGCATGAATGGCAGTGGACGAGATCACCGGTTCTTCAGCCATCATGACGGCGCCCATGCTGCTGACATTGACGGTTCCCTTGACTACCTGTGTGGCGGCCCTCTTGTGGAGGCGGACCGAGGACGATCATAGGCCTTGGCTGTTGTCCTTGGGTAGCTCTAAGCGGCCCTAGGCAAGGCAGATCAGAAACAAAGGGTGCTACCAACGTACCTGTTCCGGGCTCGGCTCGAGCTGCTCTGAGGTAAAGGGCCTGATCCCTGCTCATCTATTGAACTTCATCTGCGGCGAAATAGTGGTTCTAGAAGACTTTCGCTGTGCCTGAAACATCCGACCAGGGCCATTTCGGTCGTGTTGTAGGCGAGACGAGATTCTTTTCCGGAGTTGAAGTGCCTTGCTCTAGCAGACGGAGAAAACGAGCGGCCGGATGCAGCATGATTCCTCTGGCAAGGGTGCTATTCCTTATGGAGGGGGAGTGGCATCATCGGCATCTGAAGGCCTTCTCCCTCCTTCGAAACGCACAATCTGCATATTGTGGTTTTGGCGCAAAGGGAGACGAAAGTGGAACATACCACCGGTCCACATGAGGAGCGCATGATTCCTGGCTGAAGCTGGCTCTACTACTCGTGCCTATCTTTCTGCCTTGTGGCCCAGTGCTGCACGGCTTTCCAATTTTGCATTCTTTTAGTGTGATCGAATGTGGCCCATTCTTCTCCGTTTCTTCCGACTGGCATCAAACAGATGAACAATCTAAGCGTGAGGATGGTGCATGGGTGTGACGGAGAAAGTCGAACCCACGCCGTCACTCTAGCCAGCCATCAGCCAGGGGGGCACTGCGTCGTCGATCATGGGGCATGAATGCTGGGAGCATGGGGGCCCTTCGCCGGGAGAGTGTTTTAGTCCCCAAAGCTGAAAATTGGCCCCCTTCCCCAATTCGTCAACCCTCATCTCTGTTGACTAGGCTTCCATCCCCCAAGGCAAGTCCCCAAGACCAGAACGGAGTACTCGCTCCAGCGTCTATTCCCTCTGGAGCCGGAGCATCTGCGACGTGACGAATTGGTTGAAGCTAATGCTGCAAGTTCGAAAGCCCCGAGAAAAAGCTGTTGCAGATGCAAGATTCCAGGTGGGGGTGAGGATACCTCCGTAGTCAACCTCACAGCGACTTCCGTCTCTTCTCGAAGGACGGGGTAGGACAGTGGTGGCCAGTCAACTCGCACCGTAGGATACTAAGTAAAAGTGGGAGGAGTAACGGATCACTGGCGGAAAGCAGGATCTGAGGATCCACAGGTACGGAGTACCTTTGGGAGTCGTAACTTTGCAGAGCCTGGGAATGGATAATTGATCCTGGGTCCCAGGTGTTTGTGGCGGTCAACCCCGTCATGTCTGTCTGTTTCCATTGAGGTGCAGAATTAGGCCCGAGACCTAACGGAATTGCAGAGTCCGTAGGGCGAATCATCGACAACATTTTACCGTGTGAGCAATGATGTGCAGCAGTGTCTCTCCCCCAAAAGGATGAGCGGGAGCATCCAACGCCCAACCGTTTTCCTCTTCTGTTCAGGATCGTGCGAGCACCTGCCGCTCATCTCTCGGCTTGGTGGCGCAAAAGATTCTCAGAGCAAGATGGAAACGGCCAATAGTTCCAGAAGACTGGTTTCTGGCACTAGCGTGCAGCGCTGAGGAGACCTGGAACTTAGATTAAACGCCAGAGACCCAGCAAGCCAGGGTGGTCTGGGAGGTAAGGATCCCCCCCCAGGTAACGCCATCCAGTCGGTTGCAAGTCCCAGTGGTAAGCCGTTGGAAATGAACTTAGCCCTCGGATCTACACGACCCTCAAACAGGATCGACTTTGCAGCTCGCAGCTCGCAGCTCGCAATGCACCAAGGTGGGATTTCCCCTGGCATCTGAGTCCCGCATTCGCGCAGCAAGGATCATACAGGCGCACCTTGTCGTAGGGTGTTTCGAACCCAACCACTCTTTCCGTTCTCCCCGTGAAACATCACGTTCGGCGAGTCCCAGCCAAATCTTGAAATAGGGCGCAACCTGACGTGCGCTGTGGCCATGGTCCAAGAGTCGAACGAACAACGAGCGACATTGCAATCCTTCCTTGGTCTTCAATAGATCCTCAACTAGTTTCACAAACGGCATGACGCAGTCGAACTGTTCCATGACGGCGACCGGATTTGGCAGATCCAATCTGCTTCTCAGATATCGAAAAGGTTTAGGGAAAAGTTCTTAATTTTACCACATCGCCCGATCTATTCCCTATGCTGTTCCATTCCTGGTCAGGACAATTGTCCGCAGCGGGTTTATTGGTTCCTGCACGTAGTGGTTATTGGATCTGTGTTCCGAGTAGGCCCTCTGGTGGCATCTGACATATACCGACTAATACCTAGGGCAGAACCCATTACGCCGAGGATTGGAGAACTGAAGTGAGGGATCGACAAGCTGCAGCAAAGGAGGCGGTGATTGTCTCCTCCCCTGTCATCTGACCCAAGTAATGGATGACTCAATTAAAGCGAGTTAGTGGGTTCGATAATGTGTCGGACTAGATAAACCCATGCTTGGGCGTTTTCGAGAAGTTAATACGGAGTATTACTTCGAGGTGCCTTCTAGAAGTGTGTGGAGGTCGCAGAGAATTGGGCCGATGATGCAGTAAGTTTGTTTACATTGTGTCGGGCGCACTGAAACACTCGTTCTTGAGCTTGTTCGAGTATGAGGAAACGATCGGCATGATGAGATGTGTGGAGAGTTGAGGAGGTGAAGACGTGTCGAAGTGGTCAATCCCTTCGAGACGTCAACGCGGCCACTCGCCGAAAGTTAAGATAGTGCATAGAACCATTATTGAGACAAGCCCCTGCACAAGGAGGAGAAGCGTCGCTGCAGGCCTCCTCACCCTCCAGCCAGACTTCTCTGAAAAGAGGTCACAATGGGCAGTTGACGTGTAAGCTCCGTGGGGAGGGTTAAACTATGACCTTTTGTTTGATGATTGCCAATTTAGTTTCTACTGACGTTGAGGACCGTCAATTTCCAGGGTTCTGGGTGGTGTCATCAGGTGTGATCCGCGTCCAGTTCCTAGGGGGATTGCTCTCTGGCAGGGCCAAGCTTCGATCAGCAACTTTAACCAGGGAGATGGCCTCCAGTGCCAATCGCCCACCGGGGTTTCCTCGCAACCGGTAACCCTGCCGAAAATTGGCGAAGGACGGTGATCGATCTCGAGGTGTTTCTCTCACCCAACAGAGGTTCCGAGGGGCCTAAGCGACGATCTTGGGGTATCAGGAGGCATTTAGTGACGGGTTCCAGGTTCTTGCGCTGGTGCAGGATGGTCGATGAGGCTCTAAGGTGCCGAATTCCAGCAGCGGGAAGGAATAGTACCGATTTGTTTGCGCAAGTCTGGTCCCCGACCCAATGAGACGTAGGGGCGCAGGATACCGATCCTTGTATATCGGGGACCTCTTTTGACAGCTTTCTAGAACATTGACCCAACAGGAGATGAGGGGACCACGGCGGATTCACGATTTTGAGTCCCACCTCTCCATTATCTGATCGACGGCGGCGGCGAAGCCTTCCATTTCCTCTTCGGCTGTCATGCCAGTAAAATCCATGCTGCAGCCCACGTACACTGGGTGTTTCATCTTCCGCGCAAGAACCTTAGCCATTCGAGTGGCGTAGTCAATGTTGGAGCCCGAGGTTGCGAGAGGAGTGCTGATCACATTCCGGTCGTTTCTCATCTAGAACTCATCAGAGGGAGGCTGTAACAGTCCTCAGTAAGGAATGTTTACGTACATCAGGCATTGCGTAGACCAAACTTCCCATTGGCGGTACAGTGCTCTCATCTTCAGCGATGTTGGTGGTGGTCAAATGAGCCATGGTGCAATTTCCCATGAAACTCAGGTGGGCATGGAAGTTGAGATGAGGGTGCCTGGGCATGGGGAATGAGATGTGGACAGGCTTGAAAGAGGGTTCCATGGCTGCCTGGGGTCAGTGGCACTCGAGGACCCAAGGATATTGCGCAGGAATGACACCCTGGCAGCGAGAGAGAGATTGATGCACACGAGCTGTTGCACGGAGAGATCCTTGGAATGGACGACTCGGTGCAGTGCAGTGCAGTTTGTGGTAAGTTGGTTGCACCGAGGGGAGAATGACTGAGTTGGTTGTTTGCGTGTGAAATCTGGCTTGGCACATCTTCGACTTCATCCCGCAATGGATTGTCTCTATTGTAGCAAGCAACCAAACTCATCAAATCTCCCAAAGGGATTGTCCGTCACCGATCTTCCACGAGATATTCTCCTGCCCGGCGCTTCTGAAGCCTCTGTGGGATGGCTGCGGCCCAGCACACCGAGGATGCTGCCGTGTCACAATCCAGCACAATGTTCGACGATGCAGGTCCTCTGGCCGACCCCCAGGAACGGCGAGTCATCTTCGCCGCCTTGGATTCCTTTCAGTAAGTGGACCGGAAAATTCCACGCATTGGCATCTGGCGCTCCAACCAGGTCTCCCGGCCTGCATATGGCAAGGCTGAACCGGGATGTGGTTTACCGCCCTTATCTTGATGGGTGGCTTTGTGAAACGGACGCTCAACATGATACGGCAACATCATATTTGATGACTTTAATCACAGGGTCATTGCTCTGCTTGTCGAAGACGCCTTGAATGAAGGCAACGAGCGTGATCATGAGAAACTCTCCAGCCTCACTTCCTACGGTTGTGCGCTCAGGCTTATCCTGATACTCCTGGGAATGGTCTTGCGAACGAACGACCATCTGCTATGGCTCTTCACTTGTTTCAACTTCCCCTAAGCGACACTGCCTCGACTAACAAAGCTGACCCAGATTGAAGCCAGTACCGGAGAAACGCACACTTCAACACAACGCATCGAAGGCGGCAAAATCTATACGCTCTCCCGTCAGCCCAATGGCAAATGCTTGCAGCTCCCCCCTTTTCGATCCTCGACGCCCTAAACGCTGTTGACGATGCATTGGACCATAACGCCGACTTGGCAGACCGAATCTTTCACCTGGGATTAGGCGCATTTGAGCTTCCGGAGAAACCGCCCAAAGACCCGGAGATGAACTGGCAAGGCAAGGCCAAACCGAACGACATCTCCAAAGCTCACTCTACCATCCGTCAATTCTACAGGGACTGGACTCACGAAGGATTCACTCTCGAGGTCGAGCCGCTCCTCAAGACGATACTCTCAGACCTGGAGTCAAATCTCCCCGCGGTACAACCCCATAGCCAGCCTCCATCACTCCTGCTGCCAGGTGCCGGACTCGGTCGCGTACTGTTTGAGCTCGCCCTGCGCGGCTTTCAGGCGACAGGCAACGAGATCTCCTATCACCAACTGCTCGCGAGTAATTTCATTCTCAACAGCACCGAACAAGCCAACCAGTACCCGATCTACCCCTTTGCACATGCATTCACCAACGTCGTCTCTCGAGCCAACCAGCTCAGACGCTACACAGTTCCGGACGTCCACCCCGGCGAAGCCTTCTCCGCCCGGCTTTCCGCCGGGTTACCGGTGGGTGAAATGAACATGACCGCGGGGGATTTCGTGCTCTCCTACTCCACCCCGGAATCCAAGGAGACGTTCGATGGGGTGGTGTCGCTCTTCTTCATCGACACGGCCCCAAATCTCTTTCGCTATATCGAGACGGTGCGGAATTGCTTGACGGTGGGCGGCGTGTGGATCAACATCGGCCCCCTCCTGTGGCACTTTGACGATCGTGCGCCAGGAGGAAGCACCGCCGAAGACGACGCCGAGGACGACGACGGAGCGGGCGAAGAGAACATGCATCCCGGACCTGGCTCCAAAAGCCAGCCAAAGCCCGGCTTCGAAGACAAAGGGATCGGCGAACCGGGATCCTTCGAACTCGCGGACGAGGAAGTCATCCTCCTCGTTTCACGCATGGGGTTTGACGTGATTACGCACGAGATCCTTCCCGCTGATTCAGGCTACATTCAGGACCCGAACAGCCTGTTGCAGAATCGGTACCGTTGCAGCCACTGGGTCGCGAGGAAAGCTGCTTGATCGTTATTCGACCCCACGTCGACCTCTTTCGTCCCTTTTCTGATCGATTCCAGCACATGCGCGATTCCATCTATCCACAGTCGATGCCATCAAAGAGCCAAAATGCGTGTTTCATCCCGCAGGAGTTGTAGATATCACCATTTATATAGATATGACCAGCTTACCCCGACGAGGAGCTCCCGATATCTAGATGGATAACCCGAGTGCTTAAAGCCGTTTTGGAGGTTGGTTCGGGCACTGGATACACTCAGACAAGGCTGACAATTCTTACCGTCGCGTATAGCGATCGATCATATCTCTTTCCGATAGCACATCTCCTTGCAGGAAAATATATATTGTTGGTTTCAAGGCTAAATCTGATTTGACCCATCTGATTTATTGTATCTCGCGTTCTCAAAAGGTTTCATTGCGTTCGCTCATGGATAGTATGCAACTCCTGGCTTTTTTTCCCTTCTTGATCTTTACGTCGTTTCAACGTCACTGTGCCCACGACACCATCGTCAATCCTCAAAATCCATGCAGCTCAAGCGCAACGTACTTACACTGTGATCATCTCCACATCAGCAATCATCAAAGTGTAGCCTGACCAGCATCAGGGACATTCCCAAACTTCCCTCTTCTGCCGCCGCTGTCGTTCCTTCGTACTTCGTCTTCGGCCCCGACGCTCATTAAATCACTCCTGTCTCTTGTCGATTTCCCTGAACTGCCACGGTTCCACTGTTGCTGTTGGAATTATCTTCATTCTCCGAGCCATATCCATGCTTCACTCCGTTTCCTTATCTGAACCTTGCGCTACATCTTCCCATCACCTCACCCTGACACACCAACTCGGCATTAAATTCGGAACCGTCCAAAGTCAGGTAAATATCGAAGTACACTCTGTAGAATGTGCCTTGTGGAGTGTCCATTCGCTCAAAGTCCTTCTCGAGATTCTTTCTTGACAAATCCGAAGTAAGCGTGACCACTTCCTTGATGCGTGGGTCTTTGGTATATTCGGGGCTGTTGCACTGTCAGCTGGTAAACACCAAGCAGTAGGAGAAAAGTAACCTTACCAAACATCCTCATCACATGCATAAAGAATATCCTCGTACATCAACGTCGCCCCTGGTGCGACCTGTCTGAAAAACGAGACTTTGACGGGCTCACCAATCTTGACTCTCTCGCCCTTCTGAACGAAGATCTGTCTCGTATATTTACACCGATCCTTGCCGTCAAGGCTGGGCACGCGATATTGTTCGGGATGATGGCCCTCTTTAAACGGCTGGAGAGTCGCCATGAGGTAATGTCGTCTCGCAACACGGGAAGTAATGACGCGCTCGGTAATACCTGCCGTGACGGCGCCTTTGACAATTGCAGCCACCGAGTCCATGGGTCTGACGACTTTGGATTGAAATTGTGGAGGGACGTGGAGCTTGATCTGTTGGAAGAGATACTCGGATGCACCGAAACCACCCACCACAAGAACATTCTGTAACGATCTGTTCTGCGCCTGGATAGCAATGATTTGGTTGCGAACAAGTTCCAGGATTCTGTTGACGACGGGTTCGAAGCATTGAAGAATTTCCTCGTTGGTGAACGTCATGTACCCTTCTTCGATGCCGGCTTCGGGGAATTCAGCCTCGATACCAACATCGACGGCCCATTTCTGGCCGTTGTTACGGAAATCGGCCTTTATTCTGTTCTCAAAGTCCATAATACATTTGGCGTACACTCGACCCGCCGTTTTCGATCCGTCAGGTAACTTCATTTTCCTGATTTTTGCGCGCAGGATATTGGAGAAGTTTCGGTTGAGAGCAGTCGAGCCGCAGGAGTCACCACTACCAGCCGTACATTCGGCAACAGTGAAAGGAGTTTCTTCCTCGACCTCGTACGCGATCAAATCGACAGTTCCACCGCCACAGTCCACAATCAGGACAGCATCATGGATTTTGAGGTTGAGCAGACCAGTCTTGGAACAGAACATGGCCGCTGCTTCGGGTTCAGTGATGAGGGTCAGTCGGTTGTCGTTCTCATCCCGAATAAATCCAGCTTGAATGGCGGCCGCTCTGGTAGCTGCTTTACCGGCATCGTTCCAAATAGCGGGGACGGTCAAAAAGTATCGGATGTTGCGCTCTTCTCTGTTGAAGACCTCACCCAACGTCTTTTGCAGCTGGACTCGCATAGCTTGCCGGAGTTTGAAGAGATAGTCGGCAGCCACATCAATTTCGGACTTCCCAGGTGGGAGAGGGGGTAGGTTAATGGGGTCTATGTAAGTGTTGCCTGAGAGCATGAGTTGCAGTTTGAACCATTCGACTTTTTGCACGCCTGGTTTGGGATAGCCGGTGGGAGCTAGGGCGTCCGCAATATCGGGACCCCATCCGACGACTTTCTGATATTGATCGTAGTATAGTACCGTCGGAATCTACAGATGTCAGTCCCACGCCACGGCGCCTCCGAGGGGTGTCTACTTCGACCCACCTTTTGTTTCGTTTGATTGCCTGCACCTGGCCACTCTGTTATTATATCCTCTTTCGCTTCTGTGTTTGTCGCAAAGGCGAATGCCACACCGGAGAAAGTGGTGCCCTAAACAAGAAAAGCAGTCAGTTACCTGCACCATCGAATTATCCTGAAAAGGGCAAATCTTACAAAATCGATGCCGACGATCAACTGGGCCTTGCTCCTCCCTGCGCCTTCAACTTCAGCGGGACGGGCACCAGGCGGGTATTGGTTAGCCATATGTTGAATACCCGGCTGCGGCCCTATAGTCTGATGCCCATATGCGCCGCCGTACCCTGGAGGCTGTGGGGGACCCAGCTGGGGAGCACCACCGACATAGGCACCGGCCCTGGTATCGATGGGAGCAGGGTGGTGTGCCATTTGGTTCTGAGTAGGCGGCATTGGCGACTGAGGGCGTCCTTGCACGCTATTGTAGGAGTAGCTAGGAGGACGTCCAGGCGCGCCCGGCTGATTGGGATTCATGGGCGGCAGACTGGTTTGTGAAGAGTTTTGAGGAGGGGGAGGAGTCGTGGCGTTCGAGATAGAACCGTTGGGTGAAGCGACAGAGGTGGAGGTGGTTGAAGCGGTTTGGATATTGGCACTACTCTTTCGTTTGGAACCGAAGCCTAGAGACTTGAAGCGCGAGCTCATGACATCGACATTGAATAGTAGAGCGAGGGAAAGAGCGAGTGCACGGGGTCAGGTTCTTTTGTTGTAGTTGTGGGCTTTTTTTCTGGTTGTTGACAGCAGTCGGAACGGGGTGGTTTGGATTGGTAAGGCGAGTGAGACTGGTGGCTGAGCGAAGGAAGGAGCACTGGTCTGGGGCGATGACGAGGGGTATCCAGAACCCAAATTCCAGATGGTAGTGCAACGCTGGGACGAGCAAGACGAGGGTGTTTGAGAACTGGATAGACAGCTGAAGAAGAGGTATGTTAGCGATAGAAGCAAAGAGGGACGTGCGGCTGCGGCTGTGTTGCTTGCGCTGAAGAGGGCGGGCAGACTAAGAGGCGAGAACAACCTAAGCGGCGGCCACGGTGCCCGTAACGATGCGTAATGGTACGGGGGTATTGGGCACCTAAGAGAACACTAGTGGCCCCCTCGCCCTCTAAATATCAGGCTGAGATACGAAGGATTTCAATCCCCTTGACCGTCCTTCAGGCAATAAAGACATGATACACCGGGTCGCGGCACCCTGCTGCGGGCCCGGCAATTGCACGTCTCTAGTCTACCATCACCTTGCCTCCTTGCATCAGTCATAGATCGCAAGCAGCAGACACAGAAGGTGAAAGGTGGTGGCCAAGATGGGGGGGCATCTAGGCTGGTGCTAGGGGCCAGTAGTGGGCTCTAGTGGCTCCCCAGGTGGCACGTCTCGTATTGTCTGATGCCTAATGGTATCTGAAGGCTGATTTTGGGGGCTGACAAGCACTGACTTCTTTTGCCAGATGCCAGTGAGACGAACAGATAAAGAGCGGTGAAATCCACGCCACCATGTACCTTAGTTGATGCTCTGTCGTTTTGTTCTTTTGAGCTCGTCCATTTCTCAACTGTCGCCTCGATGCCCCCAACCGTCAAGATACCAAGACATGGTGGTAAGATCCTACTGGGGAAGATGCAGATGCTAAGAGTCGATAGGGCTGACATACCGCCCCCTCCTTCATCTTCCGTCGCCCGCTCAAGGCTCGTCTGCGTCCTCGGCGGCCCAATCCAATCAAACTGGCTCGTTTCAGCCTTTGAACAAATGTGCAGTCCCGACAATTTCATCCTCCCACGTTTCGACGCCTGGATACGGGCGCAAGAAAGGGCGTCTCGCGTTCGTGAGGCTTTCGCCCACTTTCGCCTGTCCTATCTTCCCTCATGTTTCAGCCTTCTCTGGGAGTTCCGGATGTTCTAGTCGATCCATCCTACTACCACGTATGTACAAACGGAACAGATCTACCGCAACATAAGACACACATGTGGCCGGACCCCTATGAATGCCCCACTAGAAAGAGAGGGCCGGGTCAACCGTCGGACTTGGGATTCCATCGGAACCCAGGCGATCACACAGCTGTGTGCGGCTGACAAGTGGGTGGCACTTTCACATGGGTGTCTTTGGGACTGCTCCTTCTATTGGCTCGATGTTTTCTCCCAATAAACACGGCCTTGGGCTGTAGAAGGCTCAGAATATCGATGGTGATGATGAGGCTCGTATGTATTGATGCAAAAGAAGACCCTCTTTTTTTAACACTAAGGTCTACAACTCATCCTTGACGCTCTTCGTCGCCGTGGCGGTCGATGTCGAGGATGAGCTCGATGAAGCTTTCGCTTTGGAGGTCTCGCTGCCACTCGAGCTGGAAGATTTGGTCTTCTTGACCTTTCCCTTCCCTGTGCCTTTCTTTCCATTCCCTGTCTTGCCCTTTTTTGGGATCTCTTGCATTTTAATTGTTTTCATAATAGTATCCGAAACCAGCTTCTGTAGTTCTTGGCCCTTGTTTTGCAATTCGGCAACCAGGAGGGCAGGATCTTCGTGTGGCCCAAGCTTGTTTTGGAGGGCAAGTTTCTCCTCGAGCCATTTCTTCACCTCATCATATTTCGTCGTAAGAGCTGCAAGGTCTTCGTTCGTGTACTCATATGGTTTGACCGGCGGCGGTTCGTCTGTCTGCATTGCTTCGCCTGCTGACGTGCTGCTATAGGGGTCCTCGTCGAGGTCATCTCCATCTTCTGTAGACGAGCTCGTTGAGGCACTCGAGACTGCAGACTCTGCAGCTTCGCTTGCGCTCGAAGCCGCATTCACGGCTGCTTGCTTGATGCTTCCTTCCACCATGGTGATCATGCCATTCAAGTTCTCCAGTCCTTCTTTGAAGGCCTTGATAGCATCAGGCCGTTTTGTAGCTTCATCCTGGCGCTTCAATACAGGGTCAACCAGACCATGGAGGTTCTTCAGCTTGTCCTTCAAGTCTTGGAGTTTGGCGTCCAGCCCGTCACTGTATAGCCACTCGGAGATGCTCGACAGCTGTTTTTCCAATTCTTTTCGAATTGACTCACTCGAAGCAGCAATGAACTTCTCGTCCTCTAAATAGTCCCTCGCTCGGTATGTGAAAGCCTCGAGGGTGTTCAAAGCCTCGGCTCGGAGAGCGGCATTCCGGTCTGACATATCAAACTGAGTGAGACGCTGACGAAGGCGAGGTAGAATCTGAATGGGGGGAGCATTGAGTCCGACGACGGTAGATTTCAAGGCAAGCGGGATTGAAACTATTGATGGCGTGGCCTTGCTTGCTTTGGTGGGTTTAGTCGTTGAGGAGGAGGATGAGGAGGCAGACGAATCTGCGGGTGATGGCGAAGTGGACGACATAGTCGATCCGGAACTTGTTGGATCAGACACAGGCAAGGGAGTTTGAGATTCCGATGTCTCTTCAGCCGGATCTTCGTCTCCGACGACCTTCTGATCGCTGTCCTTCTTCGAGCCAAAGCCAAACAACCCTTTGACGTTGTCGATGACGTTCCCACCTTTATTACTCTCGGTTTCGCAGCTAACAGATCCCGAAACAACTTCCGGCAATCCATCCACGTGGCTCAACCGCATAGTGAAAACGGTGCTTATATTCGCCGCCGCACAGCCATGCTTTTCCTTCAGCTCACCCACCGATTTCGTCAAATTCGAAGCTCCGACCTCGGTTACAGGCACATCGAGCTCCTTGACCGTTTGCGTGAAGCCTAGGGTGAGATCCTCCAGGGTTTTGATAGGCACTTGCTTTTCAGCTCCAACTTGGGAGGATGGATGGAACAGTTTCTGTGCCCTTTCCTTGTTCTCCACACTCCACTTCAAGAAAAAAGAGAAACCAGAGACATCTGCGCCGCGAATGTCTTTGACCCTAAAGCTGGGGCTCAGCGATGCAGCCTTGAAAGCTGCTCCCATGACCGCAGCCTCGTCAGCGTTGACGTTGGCCTTGAGTTTTGATGATCCGCCGGCCACTTTTTCGAGCTGCTTCTGCACGAATGGGGTTCTCACGACTCCTCCGTGTAGAATGATCGAGTCGAGGTCGTCCAGTTGAAGCCCAGCCGACTGGAGAGCTGCTTCGATCGGGGAGCCTACGCGTGAAGCGTGATCTGCAGCGAGCTCTTCGAACTTATCTCGGGTGAGGCTGTACTTGAAGGTGATATCATCGTCATAAAGCCCTTCGAGCGTCGCGGTTGAAACCGCATTGGCGCTGAGGAGCTGTCGGATCCGTTCAGCCTCTTTCCAGATTCTCGCCATTGATTTCCCATGAGACCGAATCTGATCACTGTCAAGTCCCAACTTCTTTGCGCTCGGAGATTCAAGAAACTGGGAGATGATGTCTTCGACAATGGCGTCATTTAAAGAATCCCCTCCAAGTGACGAGTCGAATCCCACTCCAAGTGCGATGACTTCTTGAACAGTGGAATTCCGCTTGCCTGGGCCTTTGATTGTCCTGCCTTGAAACTTGAGCACGGTTGCCGTTGTCGACCCAGCACCCATATCATAGACAAGATGGTACTCTGGCTTACCACCATCCGTCACGCTGTCGAACGTCCGATGCGTTGCATAGTTGAGCCCGACAGCGAGTCCGTCACTGACGAGACCCAAGACTCTCAATCCCGCTAGGTCCGCAGCCAACTGAATTGCTCGCTTCTCCTCAGCGGTATAGAACGCAGGGTGTGTGATGACCACATCAGTGACATATACACCCTTTGCGACCATGGCTTCCGCATTGCTCTTGACGTTCTTCAACTGCATCGCTAATAGCTCTTCCACCATGAATATTTCGTCTTTCTTGGTCCCAAAGCTCTGGCTCTTAAACCCCACTGTTCCTGCGTCCTGATCCCCTCCATTGCCTCTCAAAACTGGTTCGAGGTTCAACCCGGGATATCGAGTGGCGTACTTCTTCACAGCCTCCGCAGAATATTCCAGGCCCAACAAAGTCTTCAGATTGGGATAGACATCGCTCGGAAATCTTGCGGAGAGCGCCACCGCATCTCCTCCATACAAGCGTTCGGGGTAGGCATCGTCATCCTTCGACTGAGCTCTGGAGGGTTTGAAGGCAAGGGTCGCTGCCTCCCTTCTCTTGGAGTCTTTTGATAGAACAATTTCAATTGGAGACCCAGGTTTAGCAATGGCGCCCTTCAGGTATTCCGTACCCAGGTCTATCCCCAGGACTGCTGAAGCGGCATGCGCGGTCGTGGAAAGGAATAGGAGGAGAGAGAGTGCGAGAACGCAAAGAGTCGAAGGCTTCCGTCGTCCAGGCGGAGCCATTGTGCGTCTGTCTGTCGAGGAAGTTGTGAGTTTGAAGGGGCGTAATGGTCGGATCCAAGTCAACTCAAGGGAAGGATAATTTGCTGATGGGCGTTTGCGAGCACATTTCCAGAATGATGCTCAAGCAGGAGTTTGTGTGGTAGGAGTTACTTAACAGTGAAATGGTAAGTCCCGTCTATGACACCGTTTCCATTTCTGATGCTCGCGTGCTCATCGTTGTACTCTACATCAGGCTTGTGAACAAGTTGTCCAGAAAATCAGAGTCCCGAGTCATGCAGCCTTAAATACACGAGTCGTGGAGCCCAGTCTGGCAATAAGTGGCACAGTCTGACACCAGAATAGACGCCATATCTATCATAGCTGGAAAGTACTGAGTACTCACTACAACAAGGCGGATGCTCTATTAGAACATAGCTAATAGTACAGATAGAGGACAGGCCGCTGCTACCTCTGAAGATAGACTAATGCCTCTTATTAATGAAGGGCACCTTTGATCTATGAATGACAGCCTGTGCTCTCACTGTCCCATAAATAACCGGCGGTCAGACATCGCAGCCTGAATTTCTCATCACCCCACAGTCTTCAGCCTCGACCATGCACCGCCTTCAACTTTCATCCTGTGTCGTACGATCAGTAACTCTTAGAATACAATAAGCGTCGACCCTTTTATTCCTATTTTCGCAAAAAGGCGTTGCACGTCCAAGGCTTGTTCAACTTCAAAATGATCCTCTGCGCCAAAAATGCATGAAATCATCACTCTTCAGCTTGGGACCAAAAGTAACTATCTGGCGACCCATTTCTGGAACGCCCAGGTATCTTCTCCTCGACTGTACCACAGGCCGGTCTAACTCTCGTGCAAAGGAATCCTATTTCACGTACTCTGATTATGAGGAGCCCCTGGTCAACTCGGACATTCACTTTCGGCCAGGCCTTGGTTCCGATGGCTCGGAGACCTTCACTCCGCGCACGATAATCTATGACCTGAAGGGTGGGTTTGGCACTCTTCGTAAATTCAATGCATTATATGACATTCCGGGAGACTCCCATCCTGCTCCGGGGCTTTGGTATGTTGTGTTTTGAGGCCCTGCTCGGTTGAGTGCGATGCTAAAACACTTCCAGGGACGGGAACACCGCCCGGCGTCAGGAGCAGGCCATTGAACCATCCGAGTACCAAAAGAACCTGGATCTTGGTCTCCCAACCACGCAACTCCACGCCTCGGACGTCAGGTACTGGTCCGACTTCAACCGTGTCTTCTACCATCCCAGGTCCATCGTTCAGCTCAACGAGTACGAATTGAACTCGCAACTGATGCCCTTTGAGAACTGGTCTGCTGGAGAAGACTTGTTCGAAAGTCTGGACAAGGAATTTGATTTGCTTGACCGTGATGTCAGACCTTTCGTAGAAGAGTGCGACCAAGTGCAAGGTTTTCAATTCTTCACCGCGGCGGATGACGCATGGGGAGGGTTTGCTGCAAAGTACGTCGACAATGTGAGAGACGAGTTTGGCAAGACAAGTATTTGGGTCTGGGGCATAGAGGACGGTTCCAGAGTGACTAGGGTATGTCCTCACCAGCTTCCTCGCTGACAAGTTGCTCAACAAGAATAGGAAAAGCAGTCGGCAAGAGCGTGCAATGCCGCCAAAACCCTCCAGTCAATTGGTCAGCAAGCATCAGCGTACGTCCGACTTGCTGCCCCTCCCTCGATTCTCCCTCGATATGTCAATGTCGACAGTGGTTCTGATTGGGTGAGCGCCGCACTGCTCTGCGCGGGCATTGAATCTGTCACGCTGCCGACAAGGCTCCGTGCCGAGGCCGGGAAAAGAGGCACATTGAGTCTATTGGAGGATACTTTGAATACAAACGGGGTCCAAAATGTATTCGAGCTTCATGCAAGTGTCACGAGCTCGAACATTGGAACGAGCCACTCTTCCAACGGGGCGGCGAGGGTACAAGGGAATGGGCATGAAGAGAATCAAGGGCCTAATTTGCCAGCGCCGTCGCATTTCGACCTGGACTACAGCCCGAGTCTCATCAATCCCTCAGCCGCGAGGTGGAATCATACTTTTGCTCAAGTGGAATGTGAGCGTGACCACCTCGAGTCGAACCCGCGGCCCATGACCCTGACTCCAGAGGAGCGGCTTCGGAGAAGACTAAACGAGGAGAGCGTGGTAGAGATGTGAGTCAATACCTTTGCTTCAATGTTCCGTCACCCAAAGCGCATCATCTCCCCCCAAAGAAGATGGATCGACAGAAAAGGCTGACGCACGCTCAGATTCCAAACCAGTCTGCAGTTTCCGCTGCTGGACACCTTTCCAGACACTCTCTTCGCGACCAGTCGCAGGCCGAGCGGGCTGGACATCTCGGCGGCCTTGGAATGCAACACGAGAATGAAGGGCCGGCTTCTCGACCTCAGAGATGCGACCGCACGCCTGATGCCGTTGGAAGAACGGGAGGCGCATTACAACGACTTCACGCAGATGGCCCAGAATTACAGCATCGGATGGGAGTCCGGATCGGATTCTGGGATCGACGATGAGTGAAGCTTCTGTCGTTGCATAAAAGACATTCAATACGAGAGATCGACCTGGCTTGAGAAGTTAGTGGTGCCCTGTCCGACCGCTGCTTGGTCCGGTGCAGCGTCTATCGACCTTGATAGATCGAGGGCGGCCTTCTTCATTCATAGTAGATTTTTCGCCTATTTTATAAAAGCAGTGCTTTGTCCTTGTATCTATACTATTACTCGTATTTTGATAGGGAGGCCACCTTGTAAGCGAGTCGTCTTTAGCTACCACGAGTTCCTGCATACTATACACGGAACGAGTGTGCTTTCTGATCCCCCTGTGGAAGGCGCTACTTTTCCAAGCTGCTATGACACCCAACGGCTCGCAGACCTCGTTGATACAGACTTGGTGGGAACAGAGTTCCTTTCACTCAACCTTGGGGCATTGGACATTCTTGACTACGATGGCAAATCCTTTCGCTACGCAAACCAAAGCGCGACGACACGGTATTGCAGCGTGGCCATTCTACAAACATTTGTTGCAAACCCTAGGCTAGTTCGCTCAATGCAGAACAAGGTTAATGTCATGTTCAATAAAGTCAACTCCTGACGGATCGTCTCATATCAAGTGGACGTCGGTTACAGCTACCTACATGTATACCTTATGGATGAGGTAGAAAGGGCCCACATCTACAAGCAGCCATCTTCCAGGAAGGGAGAGACATTCAGGGCGCCAGCTCATTCTAACCTTACAAAGAACATACCTCGTTCCACATTATCAAAAGGGTATTGAACCTGGCGGGGATTGTGCTGTTAGTTGTTGAGGAGTCAGATAGACCCGGGGGCTAACAACACTAGATAAAATAATCTCGTCCACACCTGTCTCGGTTCAGTTGACCCTTTCCGGTTGGACAAGCAGGTATCCATTTGTATTGAGGTGTGCTGCGGAGGTGTTCTCTGCAGGGTAAGGTAGCCAGGTCCTCAACACCCTCCCAAGCATACCGTGGGTGGGAAGCTTCACTAGTGCTATGTTGTGGGGAGGCGTAGTAAGAGGGAAGTACTCCGTACATTGCCACTGGCAGCCGTCTATCTCGTAACTTGCCATGAGACAAGGCGCGCCGAACACCGTGTGGAAGATTCCCCGTTCCGAGTTCGGACCCCTTCAGCAATCCCAGAACTTGGATACTCCTCCCTCAAAGAAGCGCATCTCTCCGACACAGGAACCAAGAAGTCAGGAGTACACATAAGGATGTCTATTTCTGTTTGCGAGGAATACCCGAGGCACTCTGTACATAGACCTTCAAGACCAGAAGACACCAACTCGTATGGAGATAGAAGGTACACCGAGCTGCTCAGAGAGTCGCCTGGTCGCCTGCGGTGAACCCTCATCGAGACTGAGCCGAAGTTGAGCCTGGTCGCTTGTTGCGTGTGCAAGAAGCGGAGGACAACAGGTGTCCAAGCCAGACGTTCCGTCAGCACGGAATAGCACTGCGAAAACCAGGTGTCGAGAAGGGTGTCGGTTGATAGTCTAAGTCAGACTCAAATCGACGATGAGTGAAGCTCTATTGTTGCACAGGAGGGCATGGAATACGAGAGAGGTTAGTGACCCACGGGTGAAAAATCCATTGCTCCAGCCCAGTCTGGTATATTTTTGCCGAAGGTGGACCAAGTTCCGCATACAAAACAGCAAAGTTGGTTTGCCAACATGCACCAATAATGCAGGTTGGAGACGGCTGTTCAGTGGGCCATGTGGCACGGCGGCCTACTTGAAGGTTGAGTGTCTGGGGCGCATGATGCGATTCCTGATGGGGAGCTTTGCATAAGGTGCCTGTGACTGGCTGTCCTGACCATCCAGAAAGCCGGTCCGGAGTTGTGGGGAACTGTTGGAGCGCAGCTAAAGCACAGCTCATAGCGAGCCCAAAGCACGTCAATTCCGTCATTCTCAACAGCTTTCTTGCTGGCCAGGCCGAGCTGGAGGGAAAAGATCAGCTAGCTTCGACGCCTATCGCCTAGTGTTTTTGCCAATCGCTGCGCATCAAGGTTCAAAGCGGCCGCCAATCGAAATAGCAGTGGCAGGCGCCGGTGACCAACGGCCCAGCCAACGCCCTCCTCCTTCTAGCCGCAAATGGCGCAGCGCCGAAGGCCAGCCTCCAGAACAAGGCACCAAGAGTCGGAACAGGGACAAGTGATGGGGTGTCGAGCAACATTGCTTCCCAACTCGACCCGATGCGGTAGCCGACAATGTTCCTGATAAAGGATTTTCAGACTTTCGGCGCCCGCGCCACCAGAATGCGACTGAGATACAAATGGAGGATACGGTTGACACTGAGGCAGGAACATGGAGTCAGCGGGAAGGGAAAAGGCTTGCACAGCTTCTGCCACTGGGCGCAGAGGGTGAGAAATTCCCCGAGCGAGGTCGTGATAACGTGGGAAAACAGGGATGGGTCCCTGGCGGTTTAAAAAGCTTGATGCAGCCGGTAGCCAATAACAGTATTGTTCCTGACCCCACCGGCCGCTAAAGTGAGACATGCAGCCCTTGGCGCCGTCCAAGTTTTGTGACAGCTTCCTGGCAACGCCCAACCTCACTTCCCCCCTAGCGACCACCAACCTTTTCTCAGTCCTGCGCCAGTGACAAGCTACGACGAGTGGCTTCGATTGGCATCGACCGTCTTCGGTGGCTTCGGCAGTCTCAAGAATACCATTGTCATGCGATCACGATCACGCTACGAGAGCATCGAGGACAAACAAGCCCTTTTGATGGGTCGCAGGCTCAGCGTGTGGTGTGTCGGCTGATGAGCAGAATCACCCAGAACCCAGATAGTTTCTGGCCTCATGGGAGCCGGTCCACCACCATGGAAATCCCTGCACCACGGTGCTCTTCCCACGCTTTGGCGCAAGAGGAGGCAGGACACACCAGCCCTTCCCTACGGAGTAGCTAGTCACTCGGTTCTCGACCTTCCACATGGTTACACAGCCTACGGACTACTCGTATAGTCCTGTCCGACTGCGAAATCTTTTGGGACGGTTGCGTGAGGCTGAAGACACGACTACTCCAAAGATGGTCAACAGTAAGCTCATGGCAGCTAGCCACACGACTCCGGTCGGGCTGTCTCTGCCTCTGCCTCTTCCTCTGGCGCCTGAAGTGCATGCAACTATGGAGGACTCTGCATCCAGTTGAAGAGGTTGGCAGGCAGACGTTCCCCTCGTTCGCCTTTCCGCTCACTTAATTGGTCAATGTGGCAGAGACATTTCGCGATCGGACCCTCCAGACTACCAGGCCAACAGCTGCCAGCCTCAGACTAGCCCGTTTTCCATGGAAGAAGCTATTCCCAGGCTGACCCGGTTGGCATGGCCTTTTGGAAGCTCCACTCTGGTTGACTCTACCGGGCTGGAAAACTCGGTTGTTACCCTGCGGTCTCCACTGCGTTCACCTCGACTATCCACCCTCCACCACGGCTATGACATGATTCTGAGAGGAACAGGCTTGGTGGTATGGGACAATGCTGCATGCTCGCTGGTCTCGCCACCTCCCCAGCACTTCGATTTATTCCTCGCATCCTCATAGGTATGATGCTCGCATGACGGAATCCATAGCTGAAGTAGCTTGAGAGAGGTCCCTTCCCGGCCGCAAACTTACTACAAAACCATCCATCTCCCATCCGCACCTCTCTTCTTCTTCTTCTTCTTCCATCATTGCATTCCCGTCATTCGACCGGCCATCCCTCGCTTTGTACCGAGTACACGGAGCTCGTTCGCTAAGGCTCTCGACATTTGCATTCGAGTTTGTACCCTCTTCGCGGTCTCTCTGTATTATCATCTGCCCCGCAAAGCACATACTCCTTCAACATGAGATCATCTCCCATTCTGCTGGCTATCGCCAGCTTGGCAAGTGCCGCAAATATCTATCGAAGAGGAGACAGCAGCACATGGGCTGATTGGAGTTCGACAACGTCGACAACGACGACGACGACTACTACCACAACCACCACACCATCCACGACCTGGGAAGATTGGACTAGTACGACTTCTTCTACCACCACCACGACGCCTTCTTCCTCGTGGCAGGACTGGACTAGTACGACTTCCTCTACCACTACTACGACGCCCTCTTCTTCGTGGCAGGACTGGACTAGTACGACTTCCTCTACCACTACTACGA